GACTTATCACTTAGCTGCATCAGTATTTTCTGTGCATTTAATAAGCCTTTTCAATTATTATCAATGAAGCTTACAAAATAATACTAAATTGAATTAATTTTATAACACACTGGATTTGTACCTATATCCTGGATTAGGGTTAAAGCCGTAGCCATAGTAACATTTAAGTATGATATTCAGTAATTGAATTTACAAAATACATCGCAAGGCCATCTAAAAATGAGACTAAAAAGAGATCCCATGCAAGGTCATCATGAATATAGCTACACTATTATTAGAAAATACAATATGTATGTATGACTCACACAGTGAGTGTGTACAGCATGGGCCATGGGCATGAATGTTTCAACACTGACATAGCAATATTACAAACAGGAGTACAGGGATACTTACATTTATATGTTACAAGGGGAACCTGATGCACCATGGTCAATCTACAAACTAGCCATAAGAAATGGCATAACAATTATGACATTCACTCCATACTAAGACTAAGAGCAACATAAGATATTTTCCTTTTCCATCTTTTCTCATATTGATGGTGTCCCTTTCTTCAAATGCCCCCTGACTGTGGTTATTAGTGCCAAAATCGCATAAATATGACCCATAATCTAGACTCATAATCTTCCCTGGATGAACATGATCAAGTGGAGCAACCAAAGACATCTGTAGAGAAGGAAGAAAGAGCTGCACACTAATGAATTACAGAGAAGCATAGAACAGGAAGATCTGATCAGTCAACCTTGAAACTGGAATGTTGGAGGTACAAAATGAGAAAAACGACAAGAGCAAATCAGTGGGCCTAGCTATAGAGACATGATGAACCTTGGCTACTGATCAAGATAAATCAACTTGGATGTGACATTCAGGTTCCAACTATTGACCTTCAAAAGTATGCCATTTATTGACCTTCATGTATGAGCTAGATGATATGGCTACTGTTTCCGCATTTGGCATATAAACACAACTATGCAAAACTGGTAAAGTGCTGTCTAACACACAATGACCTGGGCTAAGACTTTTCATCAAAACTGATCACAGCAACTGCCAGTTTCATGCTCGCTGATCCATTTTTCACACTAAGTTGACCTATCCATTCAATCTCAGCATTTTGAAACAATGATCATTCTGTCTGATTCACACACACTTACAAAGATAATCTCACGTCCTATTGACAAATTAATCACTAAATCAATTTAACTCAATCTGGTTCCTATTACCGCTCATTACAATAAATGTACATCAGTAATCAACATAATACCCAATGGTAAGCTGTTGATCCAGTTCGTCCCGTCTTATGCTAATGTAATTACTTGAACCTTGTTCATCTGGATCAACATGACCTTGATAGACTTAACTGGCATACTCGAATAGCACCATGGTTGTGGGAAATCAATTTTCAGTATTAATATGCTTGACATGTAAGTGCTATGCACTCGTCTCTTGGGGACATTTGCTGACAGTTCATAATTACTGAGGAAATAAGCTTACCCAACGCTTCAGAAGCTATTCATTTTTGCACAGTAAAAATCACTTAGTTTGAAGACGGTATGGTGGTCATCTAGTTATAACTGCTAGTCCAAAAAGGAGCTTTGGACAAGCTGGATATGACCAACCATGTCTACCTCCTACAAGTTATAGTGAGAGTATTGGGTTTTATGCACTTTTAGCAATATTCCAGTAATATCAAGACACAGGACACTTGAATTGGGCTTCACACATTGTTTGTACCAACGTGGGAAAGTGAACCCAGGCATTCAGTGTGACAAGCAAACCCTTTAACCACTCGGCTAATCCGCCATACCCTCTACAAGTTATATCTTCCAAGGAGTCAATGCACGTCACCCTGGAAAGTTTTTTTCTAAGCTTTGAATTGAATTTCCTATGCTGTAGTCAACACCACCTGCACTTAAAACATGGAACCAATACCAGTGGTTAAAAGCATGATGAGCAATGTGTCATCAAGGTCAAAACAAAGTCCAAAACCTCTTTTAACATAATTCCAGTTTATTGAAGTGAAACTATGTTTTGTCCTAATAACAATTCTAGAATGACTTGTTCATACAAAAATCAATGGTATCATATTTCCTATATCGATATATGGCACCATCATTTGATGCAAGATCATCTCAAATTTGCTGGTACACGCTTGGAATAATTTTGTTATCAATATACATTCATGTTAATTATCACAGGCTTTCCATTGTTCCCTCAATGTAAAATAATTACAGAGATAAATTAAAATAAAACTTCAAAGTCGACAAAAACAATGAATAATAACAAGAGATTTCCCTGATCTGTGATACCTAACGGGTGATTAGAAACTCATTCCTACTGGTTTACTTTCATATACATACACATACATAGTATCGCTATAAACCCAACATGGAGTAAATCATTGCCCTGCTGCAATCGGTCTAAACTTTTGTCAGCTCACATGATAAAAAAGGCATGGAGAGAAACGGATTCCACAGATTTCCTGATATTTCTAGTCAACTGACACATTGCTACTTCAGTTGAGAAGAATATTTTACTATAATCTCAGTGTATGAAATAAGGCCCGTCCCACCTCCCGAAGATGGGTTAGAATTCAGACGGACGGTCTAGATTTACAGCTAGCCAGCCCGATGGTCTGGTAAAAATTGAGATGTTATATACATCTGAGTCCTATCTTGGTGTCTGGTCTGGTTAAATCCATTTTGGACTGGTAACATTTTGAAGTTACCAGCCATGATGTCTGGCTGAGGTTTTGGTTTATTTCACACACTGATAATCTGCTTTATTTGTGTCTCCATCAAAAAACAGATAGTTTGTGACCATAAAGCAAGCAAATGGGTGAATGGTTGGGTTTTTTTTACAAACAATATGCCTGTTAACATGTGTAACATACAAAATTTCTGTGTTTACACAAAGTCACAGCCTGACCCAGCAAACTGTCAAAATGGCCACAGCAACATCATACATGGTCTCCAAAAACCAACATTCTTGATGTCTGTACACAGCATTCCAATTCACTGACATTGCTGATGTTTATACTATCAGAACCACAAGGTATTTCAACAGTCATAGACACTACTGCGACATCCTGAAATAATCACAAGTTGGCATTTAAAAGGTTCATTTGTCCATTACCTCTTCTTGCATTGTATTGTCAATGAGTCATAATGTGCCATTAAAAAGATGACCAGTACCATACTAAAGGATATATACTTTGAAATGTTCTGTAAGGTTTTACTGTTGTGATCCCATGCCTGAAATGAGGGGCCCAGTCAAAATTCACTTTTCCCAAGATTTGCCCTTATCATATTGTTGGGAGATTCATTGTTTGAAATGGAACTATTAATTCAATTTTGATAATCATTATCGAAATGATTTCATCAGTTTTCAGGTACCAACTACCGAACAACATACCCTGCAGTAACCCTATTGACCTAGCAAGTGGAATAGGCTGTTTTCCTCACACTGGGTGTGACATGGTCAAACATTTCCTCACACATTTTGCACTTATCACAGTGGTTTCAGCAACAGATAGATATCTTTAACGATAGAAGTAAATTTGGTTCAAACTAGTCCTAGCTTCACAAATCTCAACTCCCTAAAGGCAGTAAAGCTGCATGTCTGCATGTTTCTTAATTATGCCTCATTACACACTGTTCCAAGTATATCTCTGTGCAATATGCTAAACACCACGAAACATTATCACGATCTATTACCAGATTAGTTCATACATGAAGGTAAACTACAGACTTATACACTGATCACAAGCCTACATATTAATGGGAATTTCTCCTACCACTTTGCACATTGGTCTGTGGAGCCAGTAGAAACATTTGTACAAATGCCAAGTAACTGTATCCTCAGAATATATGTTTTGGGATGGCAGTTTTTACTCGCTCAATAACAAGGTTTGCTGCACCACAAAGAATTGGTCTTTAATAACTTAGTGAGATGGAATACATATTTATGTGCTTTGCGATTTTACATCAAATGTTTCTTAGCATCCGCAATCCCATAAAAATAATCAATTTAAAGTCCAAAATGGAACTAACCAATGTCCAAGAATTTACTTCTGATACTACCAACTAGTGGTGTTCTGATTATTGAAATAATCGAAGATTGGTCGAAGTGACCAAACGACCAAGCAATCGATCACATTTTTCTCATAATCGAACACAAACGATTTTGGAACTGCTGTTTTAGTCTTTGAAACACTTGACGATGGAACATATCTTCGAAGATGTCAGGACCTGAAAACTTGTTTAATTCTTAGAAAACTCACTTCACTAACTGAAAAGTCATGACTGAATATATCTTGAAGACCCCAGAAGGTGTATGTTCATGATATATCAACTTCACTTTAAAGTAGCAAGGTGCATCATGTTATACATATCTGCAATAACAACCTGAATAGGAAAATCTGAAAATCGACGCTAACCAATTTTTATCGATGATTGTTCGTTGGTAATGAAGCAATCATCAATTATGAGATTTCAACCAATATTGGCAATATTCCCAACTACTACCAACCAAATATGAGATGATGCAGGGATAATAGGGGATTGATTGAGGAATATCTAATGACCCTATGCACACATATATCTTTGGAGCTATTCAGACATGGGCCCCTAGACATGCTAGATAAATAAAAACATCTCAGAATAGACTCAAAAATAGGTAACATGCAAGGCAAAATTACTGAGGTGAACCACCAATGGTAACATACTTTCTGGATGATGTTTATGAATTATTTGCACAACAGGTCTGACACACAGGTTCATCTGTATGTTAATGAACACCCCATATTTGATATCTTGACATCCATGCTGACCTTTAACCGCTAAGTATACCCCATGTGAAATGTAGGGCAGCGTTGTTGGTAAGCGGACAACACATTTAGTCTGAAGCACGCACAGCTGTCTGCAACCTCGATATATATAATCCTAACACTTCTTTTATTAATCACTGTATGTCACTGGACAGCTTTACAGATCTTTACCTACCTCAGAGGGAACTTATTATGATATCTTTGTCCGATCTTCCTGTGCAAATTGGAGAAAACATCCTATCACCGCACACCATCATTACACAAAATGGTCGCCATGATAGATCAAGACTTGACTCGTTCTTCCACTTGATTGGCTGTAATAATGCTCGGCACTTCTCGTGCCTTTCCGGGACAAGCATTACAGTTACTCTAAGCGGATTGTTATCCTAACGCGTAGTGTAAACAAACATATATTGATAAGTTTAGATACTAGACCTGTTTGCCAGGAAAGATGCCTGTGCCAAAATATTGATTTTACTTCAGACATTTTCTTTCCGGCGTCAGGGGGCAAATAATTTGAGGCACTCGCCTGTTTGAAGTTCTAAATCGGACATCATGATAGGCAGTCAAACAGCCTTCAAGGGGAAGTTCTTTGATAAAAGAAATATCCTTTGAGTAAAACATTGTCTGGGAGTGGTATTCATTGTTAAATAATCAAATCATTAAGTTAATTTCAAGTAAATAATCAAGTTCCATCTCAAACGAGAAGATATGTTTACAACAAGTTCTGAGGATAAGCCTTTTTCGTTTTTCCTGATCAATAGGTCTAACCACGCCATTTATAGCCACATTGAAACATTATATTACGGGTTTACAACAACACGCGGTTTCCTGATATCCCCGTTGTCTACATTCACACGTCTGGACCTGCACATATTCGCTTTATCAAGTTGGTTTGGTTTATTTGCGACAAGTATTCACACAAAGCAAAAAGGTCCTGCTTTCGACACTTCTTTGTTAGGTTATCAACAATCAAAATGCGTTTACACAATGAAACTTTGTATACATGAATGTATTCATAAGTGAGAAATGGTCTCTGCTTTTGTCGTAGTTAGTTATGTGTCCCTCAAGCTAGCTACAGGGTGTCCTGCTCACTGGCTTTATTACTCAAATACAGTCAGGTGAGGTGAGGTGAGGTGAAATTGGGTTTAACGTCGTGCTTGAGAATATTTCGCTCATATGACGACGTGCATGCTCGTGTATGTGTATGTGCGGCTGCTTGTACTAGCCCAGACTGAAGCTGGTTTTATAGTGCTAGCCCACTGAGATACCATGCCGCAGTGAAGCATGAATACCCCACTCAGACACATTATAGTGACTCCGAGCCGACCAGTCCTTGTTGTACCCATTAATGCCGAGCGCCATGCTGGGACCAACAAGTACCATATTTTAACGTCTTTTGGTATGACGCGGTCGAACCCGCGACTTTCCGCTCCGGGCAGACGCTCTAACCACTACACCACGGAGGCGGTCTACAGTCAGGTAGTCGAATGTGAATGAAGAATAATAACACAGTTATTCCGCCGATATTTTAAGAATCACATTGGTTGCTACATGCGGTTATCTGACATATTTTTTATGAGGTTGTTTTTTAATGGCGAAAGCTTAGTGATAGAATTCTTAATTGCCCAAACTCCAATTTCCTTATTATCTAAGCATTTATTCATGAGTGAGTGAGTTTAGTTTTACGCCGCACGCAGCAATATTCCAGTTATATGGCGGCGGTCTGTAAATAATCGAGTCTGGACCAGACAATCCAGTGATCAACAGCATGAGCATCGATCGCATTTATTCATGTACAAATTTTAGAATCGAATATATGAAAAGTTAATGTGAAAGACACGTCTAACCTTGCAAATATTAAAAGACACACAGATGTTGTATACATACGTTATCGATGTTATTTTATGTTATTAACTCTTTGTGAACATGTGTCAGTCATAAATACAACGAAGCATTAAATGAAAGATAACGAATTGCAACTTATGTTTCTGTTCCTACCTACCTACATACATACATACATACATACATACATACATACTACGAGGGCTGTATGCGTTCAGCTATTCTATAATGCACAAGGATGAATGTTTAATGTAATGATGCAGATTGCTTGGACATGTGTTACAATGAACCCCCCTTCGGCCACCCCACCCCCTAAGCGCGCCATATGTGCGGATACATGAGAATGAAATATTTTATGACCATTGTCTACAAGGCTGATTCACTTTCTATACGCCATACCATTCGTGGTGTGAACAGCTGTTGTCCTTGACGGTTGACGGAAGATATCTTACCTTTATTTCAGGGTAATGCGATTTATGCATATAATTTTTCACACCAGGACACATCGTGTACAGGAACTACGTCGTCCATGCCAGGTCGATATTACAGGAGGGCCATGTGCTACTTGAGACCCATTAACGTCGCATGTTCTTTTTGGCTTTCATTTGTGAGGTTTATGACGTATCGCTAATGTAATTCAATACTCTTCATTAAGTAACACATGTCATTCTTGTAGGTCCTTAACGCGTTCTAAATACAAAAGGGTGTAATGTAGACAGATACGTTTAAAGATGATGATGTATTAGTCTTATTGTTATTAGATCTATTGTCAGCTGTAATCCTATCGGTTGAAGGAAGGCGAGCGTGTACATTCGAGCGGACAAGTACACTAATCTTGTGTTGTTAATCCCGAGATCCATAGTTATAATTAAGTGTCTGTGAGCATTGCGATCCGGGGAGGAAGTTATATATAGGTTATAATTACATGTGGTGTGGGAACAGTTTCACATGAATATCTGTTAACAAAGATGCAATTATGCCTTATCAAATGATCCCTGTTAGGATGTTTGTACTGAATACGTAATGAACTAGGCACATATGTGCTGACCAAGCGGTCATATAAAACTACTGGTTCCCACGTCAGGGCGTTCTCAGAGTTGAAACTGGTACCTCTATATTTGCTCCAAGAAATGAAGTTACAAGCAATATTTTAAATTCAACGTTAGAAATATTTGTATGGGATGTTGTGTGGTGCTGTGCATAGAGCTCAGGTCACGAATCAGTTAAAGTTAAACAACGTTGGACGCGGAGAGTTCTTGTATAGGTGACCCTGTTTGGCAGCGTGATTAGTTTCTACGACATCAGTCCTGTCCCACAACGAAGCACGTGTGATACATGTGATCTCACCTTAGGCAAGTGAGTTTGTTCAAAATTGCCTCTGTACACCGAGCAGAAAATGGGTACCCGGCGGAATAAGTCATGTGACTATAACCTTCTAGCACCTCACAGGCAGCTTGGGGATCCGTGGTAATAATTTAATGAACTGTCTGCGCTATGAGCATGTCGTCGGTGTGGATTTAGCGCACTATAAATGGACTAATTATTATTATTGAAATTATTATGTTCAAAAAGAAAAACTCGTTAGTTTGGACCCCGTTTACCCGAAGACAGTCTAAATCCCGTCACACCTGACTCATAATCACCTTTAATTATCGAGCCAATTATATCTCCTTTGTATCATGGAGTTATACGAGGATGAATTTAGATAATAACCTGATTACAGAGGGGTGGGGTGGGGTGGTGGTGGATTTAGATAATAACCTGGATTACAGAGGGGGGTGGGGTGGGTGGTGGTGGTGGTGGGTGGGTGGGGGTTGAATAGAGTGAAATCTACATACTAACTACAACAGTGAATTATAGGCCAGTCTACATTGTGCGCTAATTCAAGTCATATGCATTGTCACTTTCAATCCAGCAGTAATTGTATATTTTGCGCTGATCAGCGACAGTGTCTCGGTTTACACGTGGCAACAACTGTAACCTGTATAGAGTGACAAGTAATCTGGAGTAATTGACACCTGTTGTATTATATACGACAACACCGATCTACCAGACGCGGCTGAGTGTATGTTTTCTCAGTTGGCACTGACAGTATGCATTACAATAGAATAGCTAGCAATCTGGATAACGATGACAGACTGGTCCTTTTGACACACGTTCAGTCGAAACCCACATATATAAGACACATTTCACTTTAAAGACATAGTGTCATTAAAAATGTATCTAAATTTAACATTCGTTTTATTTAGTTTATATGATAAATTTGAGATCCGCTTTAGTAAGAATCCGGTTTAGACATCTACTGCAAAGGGACACCAAAACACCACCAGAAAGGAGGGGTTTAAATGTGTTCTGTATCGCGTGTCCGATGCAAGGGAGATAACTTCATTACCGGCGTGTCAATATCCCGTCTTGGGGCAAATAGCACAAGATTGCCCTAAATCCAAGTGCTTCTACTGTATTCCTTTTGGTCCAAGATGTAACTTGCAGTACTATTGTACTGCTACATACTCCTGATTCTGCAAAAATTAACCCAGTCTGGCTTTCCTCCAGTCTCCCACCACAATATTCTTGTATGGATTACGGCTGAGTGCAAAGATCCCCAGCGTACCTTTTGTAAGATGTGACTTAGGAACTGGGTTCTTTCAATGTCTGACCTCAATGGAAGTCATCTTGCCGTTATAGGTGGACTGCCTGGTGCTCATGGTATTAACCACATTTGTCTGACGTTATTCACAGACCGCCGTGATATAGATACATGGATGGTGTCTTGCAACAACATTCACGTATTATTAACTATACCAAGAAATGACAATTCTAATACACTATATGCGGTACAGAAATTCTTCCTGCTTGGGATAAGATAATGGCCAAACCCAGGCGTTCAGGGTCTCAGCAAATTCAAAGTTCGATACGGTACAGTAGTAGTCGATTTAGTTGTTGTAGTTACAGTAGTGAGACGCATGGTTCAAACATGCAACTTGTCTTCTTGCGTATTGCGGAAAATTGTCTCATAACACTTCGTCGTAGAACACTACTTTACTCACTCAGGTCACGTTTAGACCACCTTGTAGAATGTTACAGCACCACTACGGGTATCACAGTAGGCGTTTCAAGCATCGCAGATGACGAGAATGTATGTGCTTGGTGTTCAACGTCATGCTGTGTAATTATTACAGCTGTAGGTCGGTGGCTAGTAAATCCAGGGGCGGTGGGGTAGCCTAATGGTTAAAGCGTTGGCTCGTCACGCCGATGACCCGGGTTCGAATCCCCACATGGGCACAATGTGTGAAGCCCATTTCTGGTGTCCCCCGCCGTGATGTTGCTGGAATATTGCTAAAAGCGGCGTAAAACCAAACTCAGTCAGGCAGTCAGTAAATCCAGTGATACCAGACCATCTAGTGACTGATGCCATGAGCAGTCCACGCCGTAGTGATACGTTGACAGTCCCGATCCAGTATGTCGCTTCTTGGGATAACAGGGGTGATGAAGATGGGTTCTAACCAGGATCTTCACGTGGCTTATAATAATACGGTTTCATGAAACCCGCCATAAAGCCAGAGCTAAGTGGTATGATATGTATGGGAACAGCACCTCAACAATAAACAGATCTTATTGCGGTGAAAAGATTTTCTGTTAGAGTGTAGTTTTACGCCGCTTGTAGTTCTATTCCAGCAATATTCCTGCGAGGGACACACACCACAAATGGTTTTCGCACATTGTACCAGAATTCGATCGAATTCGGGTCCTTGTAAACTTATTGTTGTCTTGCCCGTGCAGTTGTAGCATCAATTACAAGGTGCCCTGCGAGGATTGAAACGAGGATTAACTTTATCTGGATGGTAGTGGGTGTTTTTCTTCCTTCCTTATTGATTTGGGAACCCTGAGAAAACTCACTCGACGAAGAATTCCTTCACCCTTACAGCAGACTATGTACTCCTCTTTAAAGATAGATCTATCTTATTCAGTCATCTCATCCAGAGTCAGTTCGGCCCAATGGCGCCTGCAGAGACTCAGCAAGTAATTCATCGACTAATTGGTTCGGGTTTCGTGGTTTCGTCTCGCGTAATTACATTCATTGAACCGTCCATGGCTGCAGAATGAAATATCTTACAGGTATTGTGTTTGTTCTCAGCGAGACCTCTGTTTGTGTAGACGATTATTTAGTCTCTGAATATACATACTTTTGATGGTAACAAACAGCCCCGTTTATATTGAAAAGGAGCCCCAGTGAGATGGGACATTCAGAACCTGAGGATATCTAGATTTGCTTCTTTAAGGGCTTTAGCACTGCACAGAAAGGGTTGGGAAGAAGGGGAAATGATGTGGTTCAAGGACTGTGAGACTGACTACTGTTTGTATTGTCAGTCAATGTCTCTTCTCTGGATTCTTTAGATGCCGAACTCGTCCCTGCTTCGTCCGTGCTGTATCGCCAAGAGCTGCCTTCATCATACATCATATCACACACGAGGCGTAGGGGTAGCCTAGTGGTTAAGGCGTTCGCTCGTCACACCGAAAACCCGGGTTCGATTCCCCACATGGGTACAATGTGTGAAGTCCATTTCTGGTGTCCCCCGACGTGATATTGCTGGAATATTGCTAAAAGCGGCGTAAAACATAACTCATTCACTCATATCGCACAACAGGTCTAATGCCCGAGTTAAACCCTGGTGATGAAGAGCTTCTATACATAGCACAATGGCGCCTCGTCGTTCTGACTCGATATATATGCTAGCATAATGTTAACAGCATACGTTTCCGCATTCGATTTTCCCGTAGTCATGGGTGACTGTGTCTAGTCAGTGGCGTCTGCTATGGTCGACTCAACAGTCGATATCAGTCAAAACGAACAAGTGTTAGTACGGATGAGAAAATCGGATCAATAACCCTCGATTTTCTGGTTGAACAGTTGTCAGTCAGAACGGACAATTTTATTAGTTTTATCCATTTACTCACTAATTTCATAAGTTCAATTTTGTATCATTCTGTAGTGATATACACTCACAACTCTCACATTAAAATGAGTATGAAATATAAACGAATTAAGCACATTGTCACGAATTACACAAATCTACATTCGCACTTATATTGTACATGACCAAAATATGTTCTTTAGTTTGTTTGTTTCAGTCTGATATTCACTAGTCTGATCCACCGTGGTCCGAAATAAACCGTTTGACCTGCATCTCTATTGCAACAGCGGTGCACTACGTGTACCAGGCCAAGCACCCAGATCAATACGAGATAATCTATGTGTACACAAGTCCCGAGTTCACTAACCAGGAATGAGATGATACGAGTTCTATAACCTGAATCTGAACGTGTACATTGATAACGAGTCGGTGTGATACTTCCAACCATTGTGTTGGTCTTTCCCAAATACTGTCAATCACTGGGTTGTCTGGTGCTGCGAGTATTTAAAGGCTGTTTTGGTATAGCTGTAGCTTTATATAAATAACCCAAAGAATTTATTCCGTACAAGGTATGGAATATTCGAGATTAGCCCTGCACCTGATATCCACCTCCAATGTCGAGATGCCGGTTCGACAGACTCAATAACATGGTTGATCGTGCAGCATCGTACCCGTGACGTTGTTTGTATGGTACTCAAGTACATATAGGGAATGATCACATGTAGTGTCTTGTTCAAGTGCATGAACAATTGCAAGCAATTATTTCCATGAAAATTATGTATATTACCAACATGTATGCGTTATTATTTACTTTAGGAGACTAGTGAAGAATCAAGTCTGGGCTAGACAAACAAATAGTAGGAGCTGTAGTATTTAAGCTCAACTACAACTGTGCCCCGTTCTAAAGCAGCGACAGTACAGGGGAGGTAACTTTAACTAAAACGTTGCTGCATATCACATGAATGGCACAGCCACACTTTCTGTACTGTGCACAACAGTAAATTACTGAAACACATTTAATGCACGAAGCCATCTTTGTTATATCACCACGTGAGCAATATCCCAGTATGAGAATGATGACAACCAATCAGCGAGTCAGACGACTTGATCAAATTTTCTTATTCTGCTTAATACAAGCAGTACACTTGGAGTGTCAGGGCCTGGGAACTCTCCAACCAAGAGCTGTTATGTCATCAGTAAGAATGGGGACTTGGGGCTGGGGCCGATTCAAACCAATCCCATCTTATGCATTCCACTTCTAAATGCTCTTCAAAGATTTCAGCCCTATCTGGTTGATTCCGTGTAAGACAGAACTACAGTTCACTGGGTAACCAGGAGGGAACACAAAGTCCAAAAGTTCCTAGGTTATTCTGACCTCTGGATTGGTTTCTTTGTTTGTTGTTCAGCAATATTCCAGGTCTATGGCGGTGTATATCGATTCTGGACCAGACAATCAAGTGATCAACAACATGAGCATCGATCTACGCAAATGGGATACGATGACGTGTCAACCAAGTCAGAGCCTAACCACCCGATACCGTTATTCGCCTCTTACGACAAGCATAGGTTACTGAAGATCAATTCTAACCCCGATCTTCATAAGTGGGATCATCATAAGGTGATACAACAAGAGAAACCTGTTTTTCTCCCAAGCATCGATTGGGGCAGTTTACTTAGGGTGAGAGAGTGAATGCTGTTTTTGTCAGACATCAGCCTGCAAATGACTACATGACCAGGCAAACCAATGACTGACAGCATGAGCATCCCCTCATATCATGACACCTATCGACACTTTATCAGCAATGTTTCTCTAGTTCCTAATGCCCAAGTGAGCAGTATTCCAAATGAAATAGGGCCAGCAAACAGAACAATTTGCCTTGGAGTCAGTGTGGTATTCATGTCAAATTGTAGCTTGGTGTTTTGGATAAGCACTGCAAATCCAGACTTCTAAACTTCTCAATAAGAAGCCCTGTCAAAGCTCATCACCACTTAATTACTTCACACTGCTATTGTTGATATATTTGTGATACATTTCCAGTGACAGTATACAGTATAAATCTTTGTAAAGAATTTCTGACAGTGATAGTAGAGTCAGAAATCCCCACTACATTACAAGATAGGACTTATTTCACATCACGTCACAAGTAACGACAAATCAAACATTTTCTACAAGGCTTTATTTTACTCAAGATGCCAGTAGCACTTACACTGAAGTACTGTTCTCAAGCCGAGAACGTATTGAGCACAGTGAACCTATGGTGAGGCTATCTTAAGTTGGCCTCAAGGAAACAGTAAACCTATGGTAAGACTGTTCTAAGTAAGCATATATACAGAGAAACATGATGTAAACAATTCAGATATTGGTTACAGGTAGCACTGTCATCATATGTAGAATCATGCAAAACCACAACAGCTTAGTGTCTTGCCTGTTGGTATTTCTGTATCAGTAACAGCACTAACAGACCTCACAAAAACAAGAGTGTAAGTAACTTGAATTCATAAACTGCCTTAACAGCACTAAACATAACAAAATAAACTTTCATTTGTGTGACCACTACTTATAAGACTGCTCTTGCCAAAACAAGTGATAATATTTGTGGTTCAAATCCAGGGACAGATAAAATGGAGGAGACCAAGTATAACACTGCCTCATGCCTGTAACAAACATATTTCAATTTCAGATTTCAATTTACAAGTGGCTTGTTCAATGAGCTAACTAACATCAGCAGGAAATCATTGATACACTATTGATCATCTTGTGATACAATTATTACATTTATCAACAATAAATTATGGAACTGCAGGGATATATCTTGGCCAGCTCAGATGCTGATTTTGCCACCGAAGACACTTGGTATGGAATCCTAGGTCAATCCCATAATGGACAATCATGGAAACCTTGTCAAAAACAATATACATGATCAGGCCTAAAAAAAAGCTTGTGGTTCCGATTTCCCGACCGACCCTAAATATTCCCGCCAAGCCTAACAATTTTACTCACCACATAATAAATTAAATTTATTTTCTGACACATGACTCATGTAAAAATATTTTGCAAAAAACCCAAAAACCCTACCTACCTACCCTAGTTCTGAAATGTAGGAAATCGGAACCATAACATTTATTTTTGGGCCTCAATGTAATGCAAGTAGATTGTCTGTTATAAGACATGAAGAGAGAACAAGAATTGTGGATTCAAAGCTCAATTTCTTTTGAAAATGAAACTAACTTGGTAAATTGGAAATGATCTTTGTAAAAATGCTTGGCCCAAACTTGTTTTTATCTTCAAACATTGTTATAAATGATCTCCAAGTTTTGTGATAATTACTTTTTTTCATGACAATGAAATCTTATCTGACAAAGTTTGTCCACAATTTAATGTACTTATTGGTCACTTTTCAGCAATCAAGTTAGCATTTTCATGAAGTCAATTCAGATGTATTGTACAACATTTAGAAGCTCACACAACATGTATGTTTCAGCTTTTCTATCTGTTATTGAGAAATACACCATCTGAACTTCAGTAGCATCTTTTGACCAAGGTCTTCATCAATATTTTAACTGTTTATTTGATAAATAGTGTTTCATCTTTCCTTTTCTTCTGTACAATGTGTCCAGGCTTGTGCTGCGATTCAGGATGATTGGCCAGCTCAGGGGAACAGGTCGACACAGGGCTGCTCAGAATGACCTGCTTCAGGTCATAGAAGAGGTTGGAGTCGTCTTTGGTGAGGAAGGAAATCGCAATACCATTCTTACCAGCTCGGCCTGTTCGACCAATACGATGTGTATAGTCCTCAATATTCTTCGCCATGTCATAATTGAGAACCAGCGACACATCTTTAATGTCAATACCTCTGCCAGCCACGTCAGTTGCAACCAGAATGTCTTTGGATCCCCCTTTCAAACTTGCCAAAGCAAACTCTCGCTGTTCTTGCCCTTTGCCTCCATGAAGTGTGGCAGCATTGAAGCCCATTTTTTCCAAGGATTTGGCCAGAACATCAGCGCCCTTCTTTTGATTGACAAAGATGATGATTGGTGGCTCAATTCCTGCTGAGAGAATCTCCAGCAACTTCTTCCTCTTCTGTTGTTCAGTCACCATGTATGTGATCTGTTCCACACGCTCGACAGGTTTACCAACTGTACCGATGTACACCACAGTTGGGCGACGCAAGAAGGTACGTGCAAGACGCTCCACTGTGGGAGGCATGGTAGCTGTAAACATGACTGTTTGACGGTATTTCTTTTTAGAGTGGAAATTCATCAACATCTTCTCATCATCTTCAGCATCCTCTGTGTCTGGTTTTTCATTCGTCACTGGCAGGAAGTCAAGGATTTTACGTACTTCAGGTTCAAAACCCATATCTATCATACGATCAGCTTCATCCATCACAACATAGGTGCACTGGTTGAGAACAAGATAACGGTTTTCTAGAACATCAATGAGACGACCTGGGGTAGCAATGACAATCTCACAACCCAAACGTAGCTTGAAACCTTGCTCCTCACGGGATATACCTCCAATGACTGTGACAGTTCTGATTCCTAGGGATTCTCCAAATTTGACACATTCTTCTTCAATCTGTTGGGCCAACTCACGTGTAGGAGCAAGAATAATAGCATATGGTCCTTGGTCGGCATCTTCCATTCTCTCCAACTTGGGCAAACCTTGAATCCATACCAACAGTGGAATGAGGAAAGCAGCAGTCTTACCGCTACCAGTTTCAGCAACACCAATAATGTCCCTGTTCTGTAGACCAATAGGAATTGCTTGCATCTGGATTGGAGTGGGTTCTTTGTATCCAACCTTATCAATAACTTCAATGATTGATTTGGGCATTCTTGGATCAGCCCAAGATCTCAGAGGAGGAGGAATTCTTCCACCTTTGCAACTGATGTTATAGTCCTCTTTAAAGATACGCCAATCTCTCTCTGTCATCTCATCCAATGACTTTTCAGACCAATGACGGTCATCCCATTTCTGCTTTGCCTCTTTCTTGGCAACATTTTTCAGTCTTCTCTTTTCCTGATCTTTTTCTGCTTCTGTTCGTCTCCTTTCCAAAAGATCACCATAAAATTTAGACTGATCTTTCTTCTGGGCCTTGATGTCAATACCAGCAATGTTTCCTCTGCCAAAAAATTGAACAGCATGACGTTCCTTGTACAAAGCATTGTAGTCTGTAGATGTGTCATCTCCAGCATCCCAATCAAATACAAACTTACGATCATTTAATCTCCTCACACGCTTCTTCTTCTTTATAAGTCCCAAATACCTTTCCTTAATTGCCAGTACTTCTTTTTCCTTATCTTTATTCTCTCTTACATTATTCCGATCTTCCCCATCCATCTCCCTTTCTCTTCTCTCACGGCGCTCTCTTCTTTCTCTCTCATAAGCACTCTCCTGTGCCATTTTACCAGTCTTGATAAATTCTATTTGCTTCTTTCTTTCTTCATCTGCCTTTTTCCTCTGTTCTGCTACTTCCAACTGTCTTTTCTTCAAAGCTTCTGCTGCCCTTTCCTCCTTTGTCAAAAACTTAGGTTTGCTTAGTGCTTCTTCCTCTGCCTTCTTTTTAGCAAGCAGCTCTTCAAGTGACAGAGGTACAACTTTATCTTTTGATGGCACCTCTCTCTTGTACTTGTCATCATCTCTTTTACTCTTAGAACTTCTCTTACTGTCCTTTTCTCGAGATCGAGAGCGCGACTTCTTCTTGTGGCGTTCTCGGCTACGACGTCTTTCGCGGCTTCTGCTTCGGTGCTTTGGGCGTTCTTTGCTCCGAGATCTACTCCTGCGCCTCTCCTTACTTCTAGATCTATGACGAGACTTAGGTTTCCTTTCTCGCGACTTTGACCGTTCCCGGTCTCTTTTCTTCTCCTTTGGGTCCTTCTCTTTTCGCTTTTCGCCATCTTTATCGGCCCGTGCAAGTTCTCTATCAATCTGCTCACTTATGTCCATTGTCACAGTGTACAAAGCAGCAAATAAACTATCACTTAACGGTGCTTTCTTTGGAAAGCTTACGCAGTGTTTTCGTTCAACATTTACGATACCAGCACGTTTCCAAACTACACCGGAAGTATTGGACAGGTGCTGTAGTACTACTTGCAAGACGAATAATTATCACATTACTGGTGAGAACACCGAGGGTCAGAGAGAGCAACCAAACACATAAGTGCTAGCGTGGTCAAAGACAAAGCAATCCATATTAGCAGTTTCGAAGATGTTCAAACGTATTAATAATATACAAAAGAAGATGGGAAAATATCCTCAAGCGGCTCATAATCATATTAGATATGTACTTTGATATTCGTGTTATGTCAATCAAATTTTTGCCAACTAAAATATATACGCAGAAACAATATGATTTGTCATGTTTTAATATTTTAGAACCATTACTGAAAATCCGTTTTTTAAATCGTGTAACATTTCAAATATAATGTACTCTTATCTTGGACAATTTATGTTGTGGTATGCCAGAAGCTTCACTGTTCTGAGCACCCCTATGTTGTATCTATGTATATATTTTAGATACGCATGAATTTTATTTTATTTGTTTGAGACTCCCATTAATATAAAAGTACAAATGATTGATAATTTACAGATCCGTTATTGTAATGAACAGAAGACGTGCGCACATCTGAGTGCATACCTGTATACGTTTATGCGAAGAGGTCATGACAAAATGGCAAGACTTGTTTTTAAATGTCCCTTAGTATAGTAATATGCATACTATGTGACTGTATGTAGGCCATAAATGAGGTAAACGGATACAAATGTATCATACGATATATTTGGGATTTCATTGTGTCAGTAGGACCGCATCCGTGGTGTAGTGGTTAGAGCGTCCGCCCGGAGAGCGGAAGGTCGCGTGGTACTTGTTGGTCCCTGTCTGGCGCTCGGCATTAATGGGTACATCAAGGACTGGTCGGCTCGGAGTCAGTATAATGTGTCTGAGTGGGGTATTCATGCTTCACTGCGGCATGGTATCTCAGTGGGCTAGCACTATAAAACCAGCTTAAGTCTGGGCTAATACAAGCAGCCGCACATACACATACACACGCATGCACGTCGTCATATGAGCGAAATATTCTCAAGCACGACGTTAAACCCAATTTCACCTCACCTCACCTCATTGTGTCAGTAAAGTACATATTCTAGCGGATAGTCCTTGGATGGGTGACCGTGTCTACCAGCTTGACTCCTGGTACTTTCTAGGACGTCAGTCCTGTCCCCACAATGAAGCACATGTGGTCTCACCCTAGGCAAGTGAGTTTGTAAATTGCCTCTGTTTACCCAGCAGTGAATGGGTACCCGGTGACCGTTAACCTTCTAACGCCTCACGGGCAGCTTGGGTTATGCGGGGTAATAATGTGTCAGCGCATTGGGCATGCACAATGCATTGAGACAGGCGCTTTAAAAATAGCCAATAGTAAAGGTTATTTATAATAAGAAATTAATCATACTTTTCTTGTTTCAGATATGTACCATACATAAATATTCGTGATGAATGATCTCGATTTTCCTTACTGCTAGTCAGGGATCTGTTCATATGATGGGACTGCATCAATGGTTAGGTATGATATAAACTATTTATTTTATGAAAATGTTTTGACTTAGAGCTCATTATCTTTAATTTTTCAGCAGATGCTTCAAATATTCTGAGTAGTGTTAATAGTAGTCACGAATGTAGTATACACGGAAGTTAAATTATCATTTACCTCCCTTTGGATGTGATGTCACGTCACATGATTGCCACTCACATATCGTAAGACCTACATTATTAGCTACCGCTTGAACTCGGTCGTTTAGAGTTTGTGGACAACAGTATCAACTTCCAACGGTATGTCATTGCTACTCTTCATTTACTGATATATTTGTTCGCTTTTCGGAGCCATCATAATTCTAGTGGTGCAGACAATGCGATCGTTGGTGACTTGTGTGTAGTAGAATGTTCTGATTTGACACATGCAACATAAGTCTTGAATTCATCAACATAATTGATCATTACTGACATATAGATCTATGTCGTGTATGCGCCAGGTCCGTCATGTTGTACTTTGGCAGTTCGCTATTTACAGTAATGACTATAAAACGTTTTGGACGTGAGGTTGCGACTCAAAAGACGACAGCTTAGTCAAGCAAAGATGGCATAATTGATCGATTTTCATGCTGGCGTTTGTAGGTAAATTATGATAAACACAAATGCGGGCTGAATTGTTCCCCTCGAAAACATTTTCAGACGTGGACATGTAGCCTTTATGTTATTTGAGGGATGAAATGTTAGTTTTCCCCTGATATTTTTATATATGGACAGACATGTGACATACTATTTTTGGAATGATTCACTGTCATTCTCTTTCATGTCGCAGATGACCTACAGTAAACAAGGCATTGGAAATAAATTAGCCTGCTTAGCTACATCATGTCCCAAGGAAAACAACTTAATTTTAATTTCATATGTTCTCTCCTAAATAGTAATACGTGGTACCATGTATACTGCTGTAGGGAAAGTGTTTTAATAGAATTAATTCCATTATGGTCTAGGAGGCTTGGGGCAAATGTATAATAGTATTTCCACTGACATACACATAGGGAAGTGTTGCACTGATAACAGTCCAATCTCATATGTAGATCATGCACTGTTTCTTTCTTCCCAATGTATGTTAACAGTCCCTTTTTGGCAAGTCTGTTGACACTTATCACACTACAGAGCCTATTTCTGGCTAGCATGGTTGGATTTTGTTTACTGTGAATATGTATGTTTATTAAGAAATATGTATCACATGTTGACATGGTAAAGGACATGGAGATGACCAATCTTAAATGATTGGGTGATGTAGTAATTGAGTGAAGGGGAAGGGGGTCAAGGGTCAGGGGCTTTGTAAGTATTGATTATGGAAGGATATGTTTGCGACCATGTTTTTTCTCTATCTCACTAGATAGGCATTAATAGACAACCTGTGTTTACATATTCATGTGTTGATTTTCTAAATTACCCTATATTCTCTTCAGGTTGAACGTTCATATCTGATAATAATGTGTATCTGTAGAGCAGTACAGTTATGTGCCCTAAGGGTATTTTCCAGTTTACCAATCACTATCATTTAGTATACATCTATGATGTAGCTCGCTGTCATTGATCCACTGAAGAATACAGTACTTGCCATGGGGCATATTGTTTTCTTCATGTATGGGTTTGTGACTTCTATGGTGAGTGTCAAACTGTTGTCTTGAATAACCTGTCATTCATTGTAATTTGAACCTAACAGGTGTCAATCAAGAATTGAATGATCATTTAGACTAATTAGCTGTCTTTGTTGAAAGTAATTGGTGTCACTGGCCAGTTATGAGTCAGAGCTAGTGTTGAGGCAATAGGTGTAGGAGACTGAGAATCCTCAACTGTTTCACATGTTGTTGTATGAAGTGACTCCATCCCACTTGTCAGCTACTAGGGAACACTGTGTTGATACAAACAGGATAACAGGTAGGTTCTTGACTATACTGTCACATGTTGTTGTATGAAGTGACTCCATCCCACTAGTCAGCTACTAGGGAACACTGTGTTGATACAAACAGGATAACAGGTAGGTTCTTGACCTTACTGTCACATGTTGTTGTATGAAGTGACTCAATCCCACTAGTCAGCTACTAGGGAACACTGTGTTGATACAAACAGGATAACAGGTAGGTTCTTGACCTTACTGTCACATGTTGTTGTATGAAGTGACTCCATCCCACTAGTCAGCTACTAGGGAACACTGTGTTGATACAAACAGGATAACAGGTAGGTTCTTGACCTTACTGTCACATGTTGTTGTATGAAGTGACTGAATCCCACTAGTCAGCTACTAGGGAACACTGTGTTGATACAAACAGGACAACAGGTAGGTTCTTGACTATACTGTCACATGTTGTTATATGAAGTGACTCCATCCCACTTGTCAGCTACTGTGTGTTGATACAAACAGGATAACAGGTAGGTTCTTGACTATACTGTCACATGTTGTTGTATGAAGTGACTCCATCCCACTAGTCAGCTACTCGGGAACACTGTGTTGATACAAACAGGACAACAGGTAGGTTCTTGACTATACTGTCACATGTTGTTGTATGGAGTGACTCCATGACACTAGTCAGCTACTAGGGAACACTGTGTTGATACAAACAGGATAACAGGTAGGTTCTTGACTATACTGTCACATGTTGTTGTATGGAGTGACTCCATGACACTAGTCAGCTACTAGGGAACACTGTGTTGATACAAGCAGGATAACAGGTAGGTTCTTGACTATACTGTCACATGTTGTTGTATGGAGTGACTCCATCCCACTTGTCAGCTACTAGGGAACACTGTGTTGATACAAACAGGATAACAGGTAGGTTCTTGACTATACTGTCACATGTTGTTGTATGGAGTGACTCCATGACACTAGTCAGCTACTAGGGAACACTGTGTTGATACAAACAGGATAACAGGTAGGTTCTTGACTATACTGTCACATGTTGTTGTATGGAGTGACTCCATCCCACTAGTCAGCTACTAGGGAACACTGTGTTGATACAAACAGGATAACAGGTAGGTTCTTGACCTTACTGTCACATGTTGTTGTATGAAGTGACTCAATCCCACTAGTCAGCTACTAGGGAACACTGTGTTGATACAAACAGGATAACAGGTAGGTTCTTGACTATACTGTCACATGTTGTTGTATGGAGTGACTCCATGACACTAGTCAGCTACTAGGGAACACTGTGTTGATACAAGCAGGACAACAGGTAGGTTCTTGACCTTACTGTCACATGTTGTTGTATGGAGTGACTCCATCCCACTAGTCAGCTACTAGGGAACACTGTGTTGATACAAGCAGGACAACAGGTAGGTTCTTGACCTTACTGTCACATGTTGTTGTATGGAGTGACTCCATCCCACTTGTCAGCTACTAGGGAACTGTGTTGATACAAGCAGGACAACAGGTAGGTTCTTGACCTTACTGTCACATGTTGTTATATGGAGTGACTCCATCCCACTAGTCAGCTACTAGGGAACACTGTGTTGATACAAGCAGGACAACAGGTAGGTTCTTGACCTTACTGTCACATGTTGTTGTATGGAGTGACTCCATCCCACTTGTCAGCTACTAGGGAACACTGTGTTGATACAAGCAGGACAACAGGTAGGTTCTTGACCTTACTGTCACATGTTGTTATATGGAGTGACTCCATCCCACTAGTCAGCTACTGGGGAACACTGTGTTGATAGAAAGAGGACAACAGGTAGGTTCTTGACCTTACTGTCACATGTTGTTGTATGGAGTGACTCCATCCCACTTGTCAGCTACTCGGGAACACTGTGTTGATAGAAACAGGACAACAGGTAGGTTCTTGACCTTACTGTCACAACCTTACCTCATGTCAGCATACAATGAGAATTGAAGAGGATCCAAATATGAATTTCATCCAGAAAAGACCTCTTGAGTCTTTGTTATGTCTTGTAATACCTCATAGCAACACATTTTGTGGCCGATGTGATATTAAAGATCATAGAGTTTTAACTTCAAATTTGTTAACATATTCAAGACATTTGAAATGGACTTACATAACTGATTTGAGGACTTAAAATGCTTAAGAAAATGAATAATGACCCTTTTAAACTTGTGATCAATGAAAAGTATTCAAGAAGACAGGTTTAGGCTATTTGAACTGGAAGTGTTTTTGGAAAGTCATTTGCATATGTATATTGTTTCGTTTGTTGTTATATAAAAAGGTGTGATTGTAGTGTGTTGCTGATGTAGATGTGTCTTCACTAGGCAGCTTGACAAGGAAGTACATCACTAGGAGTATGATACAAGTTGAAAGATATGTCATGCTGTGAAGTGATTTAAAATATATACTTGACAGGTTTAGGGTCCGTGTTTCATGTTGGAGTGTTATGGGTTTACAAAGCCAGATGATAAGATTTATTGTAACTTTGAGTGATGAATCTATATAATATAGACAGGATTTTACCTCGCCCTACAAAACTTGGAGCACCCCTGTTTACTAATTCCAGGGGTTCTTGTTGGAAATCTGAGAGTCCTTCAAAGGAATGAAACAGTGTACATTAAGATGTAGTTATAAAGTTTTTGACAGGAACTTTGGTACAATGAATGTTATTGTGCATCCCATGGCACTCAATGTATTTTCTGCCTCTATTCTGTACATTTGTACATACTGTAAGCAGATTTCTGTGTCACATGAAATCCAGATTAAAAAGTGAAGTCATAAATCCATAGTACTGATCATGATGTACAGAAACAGGGCGTGTCATCTATGCTTTTACTGAAGTCCAAATGTATCTCTGTTTAATCCTGTTATAAGCTCAGCTTATCTATGCAGAGATCTGAGCTTAGAATCTACTGAAATTCAATGTAATTAACTCAAAAGCATCACGCCTGATGAGGATGGATAGGTTCTAATTGTGGCCTTATGATCAATTATTGAGATAATTCTTATAGGTTTGGTACTCTATAGACATTATATGCATCATGAGAACATTCTAAACTGTAATGGAAGTTTAGCAAAGATGATGTAACCAAATCTACAATTGGCTTTACTGTATCATTAAGTGTCTTTGTTCACCCAGATTAGTTTGCCTTGTTCTGAGGGACAGTTGAAGGACAATGTATGATAATTAAGGGCTCCTTCTGGGTCACAGGATCTGCATGGATAGTCAGGTCAATACCCATCACCTGTAATAAATGTACTTGCTTGTGGTACTTAAGGTCATGCTGCCCAACTTGCACAAAGCTGGATCATCACTGATTTTCAGTCAGCCATTTCTCTGATTTTTTCCACTATTATGCCATTTACGCCAAATGGAATCTGTTTTGGCGGATAATCAAATCACATTTGTCTCTGGTATTGATGTTTTCTATTTTGAGAATTAATTTCCATAACAGCTCATTCAAGTAATGTAAACTTAAACATGAACATGATGAACATGAGTTATATGGGGCGCGGTGGGTGAGCTGGCTAAGGCGCCAGGCTAGTGATCCAGCGAGGCTGAGGTGTCGGGATCAAGCCCACCTGTGACTGGGTGTAAAAACCTTGGAGTCAACTTTGTGTGCAGACTCTTTCAGAGTTGTCAAAACCCCTAGTGTACAGTACACAACCCTGTGCACTTAAAAGAACCCACGAATCCGTTGGTATTTGACCAGATGGTGGCCACATGAATACGTGCAAACACCTAGTTGCAGGTACAGCAACATGGACAAAGTACTGTGACTATGTGTCAAGTCCACCCAGCTGTGAATGGGTACCTCGTTAGGATGAGAAAGCCACAATAACTCGGTGTGCCTAGTGGCTGCAAGAGTTGTATACTCCCCAGGGAGTTTAGATTGACATCCAATGATCGAGGGAAAAAATACCAGCCCCTTGAGCATGCACTAGTGCGTGGATATGTGCGCTATATAAATATCCTATAATAAAATAATAAATATAAATGATTCATTCTCTCTGTATAGAATATGATGATGAATTTACAGTTGATAGTAAGTGGACCTGTTTGACAAGGGTAAATAACATGATGTTATATATGCTGCATATGGTATGATATATGGAGCAACACCTTTGAAGAACTGATTGATTCTGTGTGAAGGAGCACATTTGTAGGTTAAGGGTGGCAGCAACACACAGGTGCCAGGGTCTCTCACATACAGTGCATGGTCGTAGGGTGTTTCAGGGTTTAATAAATGGCACTGAAACAGTGGATAGGAAATTATTTTGTGAGAGATTGGAGCTTTGTTGAGATTTCCTTTCATTATTTGTAGTTATTTTAGCATTTCATCGATTCATATCATATTCATGTATATATGCACGTAACAATGCAAGGTTATGTAAGACGCCTGTTTATCTCTATTGATTATGTTGTTGTTGGTTGTCAGTAAACAGGAAAACATTACTGATAGTTGTGACAATAATTATATTGATCTGTAGTGTGGCTACTGTTATAAGTCAATGTTCAGTTCAGGTATTGAAGTTACACTATTATACTTGTATGGATTGGGGCCTTGGGACCTCGGGACCAATTGTCTTCCTCTTGCACATGTTTGAGGTTTAAGATCAAAACAGAACTGTAATAAATATTTTTAATTTATGCTTATGTAATGTTTATGCTCTTGTACAGGTCCACTTGCTAAGGAGTATGAGACTATGTTTGTTCTCTGGAAACTCATTCATTGTTAAACCTTTGAATTACTAATATGTTATGTTGGTCATTATTGCCATTTATCCAGTATTTCATCCGTTATTTACCTACTTGGTTTAATGGAACACTCTGTATTTCAGATTTGAAGTCACCTAACCGCAGCCACAATGGGATCGCTACTGCGGAGCGAGGAAATGACACTATGTCAGCTGTTTCTGCAGTCGGAGGCTGCTTACGCTTGTGTGTCAGAACTCGGAGAGCTGGGTCTTGTACAGTTCAGAGATGTAAGTACCTGTATCAGTCTTGTGAACATTCCTGGTTATGTTGTAATATAATATGCTAATGGCATCACAATAGAGGGTGTGATCTGTTGTGCCCGGTGTTCGATCTCTTTTATAAGGGCATGATGGTGCAAGGTAGAATTAGTCTACACTTGAGAGGTGATCAACTGTCAGATTTTTAGGCTGTCAGACTTAATGGACACATGTCATCACATCCCAACTGCAGTGACCAAATCTCATGTTAAGTCCGGGATTGTCTGGTCCAGACTTGGTTATTTACAGACTGCCATAGTATAGCTGTGCTATGGATGAGTGCAGTCTTAAAAGAAAGAAAGAAACAAAGCGGTATCTACGTCCCAACATCACAGCTCTCATCATGCTGATAGCTTTGTATGCATGGCTCTGTGCTACTGTTCAAACAGAGTTGTCTACCCCTGCCACTCGTATGTAATTCTCCCAGTTTGTTCCACTTCTGTTCCTAGGGCCGTCATTTACAGGTCTCATCGATTGAAAATGTTAGAATCAATATACAGTCAAATCCCGATGAGTCGAATCGCTGGGGACCAAGTAATACATTCGACTTATCGATGTATTCGAGACATAGGTATGTCTATGAGGGTAGAAAAAAAGATGATCCAGTCCTAATTCCTCCACCTAAGCATTTGTTTACCTAATGATTTCCATATCACTAATAGGGGCACCTTATCAGTTCCAGTCTGATTAGCACAGACAGTGATTTCCGTAAAATCACTAATCTGCCTTTTGAACTCACCCGTCAATGGTGGAAAGGTGTGAACCGCGCTGGTTTGTTAATTGGATCAGTTTGCTACACCAATCAACTTCTCATTGACTGACTTCGGCTTATGTATACAAGATTGCTGTTGTTTGAATCTCATGGGACCAAATTTCCTTCTCGAGTCATCGTGTGTATTTATGAGACGAATTCGTGTAACCTGGTATTCAAATGATGACAACTATAACAGGGAATGGTCGGGACCGACAGGTACTTCGAGTTATGCATAATATTCGAGACACGGTATTCGACTCATCGGGATTTGACTGTATCAGTAAAAAGCAATATTAATCAAATATTAAATATATAATGTACCACTGAAAATCACCCTGAAATAGATGAACACCAACATCGATGGTAGAGCTGTGACGATATATCGTAGTATCGATAATCGTGATACTTTATCTGATGATAAATATATCGATACGTTTTTTCGTGTTGTGATATGTATCGTTGACCTTAAAATTGTTAATTTTCATTAGATATTGACGGTTATGTCAATATTTCTTGCTATTGAAATATGATTTTTTTAAAGAAAATAACTAAAGAAAGCATATTGTGATATGCATCGAATCGAATCGTATCGTTCCAAGATATAGCGATATGTATCGTATCGTGAAATTTCTGTATCGTCACACCTCTAATCGATGGACCCATGTAAATCCATGTCTAGATACTCTGCCAGCTTGAGTCATTATGGTGAGGTGTTTCCTGCAGCAGATTGTTATTCCTATAATGTTCTTGTTTACAGCTGAATCCAGATGTGAATGCTTTCCAGAGAAAGTTTGTCAATGAAATAAGAAGATGTGAAGAAATGGAAAGGAAACTACGTAAGTGTACAGTAGTGGTGTTCCGATGATCGAACTTAATAAAAACTTGATCAAAAGAAGGATTAAAAATTATTATCGATTGTAAAACACATATTTTCAATTAATCGGAATGTTGTTGTGTTAGTATAACACACTTGAATGAAGTAAACTAACCATTCAATTTGATGAATATTCACGAACAAACAGCGTAAAGTTATGCGCATTGTAAAATTTCAACCACTTTTATTGTTTAATTACAATTCCAGTGTCTTTTTTGCATGCATGCATTAAATAGCTTGACAGTATTAGTTATAAAAAACATTATTTAGAAAAAACTGGGGAAAACCCTTAAAATTGGTGACTACATTAAAAATTTATATATTTTTATTATAATCTATAATCGTTCACCACAAGTCCTCTGATAATCGATAGTGGATTTTGTTTCCAATTCCCAACACTAGTGTTCAGAAGTGTCAGTATTGTAAGTCAGCTGTGTGTCACATGCCTGTCTACCTGAGAAGTCCAGGGAAGAAATAGATCTTCAGTGCTGTTGTTGGAACCATGTTTACCATAGGCCCTGTGCTTGGCATAGTTTAGTGTATGATAGTTCACATATTGTTGCTCAGATAGTTGAAACACAGCAGTAAAAATGTTAACATGAACACTGTTCTGTAACAACACATTTAACGGCATGAATAGATGTTAGCAGTAAGGACCTTGTGTTTTATATTTGAAGTAAGTATAGCTTGTCCACATGGAACATTGAATATATTCTGTTAAAATCCAAAACAGATAGGATATTATAGGGTTTATCAATCAAACAAATTCGTTTTTGGCAATAAGCAAATTTAGAAAACACTTATGCTTAATTTCCTTCAAAAGCTGAGCAAAAAGTTTACGAGGAATATGTTATATTTTTGTCCAGTACACATTATCTCATGTTTACTGAGATATCCAATAATGTAATCAGGCCAAACATAATGGCTATTATACATGCACATCTTGTTTTAGGTTTCTTGGAGAAGGAGATCAAGAAAGATGGGATTCCGATGTTGGACACTGGAGACAACCCAGATGCGCCAGCTCCCAGAGAGATGATAGACCTGGAGGTGAGAGTTACCCCCCTTCTTACAAAGTGCAGTGCATTGTCAATACATATTTGGCCCCTGAGTTTGAAATCCTATCTTGAATGTTTTTAAATATTCAAAATGTATATAAATACCAAAATATAATTAATAATTGTGTTTCCAGGCCACGTTTGAGAAGTTGGAGAATGAGATGAAGGAAGTCAATGCCAACTCTGAAGCTCTGAAGAGAAATTTCCTGGAGCTGACCGAGCTGAAGCACATCCTCCGTAAAACACAGACTTTCTTTGAAGAGGTAAGTTGTCAGGGAAGTAAGGTGGTCCCAGTCATGACACAAAGTTGGTTAAGAAACACAATTATATCATACCTGCTTCTCAAACTGTCTTTATTTAGTTGAAAGAAAAAACCCAGAAGAACGTTATCTATTTCAGTGACTAAACACTGTAAATCGTGAAATTACTGTGAACAATGTGAGCGTTCCTTGCGTACATTGATAAGGTGATGTATTTTCCTGTTAATATACTAAGACTTAATTGTAATGCCATGTTCACTCCACATTGAAGGAGTCAAAGACAACCATAGCACATCTCCCAATAAACAGTGGTCAGTCAGTTTGTTGACACAAGTGCATCAAACAGTTATTACAGTTGGCAACCATATACAGCATCTTTGGTCTGGTTCCATTCCATTCCACCTGGCCCCTGTTGAGACACTAATAGTTCCTGGTAACTTTGTGAGATAGTTTCATAATTACCAGCAGAACACTACTCACCTGTGTTGTGAATATATACTCCAGTAGAGTAACAGTTGTGGTGAATACATAACTCTGTTCTTATATGTTCAAAAGATTTATCTAACTCAGGTAACAACAGTTAGAACCTGATTTCATTCATGGCAGTTAGATCACAAGCAGTTAAAGTAGTGTGCAAAATAGTTTCCAAATTTTGCTAGCCAGGCGGGCTAGCTATGCCTGAAAGTTACTAGTCCACAAAATTATTCACTGGCCTGAAATTCTAATGTAGACACGGGTTTCATCATTAAGCTGCTAATATGATGAACATTTTATCAGGCCATAGTCTTGCATGATTTAAAAGTATATCATAACTTAACAAGTCAGAGAGAGTGATATACATGTATTTACAAAATGACCCCATAAATTTCACCAGCCATTCGGGCCAGTGACTGTGGAGATTTACTGGCCTGACTGGATTTTTACTAGCCACGAGCTAGTGAGCCAGTTACTGTTTCGAACACTGAGTTGAAGTAAGGTTAGTGGTGACATAATTCAGACTTTTCTCACCCCATAGTATTCATTAGTTAGTAAGTTTAGGGCTAATGACATACATTTAAAAGCAATTTTAAACTTTGAGGGGACTCTCCCTTTAATTTGGCAACATGTGAATTTCCTCATTTACAGTATTTTCAATGCTCCATAAAGTTAGTGGACAATCATCTATGACTGGGCACCTTTTTGTCAGTTGTTTTGTAAAAGGTTTTGCAATTATTGTTAGTAGTAACGACAATGGTTTCTGCATGGAACATCTCCAGTCCAAATAATTGTAATGTATATTGCATTATGTGACAACTTTACATATCTGTACATTATCATAAGGTTTCCTCATATCTAAAGGTTTTCAGTAAACTTATACTATGATGTTTTAAATGATAACATGAATACTATCTTTTACTGATGTCTTTTCTATGATTGCAATGGGCAAAGGGGATTAGAGGGATGGGTGTTTTTTTTATTTGAATGAGTTCCTTTCCTGCATGGCTGTTGTTTACCTAAATATTGTGATTTGACATACCTGACTGTTTCTGTTGTTCTGAACCATTCCAAATCAGATTCCATGCTTAGAGCTTGTGAATAGCAGCTTTTATGAATAGAATGGCAACATCTGAGTTTTGCAGCTTTGTGCAACTTCAAGGCTCTGCCATTATGGGAGACAGGTCCCATGTGCCTCATGCTTGTACCAAGAGCTGACTAATGGGAAGATGGTAGTTAGACTCTGATACTTGGCTGATCGCATTGCGTTATACACTTCTGGGAAGCTCATTGTTTCAAACTATAGTTTGTTTGAACCAGAGTTTAATTATTTATGTGCCATGATATAGCTAGAATAAGGCTGACTGACAGTAAACAACATATATTCGCTGTTTAGAAATTCTATTCTCATCAATATTCATGAGAATGAGAATCCGTATGAATGCTGCAGTGTTTCATGTCATTTTAAAGGTAGTATAGATGACGGTAAAACAGTCATATATCTGTGCCGCTGATTGTCAGAGTGTATTAAACATTCAGTTGAAATGTGAGAAATTCCTCATAAGGTCTAGGGATTCAACCAGTGATAGGACATATGCTTTGCATTTAAATGTTTATCAGTCGAGAGCTGTTTTGGGGACACATTGTCTATCCTCTTACCACTGAGATTTTGTCTCAAAATTATGAGTATTTTTGTTTTGGTTGCTGTGAAAACTGCTGTAACATGTGATTCCACCCAGTACTGACACTTCTCACCTTGTGTAACTCAGGGACGTTCCCACTATGTGCAGTCACATAGAAGTGCGTTTAATTTAACCCATAGTAGACACAGATTTACATAGTGTGCACTCAGTTTGTGAAATTTCTGAATCTGAAACCTTGGAAAAATGTTAAAGCTTATGAAAATACACTTTAAGAGTAAGAATGCACAGGTTACTTACTTAATCAACTACACAAAGTAAGAGTCATCATTCAGCTCAAAAATGTAACACAAGCCTGTACAGTGTTCTCGGTTAACCAGGAAACAAGTATCTTAGTGGGTGTGGCACAAGAATTTTTGAGTTGATTAAAAGGTAAAAAGAAATCACTTGGTTAGCATGGTTACCCAATCTAATGCCACAATATATTTAGTGAGTGTATATATCAAATATAGCATGTTGCACTTTGAAGGAATGTTTGGCCATTTGAGTTTTGAGGCGTTGCTGTGTTCCTAGTTGATGTGTGTTGAGTTGATTTGTTTTTTGAATTCTTAGATCATGAGTTGTTATTGCATGATAATATCCATAGTTTACTCGTTGTCGTTTATATGTGAGTTATTTGTGTTGTATAGGACATAGTATAATAGGTGTATATGTAGCGATACAGGAAGTTGTGCATCAACTGTACGGGCTGTCCAAGCTCATGAGTTCAGTTACTTGAGAAAAAATACTTACCTACTATATCATATAGTTTTATGACGAAGTTAAGATCAGTGAAGTGGTTATAGCCTTTACTACAATTTTCTCGAAATTATGCTTGCTCTGACATATCTTGATTCATGTGATATAATTTCAAATTCTTCTCAGTTATAATTATATAGGGAGCTTCTACATGAATAATATTGCAACTGAATAAAATACTGATTTCAAATGTTGAAGTTGCATCAAATGTTAGGTTTCAAATGTTAATAATTCTCTATTTTTTGTACGATTCCAAATTATATATATCCAGAAATCTGACCATGCAAATATGTTGTACACAATTCAGAACTCACTATCTTTCAGCAATACTATAACAACAGAATAAGTAAAAACTAAACTGCCATCTGGTGCCTCCTTTGTTCTTGTCTGGGATGTTACTGCAAAATTCAAAAGACTTTTTATATTCTCTGAATATTAGCTAAAGCAACCACATAACAACTAACTGAACGTGTACAACAATACACAAGTAGAAAAGTGGGCATTATTAAGGACTGATGTTTTTCATCAAATGTTGTAAGTGCTATTTCAGGTATTTGATCTACAGAGTCTTGCAAGTATATGCAATCTTTTCAGCAAAGTTTTCTGTGGAGTCAGACTACCGTTAATCTGTATATCAATAAATTGTGGAAATATGGAAATTTATTCAAGTGCCACAGAAAACTTTCTTTTTGCCAGCTGCCTGTTGTTTGTGCCTGTGTGTTGTGTTGTGCTACAGTAGCAGGGAGGGGTCATTATATTGTTTTGTACTCATCTTGTACTAGGCTGAATCTCATCACCATCAGGCAATGCATGATCCCTACTTGGCGGAAGAAAACATGGGTCTGCTTGGCGAGGAGGCGCATCGTGCTGGACAGGCACTTCGACTTGGGTGAGACGGCAGAACATGATGTTCATTGTGGCTTTTATCTTCTCAAACTGAAATTGAAATCTTCACTTCTTAAGCTCTTCAAACTTCAGGAATTTCAAATTTACTTCACGCTAATCACTGCATGTATTTAGTTCAGCTACTGATGTGTGCATCAGACTGTACTGTGCTGTTGTAGCTGTTATTTTGATTTAACATTGAAGGCATAGGTAGAAACAAGGACATGTGTTTTATGCTGAGAGATATGTATGTCTGTCATTAGAATGTTTACATTTTCAGTCTAACCCATCAACCAGCTTTAGTCAGGGTCATGTTAACTAGTGTATACAATGTATACCATTCAGCACAGCATTGAAGACGTTTTCCTTGGATCACTTCATAGTGATACATGGTCTATTTTTGATCATCTACTGCAGAAGTCGTGTTATTTGATAATCATGCACCTTTAAGGTGGGAATATTCTCATAATATTTTCAAAAGGCTTAGTCACCAGACCACATTTTACATTACTTTTAGGTCAAAATAATTGGCTTATATGATATTCAACAAGCAGGGCCAACTTAGTTTATTTCTTATGACACTGATGACTAGGGAGCTTTAGGGAGCCATGGGGATATTTCAAATTCTTGAGGCCAACCCTGTTCTACAACAATATGGTATTCTCTGGTAAAATGTCAGCATTCCACACTGACTCTCCGACTGAACTTTTACAGGTTTGTTGCTGGTGTGATTCTGCGGGAGAGAATTCCTGCATTTGAGAGGATGCTGTGGCGAGCGTGCCGCGGTAATGTCTTCCTACGACAGGCTGAGATAGAGGCCCCTCTCGAGGACCCTGTCACAGTATGTACTATCACACATATATATGTAAATTTTCAAATACATATATTTGAACCACATGTTAGTTTACAGACCTTGAGAAACAAGTTAGAATTGGTCTAACCATACTTAATGTTAGAGGTGACTAAAGGATTGGTTGGTCGGATTTATGGGTTTGTTTTATGCTTGTCATGATTTCCTAATTACATAGATTGATGTAGGTGAAGTGAATCACAGGATTGTCTGTTCCAGAGTTGTTGGCGTTAAACAAATACCGATATTATGACTGAGGTTTTGTGTTTCATGATTATTTCATTATGACTCAGATCCCATTATTGCCTTTCCCATCATCTGATGCGCCAGGCATTCAAATACACATAAGTATTACCTGATATCTATCAGGAAGCAGAAATCATCAAAGTACATTTCTATTAGCACTAGAGTGTGAACATATAAATGGTGTGAAATTTGTTCATTATTCTGCAGGATCAGTCCTGTTTGGATTGTCTTTGATATTAGGTGTTACAGACATATTAGTCCTTATCATTGTCTGTGTGAAAAGGTTTTAAATGTTTTGCTGTACAAGTACGTGCAATATAGGACAGCTTGTCATCCCTTGAGTGTATCAGCTTGGTCCATGTAGGATAACAGTGTCACATTGCATTGCCAGGGTGACCAGGTGTACAAGTCCGTCTTCATCATCTTTTTCCAAGGAGACCAACTCAAGAGTCGTGTAAAGAAGATTTGTGAAGGGTAAGATCCTGCTATTCTTACTTGGCAGTGTTTTTAAGTTAAAATATTGTTTTGTTTTGATAAATGAATGTTTCTGAACTCAAGAAAAGATGTTTGTGGAAATATCAAAAGTCCAATGTTTACTGGTTCCTTAGATTGAATGTAAATGCAAGTTAGTTGATAGTCAAGTTTTTAAGGATAGTTCACAAAAATGCCTTAACCATCTGTAAGGAATTTCAGGTTAGGGGATCCCAAAAGCAGTGTTGGCTACGGTCATAGTGACATTTGTATGTCAAGCTCAACTTAGTTAAAGGAAGTGAGACATATTTCAATATAGGGTTTCAGGCAGAATACTTTCTGGCAGGCCCTGGCCTATTTTCAGTTTTAATTCTTATGCCTTTATGGTAAATATGATGTCCTGAATAGTATGTCAGTTATATTGAATGTTGATACACAGATTCCGAGCTACCTTGTATCCCTGTCCCGAGACCCAGGCAGAGAGGAGAGAGATGGCCATCGGCGTGATGACCAGGATCGAGGATCTCAACACTGTGCTGGGTCAGACCCAGGACCACCGGCATCGGGTCCTGGTGGCGGCCGCCAAGAACATCAAGGTGTGGTTCATCAAGGTCAGGAAGATCAAGGCCATATACCACACTCTCAACATGTTCAATCTGGATGTCACACAGAAGTGTCTGATTGCGGAGTGTTGGTGTCCGGTCGTCGACCTGGACCGAATCCAGCAGGCACTCAGGAGAGGCACGGTAAGATTGTGTGGAATTGCCTTCCGACTGGTTACGAATTCAAAAGGTGGAGGGGTTTGGGGCTGATCTCATATTTTCAGAGCTCTGAACTACAGTTCATAGTGGTTTTATAGGGGATTGTAAACCAAAAGTCAATGTGTTCTTTAATCTGATTGGTTGAAAAACGTGATCAAATGGTATTCGATTCCCGGAAATTCGCTACGTATTAATACAAACAAACATTGCTCACGCTATTGTATTGTTACATCGTCAGCTGTGATGACGTCATTAAAATCATATTGTGACGTAAAGTCTGAATGACGTCACAAATGAGCAGTTCAAGATGCTACCATTGGAGACAGCTGAAACGGCCGGCTGATGATATTTCTCTGCTGTACCCGTACTCGATGTCAATGAGTGCAGACACAAAAACGTGTGTGGACCTTTTGGTTTTACTTTTGTGTTTACAATGTCGATTGACAGGAGAGGAGTGGAAGCAGTGTGCCGTCCATCCTGAACCGTATGACCACCAAACAAGAACCACCCACATACAACCGCACCAACAAGTTCACCTCTGGCTTCCAGGCCATCGTCGATGCCTACGGTGTTGCCAGCTACCGGGAAATCAACCCAGGTCAGTGACGTTGCTGCCATTGGGTTTTGTTGTGAAGGTTTCCATTGCTGTCTTTAAGAGAAAGAGATGATGCTCTGATGTTAGCTTGTGGAGACTCGCACAATATAAGTATCTACATTATATTTTTGTCAGTAAGTAACCTTGTAGGCCCCAGAATAGTTCAGGTATCCCATCATGATGACACACAAGGATTTGCGAACCTACTGTGTTGCTGAAGTGCATTGTGTGTTTCTTTTCAGCTCCGTTCACCATCATCACCTTCCCGTTCTTGTTTGCTGTGATGTTTGGGGACATGGGTCACGGAGTGATAATGTTCTCCTTTGCTCTGTGGCTGGTGCTCAAAGAGAAACAGCTGATGGCCAGGAAGATTGACAATGAGGTATGTCTCACAGTGTGTGATATGGTCAATGAATTTGTCAGTCATGGATCACTGTTCACAGATCTCTTGTTTTACTGATCACTCCCTGCCTCTTTTTGAAATAGTAAGGCTAGCGGTGTCACTATGTGCCTACATCACATGTCTCTACAAATTTATACCTTTATGAAACCCATGAAGATCGGAGTTAGAATTGTCTTCAGCAACCCATACTTGTGGTAAAAGGTGGGATCAGATGGTCAGGTTTGCTGACGTGGTTGACACATGTCATTGTATCCCAATTGTGTAGATTGATGCTCATACTGTTCATCACTGGATTGTCTGGTTCAGACTCAATTATTTACAGACTGCTGGCATATTGCTGAGTGCTGCATTAAGCAACAAACAAAACCGTTTATGAATTTTACAATTTCTTCCAGATTTGGACCACAATGTTTGGAGGTCGGTATATAATATTGCTGATGGGTGCCTTCTCCATCTACACTGGGTTTATCTACAATGATGTCTTCTCCAAGTCACTCAACCTGTTTGGATCCAAGTGGCATCCACATAAACAGTGAGATGCTTTGATAGTTTTACCAGATATCAGTTTAAAGTCAAATCAGTTTGAATATTGCATGTGGGTTGCATAATTGCAGCAATTTGTTAATAAGAGTTGTTTCCCTTATCTGTGCAGGGATCTGTGGCATCTGATTCCCAGATTGATCCTGATCATGATGCTTGTTTTACTACCTCCTTTACCCTACTTGTTGGTTTCACCAAGTGATATATAGCTGACATGTCATGAGATCATATTCATCAACATATTCAAAGCATTGTTAAACCCAAGCCGGTCACAAGATAATGATTGCATGGCATTTCTGTGACTGCCAAAGAACCAGGGACTGCCCCCATGATCAAGTGGTTGGAGCTCAGAGAGTAATTATTTGGTGGTTCTATTCCCCTGTCATTTCGTACAAACAGTGCTTGGCATTTAAGGCATAAAACCCAGACTGGGATATCCATGTCGAACTGTGGCATGGTAACTCGGTGGGCTAGCACTAACATGCAGCAAAAGTCCAGGGTCCCGTTCCTCAAAGTGATCGTAGCGCTACGACAGTCGTAAGTCTATGTTAAAGTATGGGAGTTACGATCACCTTAGCGCTACTATGGCTTTCAGGAACGGGGCCCAGACTAGTACAAGCAAGTACGAAGCATGTGCATTTACTATAAAGAGAAGTAATATTGCACGTTAAGTTCCATAGCTCCTTTCCACATCCTAAAGAATCAGACAGCTGGATAACTAATTCAATGTTGTTTTGTTCCAGCCCCTACACAGCCAAACCTGAAATTACACTACAGTTAAACCCAGTAAACACAACCGTCAATGGAGACCCATATGCCATTGGAATAGATCCTGTAAGTTGCTGTCAGTCTACTCTACATGTATAGGACATGATGCATTATAGGACGACATTCTGATGAACAGTGAATTCTCCTATAACTGTTCATTGATATTGAAGTGACTGGTATAATAGTATATGTTTTGCTCACCTGAACTCAGATTTAATGTATGTAACAGTTTGTTCTGACATAATATCCATCTGTATTTGCAAAGTGTTGTTAGAATCTCCTGATCCCCAAAAGGTTGTGTTTTCCTTCTTGCTATAGTCCGTTGGCCTCAAAAGCTGACCGATGATTGGAATCTAACTCAAAAACTACTAAACATATAATACTCAATGAAACACTGATCATAATCAAAACATCAGACCAACTCTGTGATTTTTTGCAGAATTTATGTCCTAAAAATAAAAAAGTTGTTTAACAAACTATCATTAAAATTTTGACAAAGTTCACTATTTGTTACGAGGCAGGACTGCAAAGAGAGGAACAGCCAGGTGTGCGCGGAGCACTTGCTGACAAGTTATTGAATCATTTACATGTGCTGTGATGTTTCCATCCTTTCTCGCACACCTGGCTGTTCCTCTCTTTGCACCCCTGCCTCGTAACAAATAGTGAACTTTGTCAAAATTTTAATGATAGTTTGTTAAACAATTTGTATATTTTTAGGACATAAATTCTGCAAAAAATCACAGAGTTGGTCTGATGTTTTGATTATGATCAGTGTTTCATTGAGTATTATATGTTTAGTAGTTTTCGAGTTAGATTGCAATTCATCGGTCCAATTTTGAGGCAAACGGACTGTAGTTCTTGGGAAGTCGAGATTGGTAGATTTCATTTGTTATTTGGTAACTTACCGAGTCCTGATTTTTGTCTTTTTCAGATATGGCAGTTGGCCTCAAATAAGATTGCATTTACCAACTCCTTCAAGATGAAAACCTCTGTGATTTTAGGAGTGTCACAGATGTTCTTTGGGGTGACCCTCAGTCTGTTCAACCACAGGTATGTATGACTGAAATATCTCACTTCCTGTCAGCTACAAATGTAGTCATACATAAGTTGAGGCATACTAAATGTAACACCTGTTTTGTTAGGACACAAGAAATCCGATTTTCCTCCAAGTAGTCTTGAAATGTTTCCATACTCAAATATTTAGGGACCACTACATAGTGAGTGAGTGTTTAGTTTTATGCTGCACTCAGCAATATTCCAGCTATATGGGGGCGTCGGGGTAGCCTAGAGGTTAAAGCGTTCGCTCGTCACGCCGAAGACCCGGGTTCGATTCCCACATGGGTACAATGTGTGAAGCCCATTCTGGTGTCCCCTGCCGTGATATTGCTAGAATATTTCTAAAAGCGGTGTAAAACTAAACCCACTCACTCACTCACTCCAGCTATATGGCAGCAGTCTGTAAATAATCGAGTCTGGACCAGACAATCCAGTGATCTACAGCAGTAGCATTGATCTATGCAGTTGGGATACAATGCCATATGGCAACCAAGTCAGCGAGCCTGACCACTCGATCCCACCACATAATTGAAATATTGTGGAGTGTGTTGTTAAACAACAAACACTTAGACCACTGCTCATGCTGTCAACCACTGGTTGGCCTTTCACCAAAGTGGGAGACCTGTGAAGGTCTGGGTTAGAATTGGTCTTCAGCAACCCATGCTTGTTGTAAGAGGCCACTTACAGGATTGGGTGGTCAGGTTCGCTGACTTGGTTGATACATGGCATTGTATCCCACTTGCGTAGATCGATGCTCATGATGTCAATCACTAGATTATCTGGTCCTGACTCGATCATTTACAGACCACTGCCATATAGCTGGAATATATCTGAGTGTGGCGTTAAAAGAAAGAAAAGAAGTGTGATTGCATTGACTTTGGCAAAAGATTCACTCACTGTGGAACACCTTCGGAAATGCACACAGGAAGTAAAGAATTTCATCCTCGAAACATTTGCTTCACACCTCACATTTTTGTGGACAGAATCTTGATAGCATCAAGTTAGTATGTGAAGTCATCATAAACGTGTTCTCTTCTCAGGTACTTTCAACGACCTCTGAACATCTTCTGTGAGTTCATCCCCCAAGTTGTGTTCCTCTTCTGTATGTTTGGCTATCTCATCATCCTCATCTTCTACAAGTGGATTCACTACGACTCCACCATCCCAGCACCAAGTCTGCTCATTGGTCAGTCGTGTTCCCCACCTCTGTGAAAGTTAGACTTTTGATATGTGATAGAGGATACATTTCTCTAATTAAAAGACTTAAAACCATTTCTTTTGCAATTTGTTTGAGTTTGGCCTATATTCAGCCTTACATTGATTGGACTACTTTGCTGTTGTTCATAGAAAACATGTGTCGGAACTAGGGGTGGTCCGATTAATTGAAATAATCGAAGCTTGGTCGCAATGACTAAACAACCAAGCAATCATCATGTTTTCTCATAGTCAGACACAAACAATTTTGGAACACTTGCTTGCATTAACAATATTTTTCACAAGGTTGGTTTTGTCTGTTACATGTCATAAACACTACAGGCTCGTTCCAAGTCATAATTGAATTTATCTTAAATACTCCAGGAAATTTATGTTCCTAACTTACTAGACATCCTTTTAAAATGTGAAATTTGAAAAAAAACAAGCGAAAGAACTACACGTCTTTTTTTATTTTTTGTGGATTAAAAAACATAAACAGGACATTTTGATAAATGACGTTAACCAATTATTTTCGATGATTGATCGGTTGTAATGAACCAATCGTCAATTATCAGAAATAAACCAATTCCCAACACTAGTTGGAACTTGGTAACATTCACATTTGTGAGTTATTTCACATGTCAACTTGCACATGCTGGTATGTATTCTGTGTCCAAATGTTGTCTTCACTGAAATTTTGTTTGTTTTGCAGGAGCAATCAACATGTTTCTGTTCAACTACCCTGAAGGCACAATAGCACTGTACAAAGGACAGGTACCATATTATCTTTATGCATATATGTTTGAACATACACTTACATGTTAACATGGTACATTGACATACCTTAATCAACATCACATTTGCCTCACAACTGCCTCCAAGTACTAACATATGATTATAAATCCCTCCCCCTGTCCCTGTACTGGTTGTAAGAAGTTGGATTATCAGAGCTGCTTATTTGGATTAAATATGCAAAATATATCAACATTTCTCTAATTATTTTGATTTACTGGCATACAAACATAAATGGAGAGAGTGGAGTCATCCCACAGATGACATACCTTGTCACATTGCCGATGGTGTTAACTTCTTCAGGCATGGGGACAGGGCATCGAACCTCAGATCAGAGTCTGTGGTTCAGATCCCATCATGGTACTCAGAAATGTTATGGCTGCAGCACTTGAAAAAGTTAAGATGAACAAATTAGTGTAACAACACATTTCAACGAGCATACCTGTATTTCTTTTCAAAGAAAACGCACACAGCTGTCACTAGAGAATATTATTTGTTTACAGCAAGGATTCCAAGGGTTCCTGGTTGTGGTTGCAGTGCTGTGCATCCCCTGGATGCTGTTGGTCAAACCATTCTTCCTCCGATACCAGCATCGATACGGACAGGTATGGAACTCTTTGTCAATTGATGTGAATAGCCTAGAACATGCGATAACTCATGGACACTACACAATAACCTATTTCTCTCATGTGTTCTTCTTACAGAAGTAAGTACTACAGTGTGTACTATGCCTTTATGGTATCACTGTCACGTGATCCATGCCATTGGTGATGTGTTAGTTCGTCAATGTGTTCCACATCATAAACCACATGGTATCACGATCACATGATCCATCCTGTCGGTGACGTTCTAGTTCATCAATGATACCACATCATAGAACAGATGGTATCACTGTCGTGTGGTCCATGCCAACTGTAATGTTTGTCAATGTGTATCACATCTTTGGTCAGACTGAAATATTCTCCTGTGGTCCATGCCATGGGTGATGTGTACCATGTTTTGATGGTACCAGTAGGTATTGTCATCATGGCTGTCCATGCCATTCTCTTAGTGATCTTAGGTCTACACAGTCTGAGGCAGTCTTAGTCTGTGTCTAGGTGGTATGGAATGCCCACCTTGAAAGTGTCCAGTCTGAAATACAGCATTGAGTGTAACTGCATAAGAGGTGTATGTCTTTGAAAACTGCTGCTGTCAACATGGTTTTAGATAGAAGGTGATGAGGTTAAGTCCTCATATCTGTCCTGAGAGTGTCCTGGTGCTTCCTTCCTTTACACGCCTGTAGTCATGGTGACCACTGACAGCCCACTGTACCCTTATTCCAGAGATTGTGAACCAATGAGTCGGCAGTAAAGAAACAGGATTACCAAAACGTCTGGACCAGTATCAGTACATTGTGCTCACCTTATGACCTGGAGGGGGCGGTGGGGTAGCCTAGTGGTTACAGCATCCGCTCGTCACGCCGAAGACCCGAGTTCGATTCCCCACATGGGTACAATGTGTGAAGCCCATTTCTGGTGTCCCCCGCCGTGATATTGCTGGAATATTGCTAAAAGCGGGGTAAAACCAAACTCAGTCAGTATGACCTTGACTAGGAAGATGCATGTAAAAAATATTTGGACACAGACACGATTTTTTTACAAATGTAGGGATTGCATGTTCTCTGATGACAGTGGCGGATCCAGAGAAATTGATTTAAGATCACATGGAAGATTTTTTTGCGCTGACGGAGCCAAAGGGGGGTTCAGGGGGTTTGAAGCCCCTCCTTTCAAAATTCCTGGATCCGCCCATGAATGATGTACTTTGTTCAGGATTATACACCGGGGATATGAATTAACATTGATTCTGAAGCTTTGTACAATGGGGTCGCCTTGTCGTGCAGTCTCTTAATAAGTAGCAGTGAACAGTAGCTGGCATGAGGATACTAAGCTTGTAAGTGTGAACTTTCTGGTGATGTTGTTTTCCATTGAAGAATGGTGGGACAGCCTCGGGGTGTAAAGTATTGGTGTAAAGTATTGTCTGACCAAAGTCTTGGGTTGGATTCCCTACATGGCTTCACTTGCGAACTCTTTTCTTGTTAGCTAATGCGATATGGCTGTAATAGTTACTTATGAACAAACTCACTCTCTCACTCACTCACTCACCCATGTGTTTTCTTAATTTACTTCCTCTTTCAGTATGGCTTTGCTTATACTTAATAAGTAATGTTCTCTTCTAGCGTTCTATCGAGAGTAGTTGGAGCAGCAACTCAAACAGTAGTTTCTGCATGTCCTTATTTATACTATGCTCTTGTTAATGCCATAAAAACGTCAAGGACATTCTCAGTGTATCAGGAAATTCTTTTCTTGTTTTTGAAACTTTGTAAGTGGTCCTTTTGTTCATATAAAGGGCAGTGGGGTAGCCTAGTCATTCTAGCATTCACTCGTCACTCCGAAGACCTGGATTCCCAACATGGGTATAGTGTGTGAAGCCCATTTCAGCCGTGATATTGCTGGAATATTGCTAAAAGCGGCGTAAAACTAGGCTCACTCACACATTTTGTCCATGTATAGTTGTGATGTCCCACTTTGTAACAGCTTAAGTAGCAGTATGTTTAGACACTACTGATCATGAATTGTACATGTTCTGTTGGACTTACCTGCTCTTAAGCGTCAGTTAGAAATTATTTAAAGAGAAACTGCTGATCTTCTACAATGTTCCATGGACAATAAACATGATCCCATTAGTCAACGTTCGGCACAAGCTTTCTATGCCCATTTCAGTTGAAGAGTTTAACATTCCTGAATGGCAGCCAGACTGATGACTCCGAGGTAGCGTTTGTGTCATTTCCTAATTCACCAGGGGAAAGTACTAACCCTAGCGTACAGGTGATTCTCGAGTTAATCCTTGGTCCTTTCTGACTTGGTGAGGGTGGATAGCTTGACTGAGCTTGTGGATGCAGCTGGAGTAATGCCTGGAGGCCTTCTCTACCTATTCTAGGTGTAGGTTCCTCTCTCCTTTCTTCTCTTCAAAAGCTGACAGATATTTTCTTTAGGTTTTACTATTCTATCATATTTGTATTTTTTTACAATTTCTGTCAAGGATGGTTTTAAGAATGAAAGTGATTTTTGTTTTCAAAGAAATGAATGTATTTGAGATGTTATAAAACACATGGTCACATTTGTTTTTGGTGAAATAGCTAATGAAATTTAAAAGATACTAGACTAGCTCAGTTAAGTCAACCTAACAACACTGTACTCTACTGCTAACTAAAGCTTTATCTCATGGAGATGAGTTCTCTATTTTCCACCCCATGTAACATTTACACAGGTCTGTTTAATGTGGGATGGGAGCCTGGAGCAATCATATGCAAACTTTATACTGCAGTATGTAGGATTTGGGTCTGTGTGCTTAACAAACACAGCTGCCTAACTGCCTGGAGCAATCATATGCAAACTTTATACTGCAATATGTAGGATTTGGGTCTGTGTGCTTAACAAACACAGCTGCCTAACTGCCTGGAGCAATCATATGCAAACTTTATACTGCAGTATGTAGGATGTTGCCTGTATTGTTAACAAACACAGCTGCCTAACCTGTAAGCCCTAACGCTAAGAGCCAGCTATGTAGAAATCCACACACAAGGTGTTATGATACATGTATTTCCATGTTTTGCTTCTCACAATATTTCTGCAGAAAAACTATTTAAAATCATGTATTTGAAAAGATGTACCCAGACCAGATTATGGTAGTGTGTGGGACCTTCAAGGTATACCCTTTCTGTTTTTAGTTTGAAGATGGTTATTAAAACCCTGTTTTATGTGCATTTCAAGGCAACCCCTGTTTGTTGAAGGTTTGATGTGTTTCAGCTTTAAGATTATACATGAGAACTGGTAACCATGTGTTAAACTGAGAGGGTGTTTTAATTCTGGACCAGGAATATTGTTAATGTTTATGATTGAAGACTATCAAGATGTGTTTAATGACTGCAAATCAACATCACTGTATGATTTCTGACAATATTTGATAATTTAATAATTCGCTTGTAAATATTTTTTCATGACATCAAACAAAAAGCAACATAAAGATGAGTTAAAATAAGAATATATTCTCTCACAAAAGTTTCCATTGCTGTACTTAAAGCCATGTCATGCAACACACAATTGTGCGCCTGCATCTACCTCTTTCAAATCTTGTTGGCTTGAGTTATGTTTTGAGAATTGATTGTCACTGAGGATTAACTCGAAGAATCAGCTGTGATAGTTCCCTGAACAGCATGATGTCATTCTGGATGTTGTGTGCTCCCCTGCTACCGTTTTCCACAACTTAGGTCATGAAATATTTAATCCTTTGCTAATTGCTTCTTGTCAAGTGAATTTTGTGGCACGATCGAGAGTTATCTCATAGCAGTTACTGTATGTGTTAGATTCGATCAGTGTATGTTGATTTGCATTGGCATTAAGCATTTGGAGGTTTCTGCAAACTTTGACAGTGTTTTTGCATGGGGTTAGGGATGACTGATACTCATCTTTCACTCACTGTTGTTTTGGGCATGTTGCTACACAAGATTTACTCAAGTGTATGTTTTTCCATTCTTGCATTTTTATGATTATTTCCTTAATCATTCTGTCAACTGAACAAATTCTAACCATATTAATTGCACTTTGGTAATGGTTTTGGTTGATTTGTGAAATTTGATAGGTTTGAATTATCCATTATTGAGATTTGTATGTGATATTTTAGTTTGTAATCTGGGCACAGGAATATTATTGCGTTCATTTCTTAATTTTCCAATCTAATCCCTTTAGATTTTGAACAGAATAGACAAAAGTAAAGTATAAACAATATTTTCTCACACATTGACATGGTGGAGAGTTCTCTCCCGTGTGGTGACAAAGCATGGGCGTGAGTGGATTTGCAGATATGAATTGTCATTCTTTTCATCGATCGTTCAAGATTGTTTCTCTGAAACTGATTCTGAGGTTGTAGTTTGCAGAAATCTAGCATCCATTCTCTGTCCTGTGTCTGGTGCATGTCCTGTGGCTGACTTAGTCGTGTCTTGCTTCCAGTTCAAACATCAGCAGCTCTCCGTCAACAGCGGCGACCTTCTCAACCATGACCAGGAAGTCGTACATAATGAAGTGGGTTCTGGACTTCATCATGAGGAGGAGGAAGAAAAGGTGAATAGGCTCGCTCAATGAATTACTGAGCTAGAGGGCCAACAAGGTGGTACTCTCCAGGGGAATATTAACTAGCAAATTTTCTACAAGATGATAGGAAAAGTCTGTTAGGCCATCATTGAATGGAAAAACATATAAATTGCTTCCTTATTCTTTTGCCCATACAGATGGTCTGTGCTTGTGATTTGCCTACCCAGGCCCAATTTCACAAAGCTATCGTAGCGCTACGACTGTTGTACCTCCTGCAACATAGACTTACAACAGTTGTAGCGCTACGATAGCTTTGCGAAACAGGACCAGGACTTTCAAATCTTACAACAATGTTGGCTTAAAAAAAGGGTCAGGAGTACGGTGTACTCTGCCAAGAAACAAACTATTGGGATTATTCTGTTTATTCATGTCAGTTCTCAAGCAATACAAAACAATTGGCCATAATGGTTCCTAAAGATATATTTAAATATTTCTTAGAATATGACTGTGAGAGCCACTTGTGTTATAGTTTCTTGGTGTACCAGAGAAATAAGCCTTGAGTGTGACATAAATATATAGATATATATATGTGCATGATATCTTGCTGTTTATATGCATGTCCTTTAGTCCTAGTCATATATTGTATACTACTCTGTCAAGCATGGTTATACTTCTGTAAGGAGCCAATCAGCTTCTGTTTCTGTAAGTTTCAATTTCCATTTGTATATATGCTTATAATGCCCAGTAAAATAATGTGTATGTTTATGTGAAAATGTATGTGAGCTTCCACATTATATGGGTAAGGTTTGTATCTATCAGTGCAAAGATTAAAATACACAATCTCTAATGACATATACTGTTTCAAATGATATACAGGGACTTGTGACTTATATAGGGAAGGTGCTTGACTAGTGACGTATAAAGGGCTGCTGTTTGTTTTGTGAATTGAAACGGGGATGTCTTTGACAAGTGTCATTTAAGGGAAATGTCTTTTAAGGAAATGTTTTTAGTGACCTAGATGTTTGAGTAGTTTGACTAGTGACCTAGAAGGGAGATGTGTTTGACTAGTGACCTAGAAGGGAGATGTGTTTGACTAGTGACCTAGAAGGGAGATGTGTTTGACTAGTGACCTAGAAGGGAGATGTGTTTGACTAGTGACCTAGAAGGGAGATGTATTTGACTAGTGACCTAGAAGGGAGATGTGTTGACCTAGAAGGGAGATGTGTTTGACTTGTGACTTACACTGGACGTGTTTGTCTGTTGACTTTGAAGAATGATGTTTGACTACTGACTTACAAGGGATGTGTTTATTTGACAGGTGTTTGACTTCCCCGAGGTGTTCATCAACCAAGCCATCCACACCATCGAGTACTGCCTTGGCTGTATCTCACACACTGCATCCTACCTGCGACTCTGGGCTCTCAGTCTGGCTCATGCTCGTAAGTCCTTCAAAAGGTTCTTATTTCTGCTCAGAATTATTCTAAGGGTACTGTGATCTGGAAGTCAAGTTAACTTTCTGGTATTGCAGTTTTGGGAAACAGGTCACATCCTCTTTGCCTTCCAACATTCGAGGCTCCAAACCATGCTAACCATCTTGTTACTATACTGATTCAGCGCCCCAGTAGGATATTTGTCTTATCAGTGCTGAAATATTATTATTTCTACCTAACAACCATCATAAGTAATATTACTTTCTCCTCACTGCTGAACAGAGTTGTCTGAAGTGCTGTGGACCATGGTTCTGCGAATCCCCCTGTCTATCGATGGCTACTTTGGCAGCGTCATGATGTTCTTCGTGTTCATGGCCTGGGCCAGCATGACTGTAGCAGTGCTGGTGGTCATGGAGGGTCTGTCTGCCTTCCTGCATGCTCTACGTCTCCACTGGTAAGAATCAGTAATTTGCTTACATATACAGACATTGTAAATACATGCTCCCTGTTTTCACAGTAAAGAATCAATCATTTGTCCACACATACCAATGCTTTTAACACAAGTCTCCACTTGAGAAAGTCGGTCATTTGTCAGTGACAAATATTAAATGGCACATATCACTATATAGATAAATGAAGGTTTAGATAATGTGCCAGTGATCTAAGCAATTTTGTGTTACTCGTCAACATCAGGAACTTCCCTTCCTACCAACCGTAAACAAAGCCTGTTTGTGTGTAGAAACACCCACACATCCAGAAACACTTGTAGAAACTTACTGGGACAATTAGGCAAAGTTTTTTGAGCAACTAGACATGCATTGATCCATGGACATTATAGAAAATAGTTCTTGCAAGGTGGCCTCATTTGCATATTTATCACATTTAGGTACACAGTGGGGCATGGATGGCCCAGTTGTGCAGAGATTCCTTAGGGAAACCTATGGTTTGGGGTTCAAATCCTAATTTGCCCCAACTATGTTTCTAGGTTTGTCAGCACCAATTTTGTGGTAAATTTCTTAGAGTGATGCACACTTTAGGCTTTCTTGTCCACTAGGCTGACATACTTTGATATAACTGGACTACTGATCAAAGCAGCCTTAGTCCAAACTCATTCACGTATTATGATGTGTTTAACACATTGATGACATGATACAGTTACAAACCTACTTTTTCTTCCACAGGGTGGAGTTCCAGTCTAAGTTCTACAAAGGTGAAGGTTACAAGTTCCAACCCTTCTCCTTCGAACACATCCTTGACTATGGCGGCGAAGAGTAGCTGTCTAGTGGCAGTTTGAATTACATCACCTTACCCATGGTGGCTTGAGTCAGTGCTAACGATGACAAATGAACAACAGTTCTAATGGATGTTCATTAGCTTTAGACTATTAGGTTGTGTGTGTGTGATATCTGACACCTAAAATTGTCATGACGGTGATAATCAGAAACTTATATTCGTAAATGTCTTCTGCCTATTGGTTTGTGGATAAACAGAAATGCTAACACGAGGTGTTCATCTCACTCAGCTAAATTATTATCCCCCGCCATGAAGTAGGTGAGGGGATGTAAGTCTGAGTTCTGTCCGTTCGCCCAAGATGATAGGGGACAGGTTTTCTCAAAAACAAATAGAGGTCGGGGAAACCAAATTTGGTATGTGTTTTCAGAATGCCTTGATGAGTTAAAAAACGGAAACCATGTTACAATTTGTTACAGAGTTATGGCCCTTGAAGCGTTTCTTGACTTCAGGCAATGGGGACAGATTTTCTCATTTTAACAGCTTGTGTATCATTATGTGTAGGAAAAATGAATCGTCAAAATAGGAACAGAACACTGTGGCAGGGGATACTGATGACCATGTCTTGTTTAAAACTGCTTTTGTTTGTTACTGTGTGAAATGTCGAGAATTTATTAAGCATCAAAAAACTTATGGGTGTTTTTTGTTTGATGCTGCACTTAGCAATATTCCAGCTATATGGTGGCTTCAACATGTGTTATGCAGGGCAATTTAATGTGATACTGGAGGATCTCTTAGGAATTTATATATTTTGTCAGATATTTCTTAATGGTGGTTTTTTGTTGTGTGGTTAAAATTTACTTTGACACTGCTGAGCACATGATCTCACATCTGTCAGTACAGCATATTCTTTATATGTACAGTCAGTGTGTTCAAATTCAATTGAAATTTGTCCAAGAATGTTGAGACCTAGTTGATGCATCTCTCCATTTCCAAATCCCTAGATCTAAACTTGAATATTTACTGACTGCTGTATTGCCTAACATATACTTATTGACAAATATTTTGGGATCGGCCTCTTCTTTGAATCATTGTTTTTCAAGGATGGTTTGAGCTTATTTTGTTAAATTTCTTTCTCCCAGTAAGACTTTTACAGCCTGTAACTTACACCTTGTGTGTAAATAGAATTTCTGTTGTTATTTATTGCTGTTGTACAGTGTTGTATTAAATATGATGCAGCAGTGGTTGTGTTCTTCCTTCACTTTCTGCCAGTTCAGCAAAAATTCCAACATTCAAGATGCAGTCTTCCAAATGATGAACCTGGCGAAAACAAACCCATAAAGCACACCTTTCATAGCAAACCATTTGTATGAATAATTAGATGTATCATTCAAATCTTACAAATAGAACGATGAGTGAGTTTTACACTGCTTGTAGCAATATTCTCGCAATATCACGGTGGGGGGGACACCAGAAATGGGCTTCACACATTGTACCCATGTGGGGAATCGAACCCAGACCTTCAGAGTGACGAGCGAACGCATTAACCACCTGACTGGTTTCATCATGGGTACTTGTTAATTGCCCAAACTTTGTGCTGTCCCGAGGTCTTCATATAGAGATATACAACAAAACATAAGTTTTTTGTGTATAAGTTCTTAATTACCAGAACAATTTTTTTTATTAATTTCATTAATTCTATCAAGAGTGTTGATAAACATTCCAATTTTCAAACCTCAAAGTTTTATTCAAGGCCAAAATTCTTATCGAATCATCAGGAAGCCAGAAAGTGAAATTTCTTCATCATGGAGGTTGGTGATATTTGTTCAAAGGTAAGAGAAGCTGAATGACCAAAGTGCTCATCAACAGACATGGGGATTGAAAAGAGGCGAGGCTTGAAAGTTAGCAGCACTGATAATATGCACATATTACTACAATTCAACACATATAATCTGTATCAGCAAACATCATGGAACTAGCACTGACAAAACTGGTATCACAGTTTCAAAACAAGGTCAGGGCCCCATTTCACAAAGCGTGGTAATGCTACCTGACTGTGGTAAATTATATGCCCTAAAACTGGCCTACGACTGTTGAAAGAGCTTTGTGAAACGGGGCCATGTTCTCTATTCAAATTATATCACAAAACATGCATGTTGATGGTGGTGTCAATCAATAGAAGTCGTCATATCCATTGAGCACAGCTAAGGCAGCCCCAGCTTCAGGGTCCCACGGCTTGATGCCCTGACACAACATCTCGTACACCTCATCTTCATCAAATCCCAGCACACCATAATTGTCATCCGAATCGTCACACTCGTCAACATCAAAGGGATTCATGAGAGACAACTCCCGACTGAAATGAAACATACTATGATGTGAATGTACAGATGAATACATAAGATAAGGTAATTGCTTTACCGGTATTATCCCAAGGGAAATTTGTTTTGCATCATATGAAGTTCTCCAGTTTTTCTTTCATAAGGCAGCCATATGTAACATTGCAATGATAATCATAAAACTATTGTTTAAAATAATCAGGATATAAATACATCAATTTAGTACACAAACATTGATATTGACTAGAATTTGGACAGTTGGAGGACAAGTCATTGATTGAATTTGTTATTAATACATGTAATACTAGCTGGAACAAATGAGTGGCGAACCCTGTTTGTTCTAAATGTCGGCATACACAGCCTGCATCCAGAAGGTAATGATGAATATTCCGAAAAAATTAGTGAGTAGGAAAACTTAAAATTTTGTTTGCCTTTTTTGAAATTTGCTGCTCATAACAACTGCCGATACTTTTGATAGGAAGCCCAATAATTTTAGACGCAGTGTTGAAGATTTTTGAGAGTTTGCTTTTATTCTGGACAGACAGGTTCCTGAATCAATTAAAGGTTATGACACTTTGAGTAAATGTTTTGTAAAATAACATCATGATAGTTAGGTCGATTTTGAAATGTTTCAACATCCACAAAAAATGCAAGCGTTGTTGTCCTTTCTTATATATTTTCTCAGTGTTATCGATCCAGGAGAGTTTTTAATCTAAGACAGTACCCAAATGTTTGTATTCAGTTACTCTTTCTATTTCATTATCTTCAATACTTACAGCATTTATTGTTGAATTAGCTTTTCTAAAATCTATGATCATTTCTTTGTTTTTTTGCACATTCAAAAATAAAAAGGTTGATTTACACCATTCTACAAATTTTGAAATTTCAGCTCTAACTAAGTTCTGATTCCCTAACCAGGCCTACTAATGCAGCATCATCAGCGAATTTAATTGTAAAACATGTTTCTGCGTTGGATACATAGTCATTGGTGTACAAAATCGGTGAAATAACGCAACCTTGTGGAGCGCTAGTTGATGTGTTTACATTATTAACCTGTACAAATTGTTGTCTGTTAACTAGAAATGAATTAATCCATTTGATGATGTTAGAATTAAAAGTTTATCAATTAACAAATGAGGTTGAATAGTATTAAAGGCAGATGAAAAATCAACAAACATTATTCTCACATAAGTACCATTGTTTTCTAAATGCTTATAGACATTGTTTAACATTGATTGTTGCATCTTCTATACTCCTTGCTCTGTATGCAAGTTGTAATGGGTCAAGAACATGGCTGACTTCATTCAACAATAAATGTCTTAACAATGCGTTCTAAACATTACACGGCAACAGAGGTTGGGGCCACTGGTCTGAAGTCATTATTAACAGAGGGATTTTTCTTTTTTTAGGCAATGGAACAATTTTAGAGGTTTTCCAAAGAATGGGAACATTATGAGAATTAATTGATATCTGAAAAAGGTTTTGAAAAATAACAGCCAGTTGCACTCTACATTCCTTAAGAACAATCCCAAACAAGTTATCAGTCCCACAACATTTATGTGGATTTATCTTAGCGAATGAATTAATCACATCATCAGTCGATATCTTTAACATTTCACAAGGTGGAAGCGATTCCAATACAAGTTTCCTTTCATCTGAAAAATCTCCAGTATCAAAATGGGAGTAGAAAGAGTTGGACTCATTTGAAAAAGATAAGTCATCGCAGGATTCCAATATTGTCGAGGTCTAATATTTGATCCAATGATAGTTTTTATGCCACTCCATGCATTACGTAAATTGTTTACAGAAAACTCTTTCAATCCTTGTTTTGTATTCACCTTTACACTTCCATGTTAAACAAGCAATCTCTTTCTGAATCTCTTTAACCTTGACCTTGTCCCCTGCACAAAAAGCCCTTTTCTTTTCATTTAAAACTGATTTGAACTCTTTAGTTACCCAAGGCTTGTTATTAGGAAATATGTTAATACATTTGACTGGCACAATGTTTTCTACACAGAAATTTATATAAATTTATAATACATGTTGAGTAAACTACAGACAGGGCCCACAGTCATTGGCTCAGTGGGACATGTACATGATGTACTGTTCCAGCCTGAACTAGACAAACCAGGAAGCAACATCAAACGTTGAATCAAGTCGGCACTGAACTATACAATCCACTAAGTTACCTTTCATCACATAGAATCACAGTAGTGATGCATTCACATACAACTGTTTATAGTAGATTCCTAATGGGCAATTTCACAGATAATATTGGTTGAGTATTCCTAACTGGATTGGGTGATCAGGCATGTCATTGTATCCCAATTGCATAGATCGATGCTCATGCTGTTGATCACTGGATTGTCTGGTCCAGACTCAATTATTTACAGACAAGCCACCATATAGCTGGAATACAGTTCTGTGCGGCGTTAAACAACAACCAAACCAAACCAAACCAAACCAAAACCAAATCAATGTTTGCAAGAGGAAGTGTTTTCAATATTGTTTGTAGGAAGATTGTTTTGATAAGCGATTGGACATAGTTTCCTGAAACATACAGAATGCTGAATATAACTGATATGTTCCTGCTGAACAGGGACGATGTTAACAAGACGGGTTGATTGAAGGGAGGTAACTCACCCCAGATACTTCATATCTTCATCTTCCAGATCTACCTCCCCCTCGGTTGAGTCAGCTCCCTCCGCAGTCAGGTAGTCACACATAAACTGGGTGAAGTCCTTCTCCGTGTCATTGCCAGCATCGCGATCTGCATAAACACCAACAATTAGTTTTCTGTGGAGCAGTTAGTGTCAGTAATAATCACTGGGCATTTTGCTTCCTGCTTCATGCTGATTTTTTTTATTCCCTTTATCAATGTCATATCAGTGAGTGATTGAGTTAAAATTTAATGTCACCATGGCAATATTTCAGCCATATTCTACAGGCAAATGTCTACTTTACCCAGTGTTTCCAGGCGGTCACCCATCCAAGTACCAGGGTTTTACATGATGCGTGATTCCTGCTTATTTGAAGGAACAATTTTGTAAAAGACTCTCAAAATATTATCATACGAGTCAAGCTTGATGCAAGTTTTATGAGTGACCCTAGAATTCAGTTTCAATAAAATTGATTTGATAAGCAAACAATGATAGTTTTCATGAGGTCTTCATTAATTTAGATATTTCTTTCAATTCATGTTAATAACTGTATGCTAAAGTGAATAAATCACAAGCATGATTATTTGTTCAGTTTACTGTATTTTGTTATGACTGATTTGAACTGTGAAAAATAAACTATTTATTAATTTCCAGTAACATTTAAATGGCAATACAACACAAAACAACAAAATCTCTGCAAAACTCTTGCTTTTTGATATACACACAAGTATTACGCTAAATGTTCACGACTCCCAAACATTGAAAATGACTCCCCAAAATAAATACTGTGAGTCACCATGACTCTTTTTTCAAAGTCTGTGTAAAACCCTGCCAAGTTCTATCCAGGCCCGACTATCAAGCCCGGACGGATGAGAAACGGTTTTCAACTTCGTATGGCCTCATGTCAATGCATCGGTTGAGAACCAGTGTTTTCAACATGGTATGGCCTCATGTCAATGCACCATCACAATACATTGAAGACGATCAGATAGCAGCTGATGATGTTTAGTAATAACCAACTATTAAAAATAACAAAGGCTATTCCAGCATTATCACAGCAGGGGACACCAGAAATGGGCTTCACACATTGTACCTTCACACATTGAGCCTATGTAGGAATCAACCTTGGTCTTCAGCATGACCCTCCAGATGCTTTAACCATTAGGCTACCCACGCTTGACTGCCCCCGACAGTCATTGTTATCAGCAAACAATGGACTCAATCACTGAGTTTGACCACCACATCTATGTGTTATTTGGCTCTTACAACAAGCACTGGGAACTCTAGAAATCATAACCTTTAATTGTTTTCAGTGTACTTTGCATAATCTTTTCAGACATATGATGGAATTCCAAAAAACAACAGAATCTGCTCAAATGATAATCAAGAAAATGAATTCCATTTTCAATTAGTTTGTCTGATATAATAATCTCTTCATAATCATTATGTAATCATAAATTGTACTTTTTATTGTGGTTACGGTCTGACAACCTAAAACAAAATGTTGAGCCTTGTTTTGCCTGGCAATCCAGTGGTTAATGGACCAAGGAAAGAGCTACACTGTCAGGGTACATTGACAGTCACACATTGTCTCAGCCCTAATCTCTTTCTGAATGTCCATACCATCACACACTTTGACAAGAGACAAATCTTACCAACAAACATCTGGGCCACACAATCCAAATCATTAGAATGTTCCTTCTGTGCAGAACCTGTCACCTTTGCCTTGGCTACAATATGCTGGAGAAAAGCGTGTGCATTTTTGAAATGGCGGTCACATTCCGTGCAGACGGCAAACCTACGAAAAATGCCCTTAGCAAGGAATGATGTATGTCTGCCATCCATACGACGTAGGTTCTCCAAGTAATGCTCCTTCAAGTTGTCATAAGCATCAGAACCCTCATAGTAGACACTGCACTGCCCTGAAAACACAAAATGGAGGAGATGATTACCTGTACAAAGTAGGCTGCAGTAGTGGTCACATGAAATATGAATGGAAATAAATCTAGGCCAGAAGAGGCAGCATAGAAATAATGACCAATGCAACTCACTTGGACATTGTCAACAAATACTCAACCTAATTGCTGACCCTAATGATGTTGAAATATTGGCTTCATAAATACTGTGTGGTGGTGGTGTAGACTAGTGGTTACAGCACAATCACATGTAATGTCTTTGGGTCTATCAGGGACAATGCTCTCACCACTGTAATGTCTTTGGGTCTATCAGGGACAATGCTCTCACCACAGGTAATGTCTTTGGGTCTATCAGGGACAATGCTCTCACCACATGTAATGTCTTTGGGTCTATCAGGGACAATGCTCTCACCACATGTAATGTCTTTGGGTCTATCAGGGACAATGCTCTCACCACATGTAATGTCTTTGGGTTTCAGGGACAATGCTCTCATCACATGGAATGTCTTTGGGTCTATCAGGACAATGCTCTCACCACTAATGTCTTTGGGTCTATCAGGGACAATGCTCTCACAGGGACAATGCTCTCACCACATGTCATGTCTTTGGGTCTATCAGGGACAATGCTCTCACCACTAATGTCTTTGGGTCTATCAGGGACAATGCTCTCACCACATGTAATGTCTTTGGGTCTATCAGGGACAATGCTCTCACCACATGTAATGTCTTTGGTCTATCAGGGACAATGCTCTCACCACATGTAATGTCTTTGGGTCTATCAGGGACAATGCTCTCACCACATGTAATGTCTTTGGGTCTATCAGGGACAATGCTCTCACCACATGTAATGTCTTTGGGTCTATCAGGGACAATGCTCTCACCACATGTAATGTCTTTGGGTATATCAGGGACAATGCTCTCACCACATGTAATGTCTTTGGGTCTATCAGGGACAATGCTCTCACCACATGGAATGTCTTTGGGTCTATCAGGGACAATGCTCTCACCACATGTAATGTCTTTGGTCTATCAGGGACAATGCTCTCACCACATGTATGTCTTTGGGTCTATATCAGGGACAATGTTGTAATGTCTTTGGTCTATCAGGGACAATGCTCTCACCACATGTAATGTCTTTGGATCTACCAGGGACAATGCTCTCACCACATGTAATGTCTTTGGGTCAGGGACAATGCTCTCACCACATGAAATGTCTTTGGGTCTATCAGGGACAATGTTCTCACCACATGTAATGTCTTTGGGTATATCAGGGACAATGTTCTCACCACATGTAATGTCTTTCGGTCTATCAGGGACAATGCTCTCACCACATGTAATGTCTTTGGGTATATCAGGGACAATGCTCTCACCACATGAAATGTCTTTGGGTATATCAGGGACAATGCTCTCACCACATGTAATGTCTTTGGGTATATCAGGGACAATGCTCTCACCACATGTAATGTCTTTTGGTCTATCAGGGACAATGCTCTCACCACATGTAATGTCTTTGGGTATATCAGGGACAATGCTCTCACCACATGTAATGTCTTTGGGTCTATCAGGGACAATGCTCTCACCACATGTAATGTCTTTGGGTATATCAAGGACAATGCTCTCACCACATGTAATGTCTTTGGGTATATCAGGGACAGTGTTCTCACCACATGTAATGTCTTTGGGTATATCAAGGACAATGCTCACCACATGTAATGTCTTTGGGTATATCAGGGACAATGTTCTCACCACATGTAATGTCTTTGGGTATATCAAGGACAATGCTCTCACCACATGTAATGTATCAGGGACAATGTTCTCACCACATGTAATGTCTTTGGGTATATCAAGGACAATGTTCTCACCACATGTAATGTCTTTGGGTATATCAGGGACAATGTTCTCACCACATGTAATGTCTTTGGGTATATCAGGGACAATGCTCTCACCACATGTAATGTCTTTGGGTATATCAAATATCAATGACAATGCTCTCACCACATGTAATGTCTTTGGGTATATCACAATGCTCTCACACACTCACCACATGTAATGTCTTTGGGTATATCAGGGACAATGTTCTCACCACATGTAATGTCTTTGGGTCTATCAGGGACAATGTTCTCACCACATGTCATGTCTTTGGGTATATCAAGGACAATGCTCTCACCACATGTCATGTCTTTGGGTCTATCAAGGACAATGTTCTCACCACATGTAATGTCTTTGGGTATATCAAGGACAATGCTCTCACCACAGGTAATGTCTTTGGGTTTGCGCCTCGGCTTCACACATTCCTCACTGCTGCGACTCAAGTCTGCATCCAACAGGCTGAAATCTGAAGATGCTTCAGTGACATCAGTTGACGGCGTTGTATTGGACAACATGGATTGGTCCGACTCTGATGTGGTCGGAATCGATGAGGAAGTATCCAGGTCGGAAAGGTCCTGAAAGTATCATAGCACGGAACCAGACTCCAAAGATAGGACAACAAACATTCACCAAATTTAAAACTGCAGATTGAGATTATATGTAAAACTAGTGATGTAAATAACTATGACCAAATTTAAGTGGTGGCATCGATGACAACCAGACCCAGTAAACTATCATTCACCTGAGTTTTCATTTGATAGTCCATAGGGCCATGTCTGTTGAAGCAGGATGTGCCAAATCTGCAGTTACCAGACCTTGAGAAGAAAATACACCATGTTATACTGCAGTTTTACTATAGAAGATAAAGCACCTGCGGTTATACTATTCAAATTGTAACGCGAGTGTATTAATGAGTCAGTGCTCAAATTCCTCATCAGCTACAGAGATGAATAGAGGATTTTAAACAATGACATGCCACTGTAGCTCACCTGGGCTCACAGTGTAAATTGTTAATAAATACATACCTACCTTTAAAACAAATGTTGATGTCTGAATTGCTCATAAAATATTTTCTTTTCATATACTGAGGCCTAAGGAATACACAAATCGATAGAATGTTGGAACATTATATTACATTCTGAACAGTGGCCATGAATGGCTTTGACAATTTGAAAACTGAATTCAAGCTTCTCGAAATATGTCAGATTTGAACATTCATTAAAATCAAGTACATGAATTTTTGAGCTCTGTTGTCAATACAAGAGTTCTGTTAGGAGATGCTGTTTACAATGTGAGGAACACGATTTTTTGCAAAGGTGATATAGGAACATGATTTTTGCAAAGGTGATATCAAGGTCAACAAGACTTATCAGGAAATGACATATCCCCCAGTCTGGTGTAATTCAGAAAATGAGTTTGGACAGTTGTAACCACACGTTTGGCTCATTGCCTTTGTGTTTGGTTTCGAACCCCCTGAACCAAGGGTGAATGCCAAGGATGTGGACAAACTGTTGCAGTGGTGATGTGGACAAACTAGTGAGTGAGTGAGTGAGTGAGTATGGTTTTACCATACAATATTCCAGAGCACAAATATACATATTGTACCCATGTGGACATAGTATAGGAATTTAAGATGAACACAATATGAACACAAAAATAAAGAGAATTAGATACATTACGGTAGATCTTACAAAAACTATCTTTTACACTGAAGAAGTGGTTGAAGGACAACTAATTCTGATGAGTAACTTCGAGGATATGTTTCACTCTATTGAAGGTATATCTGAGATATGAATCAAATTTCACTCTGCCATAGCAATCTACAAACACACCTGTTATCGATATATACTTTGCAACCAAAAGTACTAGGGGATATTTGGCTTCAGATTTTACTATAGCTAGTCAGGAACATAAACCATCGTTTGGTAATGAAAGCAGGAGATTTCTTAGGCAAAAACATATGAGGAGAACTCAAGCTTCCAAACACAACATTGTTACAGTCATAAAGTAGTCTTGAGTAGACACATCGAGCAGAGCAGAGACTAATCTTGGAACCAAACGCTCAAAGACAGTTTACACATACACGCATGCGTTGTCATCAAACAGCAGATTGTGGGCTTGTATCAAGCAACACATAATATTGATAATCAACACCATTTGTAAAGGGCAAAAAGTCTGGTCCATGAAAGATTGGTCAGAACAATGGCATTGGTAATAGTAAATTCTATGAGACTAATCCATGTCTACTCACATGAAGTAACTACAATAGGGCCTGGACTCTGTGTCCTGTACAGTGTTCTCTGCGTGGGAATATCGACATCTTTCTCCATACCAGCAGCCTCCAGGAGTCCAGTAGAAACGACAAACCGTTGGAGGCGAATAGCTGCTCTTTTAACAAATCCAAGGAAATGACGAAATAAGTGTTCAAATTGGGCATTCAAAAGTTTATACATAACAATTAAATTGTAAAAATAGATTTGGCTTTGAAAAGTTCAGTGATGAGTGGAAGTATCTTCCTCGTTAACTCCAGGATATATGTTCTGATAAACCTCCACTATACCCTGGATGCATCTACGGCTCGAGCTGATGATTTTATTACCTCCATTTGCTGGCTCCGCATTCTCACAGTAGCCAATCAGATAAGCCGCCGTTACAACCGAGCTTGACAGTGTCAACAAAGATAGCCAAAGTTTGTTCACAGTGCAACTCAGATTTGGGGGGAAACATACAAACTGACAGGTCTAAAACCTTAAAAAGAATATATGCAAGAACTCCTTCCACCTCTTCAAGAGTAAATCTGCAACAATATATTATTGTGTTGCCAAGTTAATCGGTCGGATAATTTAAAAAGCGAAAGTGAGTTGTGATTGGTACTGTTCAACTTCCCAGCGTAGACACCTGATTGGATAAAAAGCCAACCAAGGGAGGTAATAAAATCATCGGCTCGAGCTGTAGATGCATCCAGGGTATAGTGGAGGTTTACCGGAATGTATATCCTGGAGACTATCCAGGATGTTCAAGTATAGGCATTGTAACTATTTCAGTAGTGTTGCAACAGTACAAGGAATGTTGCAATCCTATTGTAACATTTGTTGCAAACTTGCAATAGTATAAGAGGTTCAAGGAAAGAAGCATGTATCATGTAGCCCAGTAAGTAATGCCTGATGTCAATCAGAAAGATGCATGCACCCATTATGTTGTTTGGTCACAGACCAATTTCTGAGAAAACAGGGTTTTTCACAAAGCACTAACATGCCCGACAGTGGGAGCGCCAATACTGAAACCATGCAATATCTAAATGCACCAACTGTCTCAGAATATTATCTGAATCATATCGGACTATTACCACTTGTCAGCAGATAATTTGAACATATATTTGGTTGGGCAGTAGTGAAGTCTTCACTGTTTTTGATCCCAAACAGAAACATTTACTTTGGCAGCACCAAATGACACCATTATCTTTCTTACCATTGTTAGTTTATATCAGCAGATGAAAAGAAATCCTACCAAAGGGCTCTGAGTATTCAAATAGCAGTGTTACAAGATTTTCTAGATGCTGGTAGTGCATGTTTAAAGGATATAATGAACATAAAAAATGGATATCCCATTCCCTCGACTGTTTACTGGGGTGGACAAAGGGATTCATGTTTCCAAAAAGTGCATGATCTTCCAAGGTCCAACCTGAAGTAACTAGGACCAGCATATACAGAGGAGTGGGAATAATGGCCATTTCTAAACTTTAATAAGGAGCTGACATATATGCTGCTCAGCTAACACCATCCATGACATGACATGGATCAGAGAGGCCCACCACCCATCTTTGTTCTAGCCAGACAAGACAAGTAGGTCACTATAGACCAGGTTCAGTTTTTGGATTTGCTTTGACCTAGTTACTCATCTCCTTATAGCAACCAAAATGTATCTTTTGGAATGCTGTACATTCTGCTGAAGCGTTCTACAGTAAGCAAAGCTAGGCAGTCAAAAGAGGATCAGATGAACACAATGGCTGCTGGGTATGACTGGCATACCTTTGACGAGGGTGCACCTTGGGACTAGATTAGGCATTACTGATAAATTCATATTGCTGGCCACCGGTCTGATAGGTGCTGACCAATTACTTATAAGCAACTTAGATTAATATTATCATAACACTAACAATATTATGCTCTTTAACTAAATATTACAGTCTGGACCTGAAGACAAATGAAATACATGACATCAATACTTCTGAAATGTCGCTTCGTTGATTCAAGGCAGATATCGTTACGGTGCAGTTCTCAATCCTGGCCATTGATGAGTGAAACATGGATCTGTTCAGTCCCTGCTATTTGGTTACAATGTGTCCGCATTTTGATTCCGAGGTAAGAGTTCCGTCCGTAACCCCTGCTTGAAATGTATTCTATTTATTATGTTTATTTCAAGGGCATAGGGTTTAGGTTTAGGGTTTAGATTTAGCATTATATTAGGTTTAGGGTTAGTGTTAGGGTAGGCTTTCTATAAAAAAAAAACATCTATTCTTACTATGAATCTTAGGCATAGAATGGAAAGAAAAAACCGGGGGTTACGGGCGGAAATCTTTCCGATTCCGATTCACCAAATCCTAACAGCATGGGCCGATATTTACCATTGATTTATTTCATGGATCCTGACTTGATAATACTCAGACCACCCTAATGTTGTAATATTATTGACTGTGACAAAGACATTCACTCTAACATCCGCAGACCAAGTCACGCGATTGGAACTAGTACGTAGGCAATTATATTTGCCGGGTCGTTTGTGAGATCTCCACTCTTCTTCATCGTTCTTAGACAAATGAAGTAATTTGTTTCCCATCTTACCCACCATCATTGGGAGAGTGTCTCCAAATTACTATCTACCTGGAGCGGCTGCATAAAGAAGACACACTGGACATGGAACTATCCAGTCTTCCGCAGAGGTGCGATATTGTATTTAACACACAAGGCACCAAAACTCCCGCGGTTAATGGGATAGCGGCTGTTTATTGGCTGAAAGGAATGACAGAACCGCCCACTTGCTTCAATCTACCAATACTAAAGATGCTATTATTGAACCAATGATTTGCAATTACACTTATATTCAGAGATTGTTTAATTCATGACATTTTCCAGACGAATAGTTTTTATACACCCGAGATTTAGTTGTATCTCAACCTGCTATAATAGCATTACCCTCAAAGAATTCTGGGACTTTCACAGGAGACCATTCATGTGATATGAAAACAACATACTTTGTCAGTGATATTCTCGTGGTGTTGAGTCATTTGACACTGAACTTTGAACCTGTGTTACAGTCCAGAGAGAACATTCAAAATTTTTAGATAACTTATAACATTCATCTTCAGAATTTCTCCATCCTTGCTTACTACATGCAGTCACCTGTTCTGGTTATTATCTAGAAAATATTTGTTTTTATTTAACGTGTTTTACCTTATACGGGGTATCGCTCCGTTTATACATGTAATTTAAATGATAACACAGAGTTATATATCCACATTTATCACATTGAATGAACCATGACAAAAATGGCAGATTTGTGAAAAATGTGGTACATTTGAACATTACGTAGGGCCTGATCATTTAGTGTCGGGGTTGGGATGGGGGAGTTGGGTGTCAGCGAAATGTCACACACACACACACACACACACACACACACACACACACACACACACACACACACACACACACACACACCACACACACACACACACACACACACACACACACACACACACACACACACACACACACACACACACACACACACACACACTGTCTGTAACACATGACCAGTCCTTCAGAAGGGTAAGTTTGATTAAGAATAGGAAAGTCTTTCTCTCTTACAGAATTCCTAGATAAGAAAGTAATGTTATTGCTGCAAGTTGAGATAAAACTAAGTAACTGTAATTCAATGTAGTGATATACTTTATATCTATTTATATCTGAGGTTTCAATACTTACTATGTCTTACACTGCTGTGTGCCTGGGTGGTTTTCATGTGTGTGCGTACTTTTGAGCAGGAAAAGATGTCATGAGTAGTGAGTGAGTATTGTTTTACGTCGCTTGTAGCAATATCCCAGCAATACCACGGGACACCAGGAATGAGCTTCACACATTGTACCCATGTAGGGAATCGAACACGGGTCTTCGGCGTGGCGAGCAAACTTTTTAACCACTAGGCTACCCATCCGCCCCATTTTCATGAGTAGCATGGGTAGCAGTTAGAATTTCAACTTTGGGTTTAATGATAACTGTTTATTATCTGTGTTCTTACTGATATTTAAGGTAGCCTGAATGTAGAAATATAAAGTGTTATTTTACTTGGGTGAGACACCAATATTATTTTGCAGATCAGCAGGGTATTTTAGATGGCACAATACAATAAAATGATAAGTCCTTGATGCCAAAATGTGAAAAGGTTGGTCTCATTTGAATATGCCGATGATATGAGTCTGTGAACTTACACGAAGGTAACAACAACATGTGAAATGTTATAAAGATTTTTTTTCAAAAAAAGTATAAATAAGAATAAATGGGCGAATGACCACTATAAATGAAGGTTTCCACGGTGTTGCTTGTGTTTGAGTGCCTGGGGATGTACGCAACTTTCACCAGTATCTGAGCCAAGTGGGTACTTCGATTCGAGTACTTGGATGCACGGCTTACATTGCGTGGGTAGTTTTTCATAATATCAATCACTGTTTGATGAAGCCCCGAATATATAAATATAATCATATATAGTGATATCAGTTACACCACATCGTGTCAGTGACTGTGCAATGTGAGGAAAGTGTGCATGTGTACACGTACATTAGCGCTCGTGTGTTAGTTTAGCGTCAGGCTCAGCAACATTACAGCTATATGTCGGCGACCCATTAAAAACTAAAGTCTCGACCAGATAATCCAGTGGTTGCTATTGTGAACAACTATTCACGTGTACGATGACCCGCAATAGACCAAGTGACCGAGGTGTCCATTCCGTCGTCTCTAACGAATATACACAGGTTGCTGTGGATTAGTGAAGCTAAGATTTACACAGGTCCTGTGCCACAGTGGATGCTTGCCTCTTTGGGGAACCTATTGTGCGGAATGCAGTCGACGAACCACGCATCATAATCAGTGGAGACGTTTAAAATCGACATTACCTGGCTTACTGTTGGCATGGAAACAAACTGACGGAAATGAGAAATTGTACTGATCATGTTTCAAAATGAAGTTTTTTTACAAAAGTTGAAGGTATAATCAAATTTGATAAACACATATAGACCATCAAGTGCCAAGACCACAGATGCCAGGGAGCATGAAAGGTAAATGGCGACTAAACAGGCAGTACTCAGGACGATGTGATCGTTGTGTTGTTATAACCTGAAAATCGCATCCCCCAAACTAGAGGCCATATGCTGGTGGGATCTTACTTGAGGTGATACATGAATGTGATGTTGACAGTTAAGTTGGTTGGTTGGTTGTTGTTTAACGCCGCTGTCAGAAATATTCCAGTTATATGGTGGCGGTCTGTAAATAATCGAGTCTGGACCAGACAATCCAGTGATCAACAGCATGAGCATCGATCTGCACATCTGGGAACCGATGACGTGTCAACCAAGCCAGCGAGCCTGACCATCAGATCCCTTTAGTCGCCTCTGAGACAAGCATGGGTTGCTGAAGATCAATTCTAGCCCGGATCTTCACGGGTGTGACAGGAGTCACGCTCGTCAGGTGATTCATCGTCAACCCCTCACTCTTTGACCTAGCGATCCTCTCCGGAAATCTAAATGTTTCATGACTTGCGTTGACTATGACGACATGGAACGGTAATTTGCAAAGGTAACTAAGTAGGGTCCCTTGACACTCTTAATCATTATGTGTATGGCTTCACAGGCTTGACATCGGGAAGGGTTTGTACACGTCCTACTGGCACCAGGGCGTGAGGTGAAATATTGGGTTTAACGTTGTTCATGAGAATACTTCGCTCATATGACGACGTGTATGCTTGTGTATGTGTATGTGCGGCTGCTTGTAGTAGCCCAGACTGAAACTGGTTTTATAGTGCTAGCCCACAGAGATACCATGCCGCAGTGAAGAATGAATACCCCACTCAGACACATTATACTGACTCCGAGCCGACCAGTCCTTGTTGTACCCATTAATGCCGAGCGCCTGGCAGGGACCAGCAAGTACCATATTTTAACGTCTTTTGGTATGACGCGGTCGGGGATCCGCTCTCCGGGCGGACGCTCTAACCACTACACCACGGAGGCGGTCCACTGGCATCAGGAAGTGATCTCCATTCCTTTCTCATTGCTAGTACCATTTGATTTCTGTTCATTGGCGGATGGGGGGACATGATCCCAAAGTGAGTGAGTGAGTTAATATTTAACGTCACATCGGTAATATCTCAGCCATATCGTGACGAAAACAATTTATACAGTACAAAGTGAAAACATTTTGAAGATTAAAACCTGTCGACGATGGACAGTAAAAATACTAGATAATCACAGATATAATATAAAACTAGCGAGCAAAACTAAAACATTCCAATAAAAGAAGACAATACAATATAAAACACGGGCTATAGATCGCCAACAACTGAAGGTAGATCACCATACTAGGAACCATGGGGACTTACATTACTTTTGCTACCTGCATGGAGCCTAGCTGGATTTACACCATCCCTTCAGCCGCTGGAGATTGTAGGTTAATTTAGCCGAAATTTAAAGAACAAAAATACTACATTTAAAAACCTGGTACGTCAAAATTTAACTTTGAAAGTTTTTGGGACTTACATGATCCCAGAGATGTTCTATGGATGACATGTATGTTAAAAGGGCTGGACATGGCAAAACATTAACGTTGTTTATAGCAATTAAAGAAACAGATTGTGTGGGGTCTTGCAAAATGGCGATACAGTGCAAGTAAAAACATGTAGTCAGTGTAAAACTTGGTATTCCTCAATGACAACAGACTATGCCCTCTGTCGGCCACAAATATCACCATCACGCCGTCATCGCCAAATCTTGGTAAAGCAGTTGTTGTTCCTCCCAGACCTTAGTAAATCCGTGCTGCTGTCGGCTCTGAAAAACTGGAACCTGCTCTCACAAGTAAATAACACGTTGTCAGTTAAGAATCGTCACCGTTCAACTAGGCTGGCCTAACATACACCCTGAATCTGATGTTGACGAGCCAACATCATAAATCAGAATGATTGATAGGCTCTGATACAATGATTTTGAAATCAGCGACACCTGATGTCCAAGCACAATATGTGCAAAGGACAATGAGGAGTATGTTATGTGGATGTAAAATGCGGATACTGAGACCCCCAATGGCAGTTGTGAAGAAGCATCTTCCACTTAATGATGCATCAATCTACACAACCTGATACACTCCATCCTCGTCCATTGACGTATCAGGTTTGACTGTCGACCTGAATGGGGATTACCATGTGTGGTGATGGGAGAAATGCCTTTTTGTAATTTCAAAGCATTTCCTTCCAAAACACTTTGTGAGAGACTACTATATCCATTCCCTTAACTAAACAACTTATTAAAGTGGTTTAGTTAAGGGAATGGATATAGTAGTGACTTATTACTTTCTTTGTATACTTGTGACATCTGTCTTTTCTTTCTGCAGTTGTACAGTCAGGTTCATATTTTTGTATTAAGTAGACAAACTTCTTCAAAGGGCCAATAGCTTTTGTCGTATAAGAAGTATGGTTTTATAATCCAGTAATATCACAAAGGTTTCACTTAATTGCAGGAATGGAGCCAGGGTCATTGCCATTAAAACTTAGAGCACCTGGCGCCACCTTATTCAGTACATTGAGAGAGGGAACTCGAACACAGCAGACCACCTTTCAGAACATTTATTACTAATCCTAAAGACAAAGTCTTCTACACAAATTTATGTACAGGAAATTTTACAAGGATTATGATGAATCAGTGTATGATACACGAGCAAGGTTTCTCTTCAATCAATAAAAGCCACTATGATATATATCAAAGTCTCAGATATAGGTACATATTAGATTCATCACAGGAAAGGTATAACATAATTGTATGTCTTTCAGGAATTCCACCAACACCATTCTTAGAACTGCTAAAATCTTCAAAACATTTACTTGTACACATGATAAATAGATAAGACAAGCTGTTAATCATATATATTTATGAAAATTTCACTAAATAATGAGATCTACATGCACCAATATTTTGCCAATCAAACCTGATGAAAACAAGCAAAAATCCCTCTTACCTAACTTAACGTTAGTGAGTGAGTGTTGTTTGAAGCCACAAACAGCAATATTCCCACATATCACTGCAGCTTGTAATTAACCAACTTCTGACCAGTCAAACCAGTGGTCGAAAGCATGAGCATCACATCAAACCATCTGGGTAGAGTCACACATCCTAGTTACCTGGCCTACCACAGATACCTATATGTTGGCTTGCATCACAAGTATGGCAGAGTCAAAGACTTTACTACAACAAACTGATTGTAACACATCATATTATAATTAGTATCAGCAAAAATCCATCTGCAATCGAAATGATTCACAAATGTTGTACTGAAGTTCTGATACATTATCATGTGGCATGTGTATGTAATATGGAGGTTAATAAGGTTTTATTACACAGTTGGTGGTACACATTAAAATTGATAAATTCTTATCTATTCTTTTTTTTACAAATTCTGACAACAGCTGTTATGCCAACACTTGACTCAGTGATAGAAGCATTTCCATGAAAATAAAACAATTTCAAATCTCCTTTTATCATGATCATTATACCTGTCAAATATGACACGAAAACAGAATTAACCAAAAACACAATCTGTGCAGTCAAATTTTGAAAACTAAATTCTATCAAGTGATATACGTTTCAAAGGATTACATTCAAATAAAACATATGAATTTGTTCATTTTTAATAACCTGGCACCCAATTAACCATCAATGATTAGGAAATCTTGTTTTAGTTAAAATGTAAGCACACTAGAAAAATGTCCATTAAAATGGCAGCAAGGACATTGGGTTAACATAGGAAAAATAAAGGCAAAATATCTGTAGTTGATTAAACATACTTGCTGATTACTGTCTCAAAGCATATCCTACCTGTTTTCCAGTGTTCTATTTACAAAAGCAACAATGGTTGCCTATCAAATACATTTTAACTCATGACAAAAAATAGGAACTTGTGACTTAACAGTTCTCCCTTGCTGAACATCTCAAACATAAATGCGTAGTATTCTTATCAGTGAATGGCATGTTCATCTCCCATTTCAAAACTATTCGACAAAACAAAGCACTTAAACATTTCCAGCTACAAAAACATCTAATGGCCTTATAAAACCAGCATTTTAAAGTCAGTCTCTGCATTTCAAGTTACATCTCAGTAACCCAATTGTTTTCATGGAACCAGCAAATCTTTCAGATAGGAACATTCTTTTCTTTTTCTTAATATAATTGTAAAACACTGAAGCAATAAAATCACAAAATGCATAGTGGCAGCCATCTTGGTTATGGGGAGGCTACTCTCGTTTGAACCATTAAGGTCAAGGCTGTAAGTATCATTGCCTGAAATATTGAGGCTAAATTTTCAATTTTGTGACATTTAGGTAGTAATTATTCATGACATATTGACATTGTATTATTTCAATTAATTCTAATATAAATTTGTCATTGCTCAATAGATTATTACTGAATAATTTGTTTGAGTCAAGAGTAATGTTTACTGAATGCATTCATTGGATGAGATCAGTCTTTCTACTGTGACACATTGATGTTTGGGAAAAGCCAGTGATGCATCATCAATGATTCACATCACCTAGAAGTGTATATTTGGAACATATTTTCAAGGGGTCCAACCCCAACCTTCGGCATCTAGCATTCCACTTAAGTTGTCTGGCAACCAGTCTAAAAGCACTACAGTCAAATCAGTGAAAGCTTGTACTAGCAATTTAGGCTGGGAATTTCAAACAAAATACATGACTAAGCAGGCTCCTATGCTTATTGATAAATATTTCACTGATGTATTACTCTTTGACTGACTGACTGACTGAGTTTGGTTTTACGCCGCTTTCAGGAATATTCCAGCAGCATCATGGCAGGGGACACCAGAAATGGGCTTCACACATTGTACCCATGTGGGGATTCGAACCCGGGTCTTCGCCGTGATGAGCGAACTCTTTAACCACTAGGCTACCCCACTGCCCCTATCACTCTTTGAAAGATTAACAGATGAACAATAAATCCTAGCACTGAAATACTGGCATCCAGGTATCTGTCATTTCCTGGCCTACGGTGTACTGCACTGTGATACCAAGAATGCAGCTTAATAGACTTTAAGTTGACCACCTCCTAATCAATGTGGGCAAACTGTAATGTGCATCATATAAATGTTAGAAATGATATTCCGCAAAAACAAATCAGTAAATGAAACACAAGGGGTCATGACCAACAGACAACCAATCAGTAGCCACAGACATGGCTGCCACCCGTTACCTGGTGATATTCTCGCCCATGTATAACACACGCAGCAATGTATAATGGAATATCTGTAATCCTGATGAACAATGTATCATGTCCTGAGGGTTGACTTCCCACCGTTTCTTGCGTAGCGCCGCACTTGGGAATATTCCAGTAACATTACAGCAGCCTGAGTGTTTTATGTAAGGGACACAATTTTGCACACTGAGATGCTGTTCCTAATCAAAGACTTTCATTCAGTTCTATTTCTTTTGCTAAAGTTTCAAGATAATACAGAATTCTATTCATGCCTCACGCCATGTTAACTTAATTAATGTAAATTAATCATTAGATTTTTGTCCAAACTGGAGAAAAGTTAGTTTATATATTTGATTAGTAGAGACAAAGCCTACAACTGATGTATTATGATCGTATTCTGTAACATAAATATTTACACACTGATATATACTACTGAAAATAAGTAAAGGAACACCCAATTCTTCTATGTCACTGAAGTGAATCTGTCAAGGGAGATAAGATTTACTATGGGGTCATTAAAGAATCGGATGATCCTTAACTTTGTTTTTGCAGTATATCTATGAAAGAAAGAAGCTAACTATATCAGCAGATGAAGGAATCCTATACCATCAGCTCCACAACCACTGTACAATCTAAGCCACATCCATCTACAGTGTACCCTTGTCATGCTCAACTCCATTGAGAATAATATGTAGGTTATTTATATCAAGAAACCAGATCATCTCAGAAAAGATGTAGGCGCAAAAATGTGGCGCTTAACAAAGAAGTGACGATGTGAAATTATCTTAACATCACCTTCAGAGTATTTCAGTTATATTGTGGCACGTCAGCTTAATGTTGGAGCAAATCTCAGTGATGCAGGCCTCTATCTTCTAGTGAAACTGTCAGTGTGAGGTGCTGACTAAACCAAGAAACAATGAACCCATGGTCACAGGTTCCTGGCAGGCCCAAGGGATGCAACTCAGTGCAGCAATTTGCAATACCTTAGACTGGATTAAACAAAGGAAAACTATGTCACATGACAGAGCAACAATGTAACATAAGAATACTTATAAGTATAACTGTATCACTACAAATGATGAAATCAACATGTGTCTTTACATTTCTAAAATGTTGTTGAGTAAACATTTAATCATCTTTTCTGGAAGAGTTATATTGCGATGTTAGGGTAGCTCTATATTATAAACCATTTACTGATACACTTTTCAAAGTGCACTGAAAATAATGATACATTTCCATATATATATGCCAGGACTAAAAAGGTCCCGTAAACCACATCATCATCATCATCATCATCATCATCATCATCATCATCATCATCATCATCATCATCATCCTGAGGTAAGGGAGTTAATTGGCTGTAAAATCTGCACAGCAGCTGCCATGTTGTTTCTAAACAAGATGTTTATTGATTGCCATGATTGTGATTGGACTGTGCAAAGCCTTGTACAGACAAAATACAACTCTGAAATTCCAGCCTTGTTTGGCAAGGGTGGAGACTGGACATTCAATATAGTCACAGTCAGTTACTTCCCTTGCCTCAGGAAGGCGTATACACTCTGAAACTGAATACAGGAATCTGGATTACATTATTACTAATATAAACAAACCTTTGCTTAGGTTAAAGGTATCCAGTTGATATGAACTGAATTCATTATTAATGTCACATTGAAGAACACATCAGAAAAAACGGTACACATCTGCGAATATGAAAGAAGAAATTCAAAGGAAGCACGCTTTTCAATAACAAGTCAAACAATGTGACTGTCCAACAGATAATAAGGACCTTCAATAACACGTAGTATTTCATATTCAAATTGTGAAAAAGACATACCATCTTAAAAGTAGCATTTCTAGACTGTTACGGTGAAACACAACACCTCACACTCTTCAGCACTACCTGGCACTGTCATAAGCTGTCATGGTAACCTCAACTACTGCTCAGGTTACATTAACAGTGTTTTAGGAGACTGAGTGAGTGAGTGAGTGGGTTTGCACCCCTTTTAGCAATATTCCAGCAATATCCTGGTAGTGTTCACCAGAAATGGAATGTCACACATTATATCCATGTGGGGCATCACCCATGGGCAGCAAATCCACACTGTGTATTGAGTCTGATCAACAGACAATTTAAATGTTATTATCCTTGAATACACAATGATATTTAGTAATCATCCTTGATGAAACTTCTGCCAATGTCCCATCATGCTTCAGTCAGCAGTACACTCAGCAGGCTGTAGGCCTCCATTCTGCATAGTTATGACTTGCTAATGGCTCGAAACACGATAAACATTTCTCACATGGCAACCACAGTACAACAACTAACTTGAAATGGTTCTATTCAATTAACTAAGCTCCTGTTTGAATAAGCGCCTCCTCCCCATCTCATACAAAACAATGTTTCTGTTTTCATGATAATTTTCAAAAGTGACATTTTCATTTCAATTCCCTTTTTTCCAAACTACCAGCTGCTTACTGATCAAAATCTTTCAATAATATAAGTATAAACCAAGAATTACATCTGGCATAGTATAGTATACAGAATATGAACCTAATTAAAAAAGCAGTCCAAAATTGCTGTTCTCTCCTACTTGGGCGCTTTAGATAGTGAATAGAGTGAGTGAATATGGTTTTACGGCAGGGGACACCAGAAATGGGTTTCACACAATGTACCCTTGTGGGGAATCGAACCCGGGGCTTCGGCTTGACCAGTGAAAGCTTTAACTACTAGGCTACCCCACTGCCCTAGATACTGAATAAGATACATCACATTTGCATAAGCGACCTGGTCTATTGAGATCCAGCTGTCAATGACAGTGACTAAGAAAAACCTAACAAAAAAGTTGCACCGAATTTGTTCATGATATTGATAAAGCACGTTTTGATCTCTGAACACGTAGGAAGATGAAGGTTTGAAGCATTAAACCCTTCCTACATCACACTTCATCAATTCAGAGACAGTATCTGAAAATGTCACACTGGATTTCCAATAACGAAAAAGATTTTGTCATTACTAAGGCAACAATAGAAGCACTGTGCATAATCGATGACAAAATGTTATATACAATCAACCATATTCACAAATCAATACACAGCTAGCATAATTATTTAGGATTCACTGAAAGATAGGACTAGCTTTTCTGTATGATGTTTATACACTTTTGATTACAAAATGAAAGAAACACAATTAAAATCACACTAAAATTACATTAAAATACATTATATTTTGACATATTTTAAAGTCAATTATTTTCATCAAAATATTTAATAAGAGAGTAATATCATATCAGACACATATAAGGGAGAAAATTACATACTCTTTTATATATATATGACATCAAGAAATGACAAGATAGTGTATATGAGACATATGTTGCCATGGTAACTGTAGACCCTCCTTGGTTCTGACCGTCCTTGTCTGTTGCAGAAGCATGTGATATGATGTAACATGTATTACTACCAGGAGTCTATGATAACACACATCCACTCTTCTGTTGCCCTATGTTTTCTGAACGCTCCATTCTTGAAATGATGCACTTGAATATTTCTTCCACTCTCTGAAATGGTAAGCAAAATATATCCTCTCCGACAAGTTCAACATCATCCATTAAAAATACCAAAAGCAGTATGAGTAATTCAAAGCAAACATAGAGTATAAAACTATGAATAGTTTGAAATTAGTGTAAAAAATGCAATGAAATCCTGGATTAAGTGATGCATATTTATCTGGATATGCTGGGGTCTATCGTCACACCATGGCACATCATGGAACAATGCAATACATTAAATTACAATGAATCCATCTATAATTCTAGTGCTAGACATGATAAATTATGATTGTTGTAAAATCAACCTTGTCTTACAATGATGAATACATAGCACTGAAAACTTACTTCAAATACTTTGACAGGCATTGAAAACTTTGTCAGTTGACCACAATATTTGTAGGGGTATTAAAATGCTAATTGCAGTATATTTTGCAATATTTAACTTACAAAACTTCTTGCGGTCATTTAAAGTGTAGCAAGTGTAGCCTCTTGTACACAGTTAATAACACCGTTTAACATATTGTCTCATGAAAACTCATGATGCACTGGTGTATTTCGCCTAAAAGACATCATCCTTAACATAATGAATAAACATGAGTTGACACATAGCTAATACTGTTATTCTTGATAAAAAGCATCAATAACTGTCACATTTTCCTGTTAATAAGATTAATCATGACGATGAGATTATGGATAGTGTAAATATCCCACCTGATTTTCTTTTGCTGAAGATTCCAGAAATGGCGCCTTCCAGGAATCTGCTAATTCTTTACCTTTTTCAAAGGACACCTCTCTGCAGCAAGAATATACATATATTCTCCATTTTCCACATATACCTGGATACCATTACACCAATACCATTACACTTACAGGTATTTCTTCATTTAGAATGCATCACGCTGATTTCACTGAAATTAATGTGATGTTAGTTTCTTTAAAAAGTCTTCAGTTAAGAAACAATTGTGCATCTTTGAAAATAATGTTTGTGATTAATGTCTGCAGCAGAAAAACTAATAACTATGATTTAGCCGGTGCAATGTGTGATCCATTCAATATACGTTGACAATATGCCATGTGTGACCCCAGTACCCCATGTTAGTGGTTAATGATACAGCACTAGAGCATTGTATCCTGATGCCCATGATGCAGTGCATTGATTTAAAATCACTGTATAATCCATACAATGAGGGGGGTTGAGATAGTCTGGTGGTTAAAGTGTTTGCTCATCACGCCAATGAGCCGGGTTCGATTCCCCACATGGGTACAATGTGTGAAGCCCATTTCTGGTGTTCCCCCGCCGTGAAATTGCTGGAATATTGCTAAAAGGGGCATAAAATCATACTCACTCACTCACTAAATACAATGAACAAGCATCATTACAAGTTATATTTGTGTAAAAAAATGTCAATAATAACAGAAACTGTTCAACATCACATAATTTCTAGTATTTCCCACTGGCTATAATTTATAAATAGCATACAGGTATCATTCACAGCACACTCTAGCCTACTATAGTTTTCGGCTCTACAACATCCCACCTTGATCTCAGAAACTTCAAAACATATCATTCAGAGTTGTGATTCACTATGTTCATCTCACAAAAAATATAAAAGAAAATATCAATTTATGAAAATATAACTGAAAAAATGTGCTGTATAGGGATGCTAATTTTATCATGCTCATAGTATTTGGATATGTACAGTTGGTGGGTTTGTTTTTTAATGCCGCACTCAGCAATATTCCAGCTACTGTAAACGTATTATATTTCTCGCAGGTTTTATTTTCGCTTTTCGCGCCAAAAACATTTTAGCCAAAATTTATACACATCGCGAATAAACCTGTCATTCATTCAGTCTAGCCACGCCACCCTGAGTAGTTACCATAACACATCACGTTTGAAGACAGAAATCAACGGGAATCTTAAAATGACAACTGATAATACTTAACTGTCGCTGTAATGGATTTCCCAAAACATAATTAAATAATGAGCCAAATCCCATTGCCGAATTAGCGAAAACAGCAATGTGTGTTGTGGCCACCATGGAAATTGGTCACATGACAGATGGTTTGATACAAAACAGATTACCGTGAAACGACTCGGAAAGAAATAATACAGCAGTATTTTATTTATTCATTAAGATTTTATTCACCAGTACATCATGAAGCGAATAGTCACTAACACTCAATCATCTCATTCACAACAACCCGGCTTGTTTGAAATAACAAAGAGCTTCATATACAGTATAAGTTAACTCGTCAAATCGTCAGAATTCGGAACATAAGACTGATGTGTTTTTCATCTCTTCCGGGAGTAAACGGATTACTGTATACTAGTATATCGCACAGATAGGGATTTCCTGTGAGTAAGCAATAAACGCTGCCTGACAGGTTAAGCCACTCTGTTTGTTTTCACTGCTATTAGTGGCGGCCAAAGAGACAGCTGGCAGTTCCGGCAATTACTGATTGCGCGAATAATTGACCGCGCGATGTAGTCTAAACTGTCAATTCCGCGAAAATTGCACCGCGCGAAAATAAGTACGTTTACAGTATATGGCGGCAGTCTGTAAATAATTGAGTTTGGACCAGACAATCAAGTGATCAACAGCATGAGCATCTTCTTTGACTGGCATTTGAGAAGTTGGGAAGTACAATATAGAACAATCATTATGCTTGACAACGGTACAAGAATCTGTATCGAAACGTCGCACTCACGAATAAAAAGAAGTTCCAAAAGGTTTGTTCTTTATAGCATGAGCATCAATCTACGCAATCGGGATACAATGACATGTGTCAACCAAGTCATCAAGCCTGACCATCCAATCCCATTAGTCGCCTCTTACATCACACATGGATTACTGAAGACCGTGAAGATCTGTGTTGTATATATGTACAGAAACACTGCTGTTGTTTTGCTACCATAGTACTGGGATATGTACAGAGATCCTGCTGTTTTGGTGAAGCTGTGTTGGTACAGACTGTGGCACAAATTAACACATCTCACTCACGTAGATGATAGCAATGAATATGCAACAAATGTGCATCTATTTGTTAAGGACTATTATAGTTGGTGAATGTTAATTAGAGTGAAATCACTAGTTGTACGCGATTCCAATTGTTTGGACTGATGTCCTGGAATGCTCTGTTAAATACCTACCTTTCCATTCTAAGGTCACTTTTGTTTCCAACCAAAACCACTGGTACTCTGAAACATCAACAACACAATAGAAAATCAACAATAAAAATCTCCAGATCAATTTGTAATTTACTTCTTGATGATTTTTCTCCATTCTACATACAGTGAGACCCCGGATACCCGGACCCCAGATATCCGGAAACCTCACCTTCTGGTGAGTTTCATAAACAAACAATTTCTTATGTTATAAAAGATATGCGGTTTCCATTACCAGATGGTAAATTTTACACACCAACTGTCTAAATCCACAAGAAGCCTTGATCTTCTATGCGTCTGGACACGAGACAAGGTCTGCTAATACGAATTAATGATCGATCAGCAGGGTATTGGTGGTGATTAGTAGGCCTACCTGACACTGAGTCAATTGTAAACGGTAAATCAGAACAACCACGCAGTTTTGGAAGTGATTTTAAACCAGGAGTGTATGCTAGCTACAGTTTCAACGCCAAAGTCTGCATGACAGAAATCCTGATATCCGAACATTCAAGTTATACAGACGATTTACACAAAACGAATGTGCCTGGGTATCCATAGTCTCACTGTACATGGAGATTAGCTCATCCTCCATATATCTTTGGTAGTATTTGAACAAAATGAATTCTGTGTTTTCCTCAAAGAGCAAGATACTGTCAAGAGCTCCCAAGAAAATTAATTTTACTAGCAGGTTGATTTCTTCACCAACCTAATTTTTTGCTTCAGAGAAAATAACAATTATTAATAAGAGTTTTGCTTTCATACTGTTATGTATTTTAAAACATAGAAAAAGGAATGATATTTTTTCTTCAAATCATATAAATCAATCATTGATAGCTTCAGTTTTAACTAGTTGCCAACGCTACCTGACAAACATGTTCCTGCTGTTACAGTACACATAGAGTGTACTACAATGTTTTACATAGAGGGTAGTACAATGTTTTACACAGAGGCTACTACAATGTTTTACATAGAAGGTAGTACAATGTTTTACATAGAGGGTAATACAATGTTTTACACAGAGGGTAGTACAATGTTTTACATAGAGGGTAGTACAATGTTTTACATACAGGGTAGTACAATGTTTTGTACATAGAGGGTACTACAATGTTTTACATAGAGGTAGTACAATGTTTTACACAGAGGGTACTACAATGTTTACATAGAGGGTACTTCAATGTTTTACATAGAGGGTACTACAATGTTTTACACAGAGGGTATGACAATGTTTTACACAGAGGGTACTACAATGTGTAACATAGATGGTAACAATGTTTTACATAGAGGGTAGTACAATGTTTTACATAGAGGGTACTACAATGGTTTACAGAGGGTACTACAATGTTTTACATAGAGGGTACCACAGTGTTTTACATAGAGTGAGTGAGTGAGTTTAGTTTTACGCCGCACTCAGCAATATTCCAGCTATATGGCGGCGGTCTGTAAATAATCGAGTCTGGACCAGACAATCCAGTGATCAACAGCATGAGCATCGATCTGCGCAATTGGGAACCGATGACATGTGTCAACCAAGTCAGCGAAACTGACCACCCGATCCCGTTAGTCGCCTCTTACGACAAGATAGTCGCCTTTTTATGGCAAGCAGTTTTACATAGAGAGTAGTACAATGTTTTACATAGAGGGTACGACAATGTTTTACATATTTTGTTCTACAATGTTTTATATACAGGGTACTACAAAATCCCAGTTGAAACAGCGGACCAACCAGATAAGGGGATGACTGACTGACTGACTGAGTTTGGTTTTATGCCGCTTTTAGCAATATTCCAGAAATATCACGGCAGGGGACACCAGAAATGGGCTTCACACATTGTATGTACCCATGTGGGGAATCGAACCCAGGTCTTCGGCATGACGAGCCAACGCTTTAACCACTAGGCTACCCCACCGCCCCAAGATAAGGGGACTAAAATAGGGCATGTGGAGAGGTTACACACACACACACCACACACACAGACACCACACACGCACACACCACACACACACACAATTGTATACATACATGTTTGTTCCCTTCATGTCCAGGATTCTGTCGTACACAAACTTCACCACTTCAAAGCTGAAAATGATTAACAATACTGTCAAACACAACTGGACAATTACAACAGTAACACAGCCACAGCATATAGTCCTGAACATATTCAGGCAAAATACTTAAAGGTTCTGGATTTGAAATTAGAGATAAGTGAGCTACAGAAAGTGTTCTCTGACCTCACATTCATAACACCCTACCTCATTCATAGCAGTCCTTGCAGGACTTGGGATTCAAAATGTAACCGTGAGTTATTTACAGAAGTTTAAATAATGCATCTTGTTTTATGCCGCTTTTAGCAATATTCCAGCAATATCATGGCAAGGGACACCAGGGCTTCACACATTGTACCCATATGGGGAATTGAACCCGGGTCTTCAGCGTGACGAGTGGATGCTTTAACCACTAGGCTACCCCACTGCCCCCCGTAAAACGCTAAGAAGACTTTAGACAAGTTGATGTGGATAAAGCAAGGACCCTTCTTCACCAATGATCTTGATTCCTGTATATGATATACAGGCAGTGTAAGTATTATAACACAGGCATTTGGAGCACTGACCTTTTCTGTGAGTTTGTTGAGTAAACCAGAACATAGCCATCAATGTTGACATAGTAAGACTGTGGAGGTAGAGAGTATTCATCCTGTAAACAGAAGACAAAAAATACCAATAACACGAAAACTCTTGAGTTCAGGCTTTTACAATGTGGGTGTTTCAAACGAATTGCTATCAGCACTTATCCTTTCAGCCTGAACATGCTTTTTCATTCATTACTTTTCAACACGTTATTTCATTTCTAGGAAACAGACAGATTGTCATCCAAACCATCCAGACATGAATTCAAATCTGTTAATGATATAATGCATGTCACATCCCAATCATAATGTAATGCCATTTGTCACCAGCACAATGACGTACCTGGCCAGCAGTGTCCACAAGCTGAAGGGCAAACTCCTGGCCTCGAATAGTTATCATTTTCTGAAAAGCTGAAACAAAATGTGTGCCATAAATTTCAGCAAAGATTTGTACCACTGAAAGATGTTTAAGGTACTGGATTTCACCTTTCTTCTTTCTCATAACTAAGAGTATATTATTATGAGGCAGTGTTATATGTAGTGCAACAATGTTTTAACTGTTACAGAGCTACAGATAACTTTTTGGGTCACTGAGTTATGTACTCCCTTGTCTTCGTCTCAATTGGGTATCCTAATTTACTTTGAGTAACGAAATAAATTGTACTCACCTCAATCAAACTCATTTGGGTATTTTGCCATGTTCCATTAACTTAAACAATATAATATAGTTTAAATGTTAGTGTTTGTGATTGACTTTTGATCTGTAATATGAGAAATGATAAGAAAGACTGCAAGTTGTCAAGTTCATGTCCTGAAATAGAGCCTCTCAATATACCTCAGTTATTTTATCTATCCACCGGTACGCAAGCTACGATTGGACATTTTTGTGTGTACGCATGTAAGATCACATTTATTGAGTATTTACAAAACTTCAAGCGTACTTGTACGCAATAGACTTAATAGGAATTGGGTTTTCACATAAATGTTTGCGTAATTTACGCAGATACGCAGCTTATCTGTACCTCTGCTGTTATACATTGTACATATGGATTCAGTAAGGGGAAGTGGTCTGCTATGTTTAGATTGGCGCACTATTTAAACAGAGTTCTAGTTCTTACAACAAGCAGAGGTTACGAAGACCAATTCTAACCCAGATCATCACAGGTCAAAATACTGGATACACTCAAGGCAGAGGAAAGAAACTGTAGCCGAAAATGCATCACCATCATCTTTAGAACCTGCATCCCCAGCTCACGTTTCCCATATCATGCCTCTCGTAGACATATGGGCTTTCTCCATCAGACATTTGCTATGAATATGTCTTCTAGCTTCCACATTGTATTGAGAATAGTTGCTTACTCTTTCTGTAAACATTTTAAATACTTTTTACATTGAAGTTGGAGCGTACATTTCCTTAGACAATACCAACAAGAAGACAAAGTCATCAATATCCCCCGCAATGGCAAAATACTCTTCATGATTATGTGTACGAGTTATGATTATGTCAAATATTTAGGTGTGTATATAGAAAAGTGGAAGGAGAGTATTGAAAGGTTTTTAAGGTTCTGCTCCGGAAAGCAGCACTATCACCAATTTCAGGCTAAGTCAAACTTGTTGCCATGGAAACGCCAAAAATATTTTATTCAGAATTCCAAAACTACAAAAAGGCACCAGTACACCACCAGATCTATCTATGTGCCAAGTTTGGTGAAGACATATTGAACGGTTTTAGAGTTCTGCTCCGGAAAAGACAAATGTGCACGGACGGACGGAGTCCATTTTAATACCCCCGCGAAACGCGTTGCGGGGGATAATGAGAGATATTGTGCTTTTAATAGACAAATGGACATATGTAAATACTGACCAATTTCAGTCAAAGTCAACCTTGTTGCCATGGAAATGCAAAAAGTATTTTATTTACAAATCCAAAACTACCAAAAGGCAGCAATTCACCACCAGATCAATCTATGTGCCAAGTTTGGTGAAGAAACATTGAACGGTTCTAGAGTTATGCTCCGGAAAAGAGCTCAACCACCAATTTCAGTCTAAGTCAAACTTGTTGCCATGGAAACGCCAAAATTATTTTATTCAGAAATCCCAAACTACCAAAAGGCACCAGTTCACCACCAGATCTATCTATGTGCCAAGTTTGGTGAAGAAACATTGAACGGTTCTAGAGTTATGCTCCGGAAAAGAGCGCAACCACCAATCTCAGTCTAAGTCAAACTTGTTGCCATGGAAACGCCAAAAATATTTTATTCAGAAATCCCAAACTACCAAACTATGTGCCAAGTTTGGTGAAGAAACATTGAAGGGTTCTAGAGTTATGCTCCGGAAAAGACAAATGTGCACGGACGGACGGACGCACACACGGACGGAGTCCATTTTAATACCCCCTGCAAAACGCTTTGCGGGGGATAATAAAGAGGGCCATATTCACATCGAGACTGTATTCTTATATTGGCATCAATGCCAACCCACAGCCACACTGCTCATGACAGGGAAGTTTCCAGTGCAGTTTATGGAGCTGCAATGGCATTTTAAAGGCAAACTAATTGAAACGGTGAACCAGTACAGATATCTTGGAATTGTGTTTTCACAGAAGCTGTCTTGGAGTAAGGCTCAAACTAGCCTAGCTGCACAAGCACAAAAGGCTATGTTGGCTATATACCAATATCAAAGGCAGTTTGGTGATTTTGCCTACAGTGATATGTTTAAGCTGTATGAGAGTATGGTGGTTCCAATATTGTGTTATGGTGCCGAGGTGTGGGGAACGGCATTCAGTAAAATCACAGAAACCGTTCACACATCATTCTGTAAGTGTTTTCTTGGTCTATCCAAGGCAACTCCCACAAATATGGTTCTCGGAGAGTGTGGGGAAACCATCTCCATAGTGTGTATATGACCTAGAGCCATCGGTTACTGGTGCCGTGTCATTCACCTACATCCATCCAGGCTACCACACCAAGCTCATCTTGCTCTTAAATGAGCCTCAGATGCGGGGAGAAAAACTTGGGCTGCAGACACAAAATCAATTCTATACAAACTTGGTTTCAGAATAGTCTTGATTCAGCAGGAAATAAGAAATACTGACATCTTCATATCTTTTTTTAAACAACGATTAAACGATACTTTTAACTCAAGACTGGCTCTCCTCCTTATATTCAATCAATAAGTGTTCAACCTACAGACATTTCAAATCCATGCTAAACGTTGAAGCATATCTGACACTTGACCTTCCCCTTCAACTACGCAGAATATTAGCTAACTTTCGGTGTTCCAACTTTAAAGGGCCAAGTTTACACAAAAATTAACCTTTTTGTCTTGCACTTTCTCATCATAAAAAGTGTTTGTCAAGTTGTTTTATAGCCAAAACTGTACAGATATCAGAAGTAACTAATTTATTTTTTGCGTTATATCGATTCAAATTTTCCACATTAACCGAGAGTTATGTCCACAATAAACACACCATGGCTTATGTCCCTTGGAAATGACGTCATTGGTGCCAGACCGATAAACGAATGACGTTGTTAGACCAATTTCACATGGTGCAGGTATAGGTGTGGTTCTCGTTAGTGTTGGGAATTGGTTCAAATCTCATAATTGATTACTGGTTCATTACTACCGATCAATCATCGAAAATAATTGGTTAGCGTCATTTATGAAATTTGTTAATGCACATAAAAATAAGGAAAAAAACATGTAGTTCTTTTAGGGGTTTTTTGGCAAAATTTCACATCTTTAAAGGATGACTAGTATGTTGGGAACAGAAATTTCTTGGAATCTTTAAGATAAATTCAATCATGACTTGAAACAAGATTGCAGCTCTTACAAAATGTAACAGACAAAACCAACCATGTGAAAAATATTGTTAACATGGTTAATGAAAACAAGTGTTCCAGAATTGTTTGTGTTCGATTATGAGAAATTATGATCGAGTGCTTGGTAGTTTAGTCACTACGACCAATCTTCAATTATTTCAATTAATCACCACTAGTTCTTGTGTCTCGATGCGCAGGCTACTGTTTTAATCCAGCTGTTGCCTGCTGGCTGTGTGGTCAGTTCCACACTGTGATGACGTTGCAGTTTGAAAAACACATTGTACAAACAGTGTTACCACGTAACCAAATTGTACAACATTCAACCTGAGTCGGTCTATCAAAAGTATCGTGTTTCACAAAAACTAAAATGTATATGCACTACATCTAGCTAGCCATCGGTGAATGTGTCAGCATTCCACGTTTGTTACTTAATTCCAACATAAATCGTACAATATATGCCCCACCTCTTCCAATTTTCCCACCTATCGATACCATATCCAAATACACCACGAAGAAAACCGCAATTGGCAGTTTTCAATTCTGTTTGAAATTTGGTTTTCTATGACATCATCCGCTCATTGTAAGGCAAATATACTGAAAATTACATGCATCATAAATCTGGCCAGTTTTGACACATTACGAAATACACACAGTTAACGTCAAAGTGAATTTTCAGCCATATTGCAGAGTGTTTATAAATTCACGTCACACGTACTATTACACGAATCCCTGAATTCCTCATACAGGTCAAAATAAAATGACAAATAGTCTTTGTCACCAATACCAAGTGTTTCAGTGAAATCTAACGAAATATATCGGATGCCGCGCTGGGAAAGGACCACTTGTTTGAAATGTAAACAAAGTCGAATTCAGATTTCACTCTGTGTATCTGTTCGCCTACTTTTGTTGCGTTCACTTGCTCATTAGTTTTAGACCATGCATGGGAAAGGTATTGTAGCAAGCGATAGGTAAATATAATAGGTGTATTCCAGTGTTTTCCGAGATTCATCACAACATATTATAGTTTCTGAAAGCGTGACGCCATGACTGATGAAAAATTCACGCACACCGACGACGGAAGTTCTCCTCATTTCAGACTATTTCCCTTGGTCACAATGAAAACAAAAAGAAAATAAGAACCAGCAGATTGTCAGAATGTTTTGGACTACTTACATGTCACATTTATGTATATACATTGATTGAAACAATGAAATTTCCTGTCGAAAAATCCGGCGTACTCGTGTCAGTGAACACGCCATTTTGAGAATGTAGCTTCCCGATAGTGATGTCATACGGACGTCAACATTGTTACACATATTTGGTATTTTCATTGATGTGAGGTTATGAATGAAAATACACACGATCAATCTGTCCTGCTGCTTACATTTTCAGTTCTTATGCTTCTTTCGTATTTTCCCAAAATTTTCTCATGTGATTAATTTCAGTATTATCGTCTTTTGATTTGGGACTAGACAGGAGACCAGTCTAAAATCAAGTGGCACCAATTACGTCATAATCAAAGGGCGGTAACTCTGGCCTGTCTTCACAACTAATGAAGAAGGACCCTATGCTTATCAAGCACGATATTCCTTATACATGTAATGTATGTATGAAATCATGCATAACAAACAATCTGAATTGCTAATAGAGTAATACAAAAAGTAATCCAAATATGAGTTTCTAATTCTACTTACTGTTTTCAATAGTTGGGTCATAAGAGTCGACAAAATGGTTCTCCACAAACTGAATTGTTAAAGACGATTTACCTGAAACAAACCATCAATGATAAATATACATTTCACTTGATATTTTGAAGTTGCTCTGAATTGTTAAAGACACTAACCCTACCTGGATCATTGATAGGTGACTATAATGCAATCACATGCTGGTGCATCAAGTCTCTTAGTTATTACAATGACAATTGATTTATTTCAAAAGATATTCAAGTTAGATGAATATTCATTACAGGAGTGGCTCCTTTGGATGTGCGCAGAGTCAGTAAATAAATAATACCTATAAACTGCATTCCTGTGCATGACAATGAACATTTAGCCAAACCTGTTGGGGCTGTACACGAGAGTCTTCCTTTGGGTACATATATGCATATTCTGTTCATGAAAATGTCCTGTGAGAGTTGTAACAATGTTTAATATAAATATTGTATCGTTTTAAAAAAAGTAGTACAAATAAAAACCCTTGCCCACTGGAGAGAAAACAATCCTTAGAATGTGTTGGTAATAATGAATGAAGGGGCTTGGCCAGTTCCAACAAGAAGACAAAGTCATCAATACCCCCGCAATGGCAAAATACTCTTCATGAATATATCTACTAGTTATGACTATGTCAAATGTTTTGGCATGTATATAGCAAAGTGGAAGGAGAGTATTGAAAGGATTTTAAGTTCTGCTTCAGGAAGGAGCCCTACTACCAAATTCAGTCAAAGTCAAACTTGCTGCCATGGAAATGCAATAAAATGTTTTATTCAGAAATCCAAAACTACCAAAAGGCACCAGTTCACCACTAGACCTATGTATGTGCCAAGTTTGGTGCAGAAATAGTGAACGGTTTATAAGTTCTGCTCCGGAAAAGAACACTACCACAAATTTCAGTAGAAGTCAAACTTGTTGCCATGGAAATGCAAAAAATATTTTTTTCAGAAATCCAAAACTACCTAAAGGCACCAGTACACCACCAGATCTATGTATGTGCTAAGTTTGGTGAAGAACTAGTGAACGGTTTTAAAGTTCTGCTCCGGAAAAAAAGAATGTGCACGGACGGACACACGCACGGACGGAGTCCATTTTAATACCCCCGCAAAACGCGTTGAGGGGGATAAATAGTGAAATAAAAGATCTCTTCAATGGGCAGTGCCACTTAGTACACCTTAGAAGTGGCAACTGCCCTGACTGATTGAGCCCTAAACCCCTCAGTGGGAGGCTTACCTTTAAAATTGAAAGTTAAATAAATTACTGAAACAAGCCTTTGAAAAATAGTCTGCTCGCTAGCAGTTTCCCCAACCTTCTTGGCACCATAACAGCAAAATAACTGGGTACCATTATGGATCCCTTTCATTCATTTTATATTGACATCCAACGGGTCATTCTCTTCCCACAGAGATTACTTGTCATATCTTCCTACGAACCTCTGTTTTAATACGGCCCTTTCATGGTGTGAGTGTTCAGGATTCGTGATTGGTTGCAAACATTTTTAGTTGTGCAATCAGCGACGTTGTTTCAAAACTGATCATTCGCAAGGCCTCAGTAATTTCCTGTATGCTTCGGGAAAACTGGAACCTCTTCCCCTGCACGATGCGCAAACGTTTCTTCTAGACAGAACTCAGTCATGTTACGGTGGATGAATGGCGTCTCCATCGCCCTCGTTGACAACAGACGTGCTAGCCTTTATATGTTTTGTGTGTCACATCAACACAAGTCCCTGGCAGAGGAGGGATATTTGTGGCCCCACATTTGCTTGTGTTAGTCAAGTTGGATCTAAGTCGATGTAACATATGTTCTATTGGATAGAAAGAAAGGAGATAATTAGTGTTGCGATTTTTTGCCACTAGGGGATTTTACGAGAACCGGGAAATATGGCCGCATTAGAACAGAGGTTCGTAGGAAGATATGACAAGTAACCTCTGTGGGAAGAGAATGCCAACTGATGAGCACTGGAAGGAGCTGTGAAAGACTGGGTTAGAATAGGGAATCAGAGGTGTATTGGCATATGAAGATATGCATCCTTAAGGTCGATTGATGTGAGACAATAGCTGGGCTGAACCGATGAGATCACTGAGCGTTAGTGTCTCTATCTTGAAGGTAAGACTACAGAATACCGGATACCTTCAGCCATCTTTGGGTTAGGGTAAGGTTTACGGTTAGGGTTAGGGTCAAGTTCAGGGTTAGGGTGACGTGACACTAAACAATATGGCTGGTAGGTATCTGGTATTCTGTAGGTGTACCTACAGATGGAAACTTTATCATGTGATTCAACAACTTGAGGTTGAGTATGACATGGAAGCCACCATCTTTCTTGGGCATAATGAAGTACATGCACAGGCTCTATAGGAGACTTGAAAACACCTTGCCATGTCCAGGCAGGGTGGCACTGGAGTTCACCTGATCCCCAAGAATACAGGCGGGCCTCGCTTCCACTGTGGTAAATGACCTTCCGTGAGGGTGGAGGGCACCCAACATATTGGTTGTTGCCTTTTCCCACTCCACTATAAACAGACCACCCATGGGGAATGTCAGGCAAAAGCGAGTTGGTATCCCTGTAACAAACCCCGAGTAAAGTCGATGCCACCGCTGCTGCCTAAAGGCTGCTGGGTCCCATCAGCCCTTTGCTCTTACCCTTTGTTTTGGTTACCCATGGCTTTTCCTCCTACTCTTAACCATAGGTTGTAACCAGCCTGAATGTAGACTGCATCCCTGAAGAATTGGCCATGGAAGTGAGGGTGCAGGCAAGCCATTGGAGCAGTTGCTGTTCCAACAAGGCCTTATAGTCCTTGAAGGAGGTAGTCATAGGAAAGTCATGCCCCACCAAAAAAGGAAGGGTCTATGGTGTAACATCGAGTCGTAGGATGTCAAAAGCCACAGTCGGTGCATGCCCATGACAGCACACACAACCTGAGACGCAGCAGATCTCAATGGAATCTGTCAGCCCTGTTTAGCTGCTGGAACTGCGAAAGAGGAAGCTGCACCCATCCCCGACCCCACTGGCCGCTTGACAAGTCAAAGTGGCTCCTGCTGCTTAAAAGCAGGGGTTGGACCTTGTCATGTACCACTGAGACTGGGAGAAGTGCCATGGGATGAAAGCCTCCCCAGCAAGGTAGAATGTAAAGTAACACGAAGCAATCTGCTGAAAAAACTCCTCCACCCTCCATCTCCCCAACCTCCATTTGACTCATGCTCACAGCTGGAGCCTGTGTCAAGCCATGTTTCAGACCTAGTAACAGACTGAGTTGAGGCCGTCATGAGCAGGAAAGGCTCCGGGAGATGCTAACCTCTTGAAACCGAGCAGCAACAGAACATCGGAACCTGAATTGACAGAACAGCGGGCTCCCCGACCTCAAGGTTGCCTGACTCAAGCTATGGATAACAGTGGCACTTGGGCTTAGACATCGAGATGACTGGGAGTTCGGAGCCAAGATCGCCAGATCAACGACGGCACTCAGGCTCAGGGACCCAGCCAAAGCAGGGTACCAAACATACTACCTCGACTCCCCTTCTCCCTACTTTGCAAGAAACCCCTTACATAGGCCTTCAATCAAATCATGAAGAGTTACTGATGCCATATGTTGCTGGAAGAGATTGTGTATTTTTGACATATCAAATGAAGATGCACTGGTAACCATGGCACTAGGACTTGGAACCTCAACACCCTTAGATTTCGATTAAACTTTTTTTCGATTAAGAAGGGGGAACCTTCCCGCACCCCAGAATTCCCAAAAGAACATAACAGGGCCTGCATGCGGATTGTGCACCTTGGGGCCAAAATCGATCCACAGTTCACATACTTCAGGGTTGGGTCCCACCCCTCCAGACAGCGCATGCCTTAAAAGCATTACGCAAACAGCCAACTATTACCAGTATAACAAAGTTGAAATAACAAATCTAAATGCAATATACAATAAGCACACATAAAATTTATGATGTGGAAACATCTGTACATTGCAATATGTATCACATTACCCCTGGCTACCCGCACATGTGTGGTAGAGAAGGTAATCCCAGGTGGCAAGGGGTACATATAATGGATAGAAATGAGTTATTTTTATTTGTACAATATTTTTATTAAACTGCTATTACTGTCACAGGACATTTTCAGCAGCAAAATATGCATATATATTATATGTACCAAAGACAACCTTTCCTGAAAAACAATGTGGAATAAAAGAATAATGCATATACTTTATAATTATAACCCCCTTAGCTCCATGTATAAATTTGAAACTGAAATTTCATTTTAAAAATAAAAAGTTCTTCATAAACCTTTGCACAACCACACATTATATTTAGTAAATAAGTACATATTACAAAATCTCAATGACATTCCATGTGGAGATGAACACCACATCAACCCTGTTGCTATATGTTGACATCTGGTACTGTTTTGCCAAACAACAAACCTTCACCAAATATATCACGGGATATGGTGATGTTTCTTTGTAAACAGGGCTCCAGATAACCTTTGGGGGTGTGAGTGTACTTACACATCATATTGCAAGTGGAGGTGTACTGAGAATTTTGAAGGAGTACTGACATGTTTTTGTGTGAGCGAGTTGGTGATGTGGTTTGTCTGGAGGATTCATCGATCACTTTTTCCAACCATGTATTTGAAGACGCTTGAGAAATAACTGAGCGACCGTGTGATGTGCGAAATGTCAGGTCCGACTGGATATAAATAGGAACAGTGTAGTTTTTAGCCAATCGAAAAATAGTGACGCATATCGTTGCATGGCAATGCAAGTGATTCCTACTGTCGGGGTTTCCTCATGTGTCAAATCGTGTTTCGCAAAAGAAACTTGACAAGTATTTATCCGAAATAGATTTCAATTGCACGATACGTACGACGAAATTAAATGTTAGACGTACAAAGGTATTTATGTGCGTACACGATACGCTTGAAATCTTGTCGTACTTAATTGATTTTGAGGCATACATTACGCCTGTACGCTCCTTATCTGTAGCCCTGGTAAAGCTTTGTCTATTCTAAAGATAGACCTTATCATCAAAAACAAAGATACATAATTGTTGACTGGCATTCTTGAAGTTGATGAAACACTCCAGCTTGATAATGACAAAAGAATCTACATTAAAACATCACTACATATAATAAACCTAAGGTTGTTATCAGCTGGTTATCCACCCCATAAACATAAAGATAAAGTTGTCTGTTTTCTCAAAAACACACTTTTGAAAATGACCTTGGCTAGTTTATCAGTAATTGTGATAAATAATATTCTTTATGTTGTAAGACTAACTAAATTAAACTGCTTGTTCATATTTCAGGCATGTAAACCATGATGTTGGATGAATGCCAACATTGCCACCTCGTTCCCCCCACATGTCGCACATCTCACCCCAAATACCATGACCATGACCATGTACCATGGTTCTAATAATTGTCAGTGCCGATTTAACAAAATGTCTTATCGATAAATGCATGTTACGTTCTTTCCTCAGGTTCATTCCAATCATTTCCTGAACAGATATGTAAAGTGTGATGAGTAGATTTACTACTACAGAATCCAGGTCAGAAAAACAGCATGATCTTATAGCACTTGTAAACAAAGTGGCCAACATTAATAATGCTTTAAGAAATGACAATTACCAACAGATCTGTAGCCCATAATGGCTATTCGTCTCTGCTTGGGGGGCATTTTGACAGGCTTTTTGTACTAAACCATCCGTTCAAAGTCAAGGAAGCAGTGAAAATAACCCAATACTGTCTGTGACTGGATTTTTGATGCCGGAAGTCGAACTCTTTCGTTGGAGGAAGACAAGTTATTGTTAGCCTCTAAATTAATGTCAAAATGTGTTCTTTGTTTATAGTGCATGCTTGTCAAAACCATTTATGATGTCATAAAACAGAAATACAATTTAATGTTTCAAGGGAACGCATGCCAATGCTGCATTCTTCCATTTGCGGCTTTTTGATTGAAAATCCCATAAGTTTGGATTTCGAGATTATCAATAATGGCGCTCAACTCGAGTGTAGAGGCCGTGAAAGGCCTTCTTGTATTTCTATTTTGCATGCTAACTACCTTTACAGTTGGTGTGCAAAGTCAGGAATGGTCAAAGGTTTCTGAGGAGTGTCAAAGGGCGATGTACAATGGACAAAAGGAATGTAAGAATGACCGTGATTTGCATAACGGACGTGAACTTGCAGTGTTTACAAATCAGGCTCAGAGAATCCAGTCTACACCCAAACCATATAAAATCGCTTGAAACCGTTGTAGCTATATAAAACCGCATAAACGCTATCATTTTTGTCCTTGGTGTTTTGGACTTGAGCATATGACCGTATGCTATGTCTAGTTGGAAAGAGTTGATTTTAATGTTCAAGTGGCAAGGTAAAATTATGACGATTTGTAATATTAATTTCGCTTTATTTGATTTACTTTTTTGTACAAACAGCCAAAGTTTGTCATTATTAAAATAATAATTTTATTTAGCAGTGTCATATTACATAACAATTTATTGTCAGCACTTCATTAGTTTTTCGTCCTACATTTCCAATTGGTATATGTTTTCAATCTGCCATTACGATTCCTATTTATCGCGCGTGAACATGGTGAATGTGAGAAAGTCCATGAGCAGCAGCCTGATTGTTAGTTGGACATCAATATGCTATGAATCAAATTTCCATGCATATGAAACAGTAAAAAAATAACACAAGAGATGAATTTTATCACAGGGATCATTAATGAAGTATCTACCTCATATTCAAATGCATAAAAATCCTAAATCTTTACTCCAAAGATACCATTAATGATTCATCTGCTAAGTTTACATCCTCATTCTTGTGACTAGTCATGTGACCACGCTGAATCTGAACAATGTTTCTTGATATGAGAGTGTCCTAAAAATATGTTGAATAATTACAGATTTGTTCGTAATAGTATATATTTTATATGTATTATTTTTTTCGTGTTTGCTGTTGTGATGATATATGCATGTATCATTGTTTGTAAATATGATGCACTTGTTTCCATTTTGGATTAAAAAGGATTGAGTTACCATATAGCATGTATAGGCTCAACTGGCCAAGGTGGCATATATTGTTGTTAATGTTATAGTATTTAGACTAAGTATGCTTGGAAGTTGATAAGGGAAGTTTATATGGTCAGTGACAGGACTACAAATGTGTTGCAAGGCTCCAGCTGTGCAAAAAAAAGCAAAATTTTAGCTGAAAATATGTTCAATCCCTTTATTCAGTATGTGGTTGAGAAACTCTAAAAAAATCCATCTGTTCCTGTGCTAGTGGTTATGAGACAGTTTATTATTATTCATGTAGACTGGTTATGGTAGAGTGTAATTGTAAATCTTCTTTCAGGGGTTGTATCTTAAGTTCCACCCAAAATATTTTTAGAAACTGAAGGACTTTTTTCAAAACACTTGACCTAATCTCATTTCTGATTCATATGGTCTTTTACCATGTGTACTTGATTAACGTAGCACAGTAATTCAAACAGGACATTCACAAATTGTAGAGAAATATTATGTTAACGATTTCTTGCCACCTCAAAATTGAAAGGTTTAAAAAGTTACTTGTTAAATCATGTAAATAGCAATGAAGTTGATGAAATTGTGTATGTAGGATTCTCATGCTCATAAGATGTACAATCTTTCCAGGTTACGTACTGGGACAACAAGATGCTAAATTCAAAGTTGAGAAGAGTAAGAATGTTTTGGAAGATCGCCTGTTTGTCTTTTGTCATCAAGGATATGAGAAGGAGTGGTACAGATTATGGCTGAATCCTAAGGTAAGCAGAATCATTGACCACACTAACATTAAACATTGCGTTATCACATCGTAGTATGATGGTAAATGAGATCCATATTTTTGCCGTAGACTGTTGAAGACATGTAGTGAAACATACTTCCCAGCTAATAGACTTTCATTCAACCATGAAGAATTGGGAGCAAAATAAGGATAATATATTGCCAACCTACCAACATAGTCAAGTTGACTTTTTATCATTTCAGTAGGTGTATTTCAATGCACTCATTTATATATTTGCATAGACTTGAAACAAGAATCTTAAAGTCATGTTGGGGATGAAGATCTTTTGAAAAAATAGGTCTGTTCATAACTGTGGTTGTGATTCCAGATCCGGGTATTGGAATCTGAGCTGCACCAGGACTTTAACTATGTGTATGGTGAAAACCTGACTGACGTGAAGGAGCACTATAAGTCCAGCTACATCAGCTTGTGGAACTGGTGGAGAATGAAAGAAGAGTTTTCTTTCTTACCTTTCAATACCAGCTGTCTTGGTATTGCCTCAAGCAAGAATTACACGGTTGAGTTCAAAATAAAGAGTTAGTATGTTTTAATACATTTATAATCACCGGCTGTGTTACACATGTTATATTTAGGATTACACTTCCTCAGTAAAGTACAAATTATTGTACTTTTGTTGGATTGAGTCCCATCCCAGGAACACACACAGATTTACACTTGACTCAGCTGTACACCAAGTCTGTGATCTAAACTACCAGTTGTCTGACTTTCATGTTTGTGGGAGTTGCGGTAGCTGAGTTACTGAGTTATTGAGTAGGTAAGATGGCTGACTTTGTATGCTGGCGATTAGGTGCCTGACTATTGAGAGTGTTGGTTCGATTACTGGATGGGACTTAACCCAACAAGAGTACTTGATTCTGTTATTTACTGACAAAGTGTAGTCCCAAATATAACATATTAGATTTGACCAGTTTTTAAATGGCATTGTGTATTCTCTAGCTATGTTGTCATCATGGAACTAATATTTGGTTTTCCTCTTGCATGTTTTTGTGTGCATTTGTCTAGGTACTGTTCATATGATTCTCTTACTATCTTATATCTAACAAGCTTTCTGAGTTTAGTATTTTTGAAACAGTTATATTTATGATTTATTTAGTATGTTTCACTGTGGAGCCAGAGATGACTGAAAATGTCCTTTAAGGAGTCAATGCAGAGTTGCCTCCCTTCATTGTACTCAAGGCCAGGCTCTACTGGGTGTGGGTTGTATTTCTTGTCAGCTCCATACCTGTGGTTACGGTTTTCAAACTGACATCTTCAACTCGTGAAGTGATGAATTCTAACTGAAATACTGTTCAAAGCGTGTTGATACCTATTCTGTCACTCACTTGTCAGTTACCGGTAAAGAAGTTTTTAAGTTCAGTTGTCTTTTCATTCTCTCCAGATCCTGAATTATGGTATGTCTTCTTTGTTGTCCTGGGCATTGTCATCTTCTTCTATGCTAAATCTTGGAGCAGGTATTGTGAAATTTTTCCAAATTTGTTTTTCATTTTATTAACGCAATAAAACTCTTTTACAACAGGACAATAGTAGGATGTGTTCCATTCAAAAGTTTGATTATCTATTATACCTCTAACACAATAACAATTTGTAAGAAAATAGTAGTATGGTCTAATGCCATGTCATACCTAATTATGCTACTGGTTTTGTTAAAAATATATCAGTATATATTTATTGTAAAGGTATTGTGTAAGTACTGTAAACTGTTGCATTGTCCAACTTATTTTAGAATATCTTCTTTTAATATTTTAGAGATTTAGAGATATCCTTTTTTGTAATTTCCAGAAATGTTGCCCTTCACTATGGTACAGGTATATCGGTGGGAGTGTTTGCTTCTCTTCTCATAGTTGTCTTCATCCTGAACAAGCTTATGCCACAGGTAAGTTTGCCAGAGAGTCAGTACTGTACAGACATCCTTTAAGTCAGCATAGTACTGCCGAGATAGAGTTTGTCTACATAGTATTGTCCAGACAGGATTGTAGTCTATATTAGTTTTGTCCATACAGGTTGGTAGTGTACATAGTACTCTCCAGACAGGATTGTAGTCTATATTAGTACTGTCCATACAGGTTGGTAGTGTACATAGTACTGTCCAGACAGGATTGCAGTCTACTTAGTACTGTCCATACAGGATTGGTAGTCTTTATTGTACTGTTTGTACAGGATTGTAGTCTACATAGTACTGGCCAGACAGGATTGCATTTTGCAGTCTACATAGTACTGTCTAGACAGGATTGTAGTCTACATAGTAAAGTCCCGACAGGATTGCAGTCTACATAGTCCTGTCCCGACAGGATTGCAGTCTACATAGTACTGTCCCGACAGGATTGTAGTCTATATAGTACTGTCCTGACAGGATTGCAGTCTACATAGTACTGTCCCGACAGGATTGTAGTCTACATAGTACTGTATAGCCAGGTTTGTAGCCTACATAGTACTGTCTAGCCAGGATTGTAGCCTACATAGTACTGTCAAGACAGGATTGCAGTCTACATAGTACTGTCAAGACATGATTGTAGTCTACATAGTACTGTCAAGACAGGATTGTAGTCTACATAGTACTGTCCAGACAGGATTGTAGTCTATATAGTACTGTCTAGCCAGGATTGTAGCCTACATAGTACTGTCAAGACAGGATTGCAGTCTATATAGTACTGTCCATACAGGATTGTACTGTACTGTCAAGACAGGATTGTAGTCTATATAGTACTGTCCATACAGGATTGTAGTCTACATAGTACTGTCAAGACAGGATTGTAGTCTACATAGTACTGTCAAGACAGGATTGTAGTCTATATAGTACTGTCTAGCCAGGATTGTAGCCTACATAGTACTGTCAAGACAGGATTGCAGTCTATATAGTACTGTCCATACAGGATTGTAGTCTACATAGTACTGTCAAGACAGGATTGTAGTCTATATAGTACTGTCTAGCCAGGATTGTAGCCTACATAGTACTGTCTAGCCAGGATTGTAGCCTACATAGTACTGTCAAGACAGGATTGCAGTCTATATAGCACTGTCCATACAGGATTGTAGTCTACATAGTACTGTCAAGACAGGATTGTAGTCTATATAGTACTGTCCAGACAGGATTGTAGTCTATATAGTACTGTCTAGCCAGGATTGTAGCCTACATAGTACTGTCAAGACAGGATTGCAGTCTATATAGTACTGTCCATACAGGATTGTAGTCTACATAGTACTGTCAAGACAGGATTGTAGTCTACATAGTACTGTCCAGACAGGATTGTAGTCTATATAGTACTGTCTAGCCAGGATTGTAGCCTACATAGTACTGTCAAGACAGGATTGCAGTCTATATAGTACTGTCCATACAGGATTGTAGTCTACATAGTACTGTCAAGACAGGATTGTAGTCTATAAAGTACTGTCCTGACAGGATTGTAGTCTACATAGTACTGTCAAGACAGGATTGTAGTCTACATAGTACTGTCCAAACAGGATTGCAGTCTACATAGTACTGTCCAAACACGACTGAAGTCTATATAGTACTTCTAGACAGGATTGTAGTCTACATAGTACTGTCCTGACAGGATTGTAGTCTACATAGTACTGTCTAGAAAGGATTGTAGTCTACATAGTACTGTTCCGACAGGATTGTAGTCTATATAGTACTGTCCCGACAGGATTGCAGTCTACATAGTACTGTCTAGACAGGATTGTAGTCTACTTAGTTCTGTCTAGACAGGATTGTAGTCTACACTGTCCATACAGGATTGTAGTCTACATAGTACTGTTCTGACAGGATTGTAGTCTATATAGTACTGGCCCGACAGGATTGCAGTCTACATAGTACTGTCCCGACAGGATTGTAGCCTATATGGTACTGTCCATACAGGATTGTAGTCTACATAGTACTGTCAAGCCAGGATTGCAGTCTACATAGTACTGTCCCGACAGGATTGCAGTCTACATAGTCCTGTCCCGACAGGATTGTAGTCTACATAGTACTGTCCCGACAGGATTGTAGTCTACATAGTACTGTCCTGACAGGATTGCAGTCTACTTAGTTCTGTCTAGACAGGATTGTAGTCTACTGAGTACTGTCCATACAGGATTGTAGTCTACATAGAACTGTTCCGACAGGATTGTAGTCTACATAGAACTGTTCCGACAGGATTGTAGTCTATATAGTACTGGCCCAACAGGATTGTAGTCTACATAGAACTGTTCCGACAGGATTGTAGTCTATATAGTACTGGCCCAACAGGATTGCAGTCTACTTAGTTCTGTCTAGACAGGATTGTAGTCTACTGAGTACTGTCCATACAGGATTGTAGTCTACATAGAACTGTTCCGACAGGATTGTAGTCTACATAGAACTGTTCCGACAGGATTGTAGTCTATATAGTACTGGCCCAACAGGATTGCAGTCTACATAGTACTGTCTAGACAGGATTGTAGTCTACATAGTACTGTCCAGACAGGATTGTAGTCTATATAGTACTGTCCAGAAAGAATTGTAGTCCACATAGTACTCTCCAGATAGGACTGGTAGTCTACATACTGTCCATACAGGTTGGTAGTCTACATTGTACTGCCAAGGCAGGCTTTGTCTACATAGCACTGTCCATACAGGATGGTAGTCCACATAGTACTGTTCATGTAGGATTGTAGTCTGCATAGTACAAGCTTGCCTGTCAAAATAGCACTAGGTATTGACCCTATTCTGCTATAAACTGGCCTTGCCACTCATTAAAGCTTGAAAGCATAATGAATTTCTTTTTTCATATTATGTATCTAGATTTACATCTTTGACATTTATTTTTGCTCATGTGTTTTTTTCGCAAACCAAAAGGACCAGAAAGAAGAAATTATTAATAAGTGATGAGCTCATATAATTTCAGTTTTCTTCATGGCATCTCCATTTCCAGTCAATTTGTGATTTTGCAAAAATATGTTTTAATGTCTTTAGAACTGCTTGAACATGTTGAAGGATTCAGTGGAAATGCTTTTGTACCTGTTTCAGAGACTGAAGACCATTGGGTATGCATTTATGCTAGTGAGTGGATCAGCATCCATGTTCATCCTTCAAACAGTGTCCCACAAGTTCAATGACATTCTTCAGAATCACTGGCATCTTGCGCTGGGTTACATCTTAGTCACAGGGCTTGTAAGCTTTGCAGTTGTGTACAGATATGGCCCTGTCAAAGATCAACGAACTCTTAACTTAGTGAGATGGACACTGCAACTTGTTGGACTGTTGTTTATTTACATTGGGACACAGATTCCAGAAGCTTCTATTGCAATCATCATTATTGTGCTCTCGGTGTATAATTTCCCAAGGAAAGTTGTCACAAAATTCACATCCTTCAGGTAGGTGTTCCAGCAGCTTCATACAATCACCTTACCTATGAACATCTGAGTTGTTTTTAGTGACTCATGTCAGGGGTGGAAATAACCCATTGCCCGACGTCCGATTCCAGTGTTTTTTTCTGTCGGGCAGGCAAATTCATATATCACACTGTACCGGCGTCCAGTTGACTTTCCAATGTTAATTATGTTGTTTATTTTAAAAATTCAACAAGAAAACAGTTGGTATAGTGGACAAATTATCAGGGCAAGTGATTTTACATGTGCCACTGTACCAGAGTACACTAGCAAGTTTAAAGTTATTTCCACCCCTGCATGTGTCTTATGAGGAAACCATGTTTGTCGTAAGAGATGATTGACGGTATTGGCTGGTCAGACTCACTGACATAGTTGATTCAGTTAATCCTTTCCAGTTGCATGAATTAATGCTGTAGTGTCAATCTATTGATTGCTTAGTCCAGACCTGATTATTTACAGACTGCTGTCATTTAGCGGGAATATTGCTGAGTGCATTGTTAAACAACAAACACACAATGACCAATGAACAGATGTAAGTTTCTATATTTATGACAAGGAAACTTGTTTTCGTGGCTGCTTTGGTTTTGTTTATGGTTTATCATGTGCATGTTTGAAACCTTTCGAAACAATGAGGGATGTGTTCGATGTTTGGTTGTTCTGTTATAAGAGAGCTGTGTACAGTGAACACTTCTGTAACTGTTACATCCTGAAGATTGTGTACAGGGGTGGAAATAACCCATTGCCTGACGTCCGAGTCCAGTGTTTTTTTCTGTCAGGCAAGCAAATTTTTATAGCACACTCAACCGGTGTCCAGTTGACTTTCCAATTTTAAGTATGTTGTTTATTGAACAAATCAACAAGAAAACAGTTGGTATAGTGGACAAATTATCAGGGCAAGTGATTTTACATGTGCCACTGTACCGGAGTACACTAGCAATTTTAAAGGTATTTCCACCCCTGGTGTAGTACATGTCATCCATAATTCCTCGGATATCATTACAAATCAGACTAATGATATCAGTTAATCAAGTATAAACCATGCCTTAATCCATACATCAAACTGTGTTCATGCATGTTCCCAATGTTTTGTGATATGGTTGACTACAAGACTTCACATCCTTTGTGATTAGAACCTATCGACCTTGCTCTTACTACAGCCTTGGATTTACAATTTCTGAGATTATTAAGACCAACTCCATACCACTAGACTGTCAATTCCATATGGGTTTTCTAGTTTGGCAGGCTGGTGAGAATCAAATAATTCATTTGTTGTGGTCATAAATAGTGTCATTGTATTTGGTCAATTAATAATCACAGGATGGGGGTCTTGTACATTTGTGTGGAAAGATTGGTTTCTCTTGATTAAGTTAGTTGGGCATCTTTGTGTTGTTTCAATAGAGTCTTATGTGGTCAAACTCCTTGACATGTCATGTTTGTTTTATAGGTACAGGATTTTCCGGGCCAAAGATTCGCCTGCTTACAGAGGAAGAGTTTATTATGCAGGGACATGTAGAAACAGAGAAGGCCATGGAGGAACTGCGGTCCTTCTGTCAGAGCCCTGAGTGTGATTCCTGGAGAGTCATCAGTCGCTTGAAACACCCATCCAGGTAACCATGGTGTCAGTGCTGACTGACGAGTAAAGTTTGTTAGTCCAGGATGCTTGTTCCTTGTAGATTATGATTCAGGTGGAATCAGCTCCTCAATACTGGCAGATGAAGTCTGAGTGATTCAGATGTGTGAAGGTCTTGATAGACACCATTTTACAAACATATTTTACTAGCAACTCAGATCTGGTAACACTCCAAGATAAAGAGAAGCCTCACTGGTGTTATAAAGTATAGGAAATAGGTATTGGTAATATGCATGAGCAGTTCATAGGTAATTCGAGGTGCTTGGGTTGCCTGGTGGTTAAATGCCCGCTCGTCACGCTGAACAGCCGAGTCTGATTCCCCACACGGGTACAATGTGTGAAGACTATTTCTGGTGTCCCTTGCCGTGATATTACTGGAATATTGCTATAAATGGTGTAAAAGTAAACTCAATCACTCACTCATAGGTAATTTCCATTCATAACCTATGACACTGATATTCCCCCAAGCTGACCACCTTACAACCGGTTTGTAGTCACTGGTTGTTCAGTCATAGGTGAAAATGTGAGAAGGTCACATGGAACCATATGACAGCATCTAAGGATCACTGTTATACGTAATTGCATCTGACATCTAGCTGAAAGTTCAGGCTTTGTTGTGTAACACTGGTGAGCATGATTAAGGGTTTAGCCATTGTTTTAACTCACTGGTATTGTCTTGAGTGAAATGTATGAAGGGAAATGCATATGGCCAACTCATATCAATATGGCCAACTGTTAATTGTGTTGAAGATTCTGTACAAAGGAGACAGCTGTTGTGGTAAAACAAAACGTGTATGCCAAGAATACATTAAATGAATACTTGTTGATTCTGTTTCCAGATTTGCCAAGTTTGTGGAAGGGGATTCTCACATATCCGACTCGGAACTGTTGGACCATGATTCAGTGGATTACTTCTCACCTCCCTCAGATGATATCTCTGACAATGAATCAGAGACAGACTTCCGTCTCAGCACTCCTTAACAACTGCCATCGTTAGGAGTGTGGAATATTTTCTGTATCAAACAACGTGATCTATCATTTTGAGTGTCAGCACATTTAGTCAGGCTGAGGTCATACTACTATGTTACATATGATTTCTGTTCTTTGAAATATCATGACAAGTGCACCTTATGTAGTCATGCTTGCCAAGGAATGGGATTAATCTGGTTGTTCTCAGAGGCTGATGCTTGACCCAAGGTCTTCTGTGAACATCAAGATACATTTCCCAATGAGTACCAAATCTGATCACTAACTAATGTTTTAGTTTTTTAAATATGACTTTTTTTATTTTAACACAAAAGAGATAAAAATAAGTCACTTCATTTTACATTTAACTTGATGCAATGAGAATGAAAGAAATAGTGGCCTATGAATTCCCACTGACTCTGCTACAGCTTCTCTTCACAGATCTTAAATGATTCCTTGGCTGCTTACTTTCTTCTGAATGTTTCTGACGGATTGATTATTTTTGCTTTAAAAAACAAATGCGAATGTTTTGATAGATTAATTTGTTTTCTTTTACTTCCACGAGCAAAATCATCATCATCACCACATTTTCATCTCAGCTGTATGTGAGAGACACGCTACCTTGAGGACATATGTATGGTGCTTATGATCCACCAGACCGCCTCCGTGGTGTAGTGGTTAGAGTGTCTGCCCAGAGAGCGGAAGGTCGCGGGTTCGATCCCCGACCGCGTCATACCAAAAGACGTAAAAATGCTGTACTTGTTGGTCCCTGCCTGGCGCCCGGCATTAATGGGTACAACAAGGACTGGTCGTCGGAGTCAGTATAATGTGTCTGAGTGGGGTATTCATGCTTCACTGCGGTGGGCTAACTATTAAACGATGTTAAACCCAATTTCACCTCACCTCACCTATGATCCACCACAGACTAGGTGAATCAGACATGCCCCCAGATGAATGATCCTGCCAGTGAAATGACTGTTTGTGTCAATCACCTCCCAGTTGATATAGTTGTGACCACTGTTTAATTCGTCTTTATGTTTGAAATGGATAGCTCACTAATAGCTACATTGGGCTGACAGTTGCGGCCATATTTTTGTAGAATGATTGCTGTGTGTATCTCAGTCAGGTGATAGCTTTAACAAGTTTCATGATATGTTCTTTGTGATATTTGTATGTAAGTATTTGTGTGGATCAAAACACATGAAAGTTACTGATATGTTTATCTCAGGGTAGTATCTGGAAGATTCGATGTGGTTTTTCAACAAATACATTGTTGCAATCCTGTTTGGAATCATCACCCATAGCCATGTGCTTTAGCAGTAATTTTACAGTGTGTTTCAGCATGTTCATTGTAAGTATCATACATCTTCAAGTTTAACTTTCTGTGAATAAATTAGAATATTTATTATGGTTTGTATATCCAACCTTATACTGTATATTGCAAATTCCCTCAGTCTTCAGTCCCATTACACTGGATCAAAAACATGCTTGTCTGCTTGTGTATGCTTGCCATAGGTTTATCTATCTTTGTTATGTCCCCTTTAATCTCCTCTCTTGGACCTAAAAATCTAACAGTGGAAGGCTGAGTATATACAGGTCTAAGAGCTGTTACATTAGGATATACTGTATTTCTTCCCTCTAATACAAAAAGCGACACGAATCTGGATAAAACAAATAAGCATTTAATGTAAAGCACATATTTTTTACCGGTGACAACAGAGTTCCAGACCTGGCATTTATTAGAGGCCCGACTTACACGTCTTTGTGCTTGCTGGGTCTAATTTATCGAGGCCATAATTGCTAGTGAGCTGCTTTTTCCTCTACCCTTGGTGCTTTATTAGAGGTCCGGCGCTTTGTGCTTGCTGGGTCTAATTACCAGAATTGCTAGTGAGCGAAATCCGGTAGCTTATTAGTAAATGTGCTAATTAACATGATTAATGAATTAATTTCTTATCCTTACACAGTATATTATTTACTGAGCCCACAGCTGACATTGTAGTGTCATGGACTAGCCTTAGGGACTGTTCATAATTCATGACTAGTGGGGGTGATGATGACTTTTGGAGAATCATGTATGAATGACTTTTGTAATTTATGGAGAATCATGTCCCACATGTGTGCAATCAATGGAACCAACACCACCACCCCCACCCCAATTTTATGCACAAAGTACAAAATTTGATCCCAGTACATGTGTCAAAATGACACTGCACAGAACAAAATGGAGCCCCATTAAAATCATCATCCCCCATAACCATTTTTCCCTGGTGTTTTGAGTTCATTTCTTACTTAACATGTTTATCTGTGATATAGTATCTGGATGTTTGAAGTGCTATGATTACACCAAGAGTCAGTCCAGTATTGATGGATTTTGGCAGGACACCTCTTATATTTTTTGTCAATGTCTCATTCTAGCAAAAAGATCATGAAAATGATTTCTTTTCATGTTTTTATATGATGTTTGTGAGTAGTAAATGGAAGTAAGCGACCAACATGGCTTTGAAAGAGAGAAATGTTTTCCTATCAAGATAAAAACGTGTTGGCCTGGTCTTTGTATATGCTACACATGTGCCAAAATATCCCTTTTCACCTGAAAGCAGAAATATTGTCATTCATTCTGTGTTTAGTGGACCTTTATTTGTAAGGATATTGTTACCATGGCATCTTCACTCACCTGTCTTAGAATGAATTGTTATAGCTCTGTCGGCTGGAGAAGCTGAACAGTTGTTGTGTAAGGGAGAGGCTCTTAACACCCTTCTTTCCAAGGTAAGCATGTCCACCAGTCTGCGCCAAAGTGAAGTTTCCATGTAGCTTGATATTGGCTGACGGACAATCTTGTCTTGGGAAGATACTTCACACCATACACACTATCATTGTTATGAAACAGTGAGTGTAAGATGATGTGTTTTATTCATCCCAAAAGTATGTACATATTTCTGAGTCAGCTCCTCTGTATCAGTGAGGACAGGCTGTAGTACAGGAGTTGCTGTAGCCAACTGATTGGGTTAAACTGCAATATATCACAGGTGTGAGAACATTAGTGTACTTACTGTATCAAATCCATTCCTAGGGGACAAGATCTAGAATAGACCCCCAGCACATTATTTATTGCTTGTTGTAAGATATGAGTTTATTGACTCGGCACTTGGACTTGGTGACTTGGTCTGAGAGTTTGCCATGATGTGCTGAAGCTGGAGTCTTGCTGACCTTGGTATAGACAGTGAACAAAACTTTCATCAAATGGTCACTTCTAATTTGAGAGATTCCACATTCTCAAGGCACTACTTACGGACAAAAGGTAAAAATTCCACAAGTACAAGAGACAGGATCCCCAGTCTCGTAAAGAGTGATATGTCAATATGTCAGTGTGCATGTTGTGTAAAATAACAAGATCAAGATCTGTGCCAGATTGACCATATTACGGACATTTGATTGATAAATATTTGTCATGTCATTGTATCCCAATTGAGTAGGTCGATGCTCATGCTGTTGATCACTGGATTGTCATGACTTGGTTATTTACAGACGGCCACCATATCGCTGGAATATTGCTGAGCGCTGCATTATACAAACAGACAAATCAACATAAGATAGAGTCTACTGTACATTCTGTGTGACAAAGAAACGTCTATCTCATTTTAATTCAAGGCCCGGTGTGATTTTTCTTCCTTGTCTAATACAAAATCTTCAAAAACCAGTAGCATTGTACGGCTAGTGAAACTGGCACAATGACCTGACCATCTCCATGTTGATTTGAATAGATCCAGTGAGCATCAGTCTTTATATAGGTCAGAGTTTTGTATGTATAATTAAAGTTGTGGTGACAATAATTAGTTCTCACACAATTCTAATCCCCTGTAGATTTTTGTTTCAATGTCAATTGGCCTGACTCCATGTCGGTTGTGTTTATAGGCTTGTGAATGTTTGTGAATCTCAGTTTGTGGTCTCACTGCCAGTTTTGAAAGTCAGTCATTTGAAGTCATTATTTCACTGTTAGAGTATACTTTAGTGTGTTATATTGGAACATAGCAAATGGATATGGATTTTAGCGTACCATATTTGCCATGTTAAGTGCCCTGTTCCATATACAATACCAGTCTGGAAATAACCTTCATAAGCAATCCCTACTGGGACTGGAATGATAATGCTCAGACAGCGATACAATACATATCATAATAATGTGAATGCAAAACAGTTTGTATCCCTTTAGGATTCTTTCGTTTCAAAGTTCAAATTCTCCTTTTTCACAGGTAAATCAAAACCTGGTATCATTTGTATCAATTTCAGACAGAGAAAATGTGATATTGAAGGGGAGAAATGTATAAGGGACACTGCGAAGATTTTGCCATTTATAGCAATCAGGAAGTACTGCATAAACTGGCTCTTGAACAGTTTCTGTTGCTGTTCACATGTTCTCACATCAATATAACTTGTGATGTAATGAATCGTATGTATTGTGATACAGGGGTTGTAAATTGATGTATTGTATCATGAGCCTTGTATCACGATGCAGTACTCTATTGCCGTATTGTTACACCACTACCCGCTACTAAATCTCAGTAATGGAAACTGATGTTCTGAAAATTCTTGTTTTTGATTCATGTTATAGATTCTGCTGCAGGAAATGATGGAAGGGATTATTGATTGCCCAGTAACTACCACTGTAGTTTAGTTTGATTGACAGCTGTTTGTTCACTTTTTCTCAATCTCTGAAAACAAATCTGAGTTGAGTATGGTTTAAAAAGCATCCCATCTGTAGATTGTCCATTAGCCCAGGTTCTTAATATGGCAAACAATGTATGTATTATACCCGTTGCATTGAGCCAGGATTGTTTCAAATTTCTGACTGAAATTCTAGGCCAACAAACTAAGCTTTGACAAACACCAGCAAGCCACCTTGTCCCATTGATCAGAGTGCTTGACCGATTGTACCAATTGAATTTGTCCAACTGACTGGCAACCACACTATCCCTTTTACACCATTGTGAAGTCTTTGGCTACTTTAGAAGTTGTTTTGTTCTTTTGTTGCACAGTTCGTGTTACTATATTATATACTGCTCAAAACAAGTTAGAGAACAGCCACAGTTGTATGGTTGCGTGAAGCTATACCAACGTGCCATGACAAAATAACTATGGTCATATGAACACATTGGATGCTCTTTAACCTTTTGAGTAGAATATCAATTGCTTGCTGTTAAGTGTTGAAAAGCACTGTTGGTGCAGTGAGTCTTCTGTTCCCTGAAGCTATACTTCCATTCTGCTTTTCAGATATATTTTTCTCTGTTGATATTTGCATGTAAGGAGGGTGATTAACATTTGAATAATGGCGTATAGCTTCACCCTAACTCCAGTTGCTGCAGGTACCTTTGCTGTCTGTATATCCCTCCTATGCAGTACTAGTATGATTTTCTACGTTTCTGGTTTTCTTGTTCAGTACGCAGATGGCAAATTGTAAGTTTAGGTTGATTTTGTGTTCAGTTCCCGCCAACTTCCCAGGACATTTAAGAAAACCCTTGAGAACAAAATACTCTTAATAAATAATCCTATCCTGTCTTTTATGGTAAATATCCGATATGAGGAAAATACTATGTGTTTAGTTAGCCTAATCTTTTCCACAAGCTGTGACTATTTGATAGTGTGTTCTCCTTGTCATAAAATGTCATTCTCAAGGTCTGTTGTTTTAAAGGATATCTCTCCCACAAAATGTGCATTGAATGTTTTCCAGGAAAGTGCACTTTATGATATTATATCACAAGCTGTGTGATTAGTGATTCAGACAGTAACAACTAGCAGTATAGTTCCATGGTTAAAAACATTTTTGCTTAAGGATTAGGTGTGTAAACAGATAAAGAGTTGTATCTACATTACCTGCTGCTTCAGGTGACTAAGTGTACGGGCAATCATCGTTTTCTTGCCATCTTCATTATTCCTGTGTGTCGTTTCACAATTTAATGTTGAAAATAAATTGTTACTTATAATGAAAGTACCTTGAAAGGTAAATAGCTTGGATTTGAATAGTGTTGAGTGAACAACAAACAACATTTCTTGAACAGATATTATTTTTATATCAGTGTGGAAAATGTCATGAAGATTTATCATTGCCATTAAATATTTTTTTACCAAATCTTGTTCTATTGTCTTTTGTATTGAGGGCTTCTGGTTTTAACAAATATCTGAAAATGTACTCCAGGAAACTGATCTTTACTTTCAGTTGTTTGATTCACAGTAAGAGATCAGTCATATTCTTGGCAGGTGAGGAAATAGGTTTGGTTGTATCTGATTGGAGACCGCCTCCGTGGTGTAGTGGTTAGAGTGTCCGCCCGGAGAGCGGAAGGTAGCGGGTTCGATCCCCAGCCGCGTCATACCAAAAGACGTTAAAATATGGTACTTGTTGGTCCCTGCCTGGCGTTCGGCATTAATGGGTACAACAAGGACTGGTCGGCTCGGAGTCAGTATAATGTGTCTGAGTGGGGTATTCATGCTTCACTGCGGGAATGGTATCTCAGTGGGCTAGCACTATAAAACCAGCTTCAGTCTGGGCTAGTACAAGCAGCCGCACATACACATACACACGCATGCAGCATGCACGTTGTCATATGAGCGAAATATTCTCAAGCACAACGTTAAACCCAATTTCACCTCACCTCACCTCACCTGTATCTGATTGGAACTGACAGACTTACAACCACAGTCAGAGTGAATATGTATTCCAGACTACACTCATATGGTTCAAGCACGCCAAAGTCAACTCTGTATAGTGAATGGTAGCACGGAGAAGAATCAGACGTCTCCAACAAAGTGTTCAATCAGGGGAGATGCATGTTAATGCATGTGAGTTAGCATTTGAATTCAGTCCATATTCTTGCTATCGTAAATATGTGAATAATTTCTATGTGGAGATAATTGAAGTATTGGCTGTATCACATTACAACTGTTCCTCCAGTCTTGTTTAACACGTGAAGATCCGGGTTAGAATTGATCTTCAGTAACCTATTCTTGTCGTAAGAGGCAACTAACCGATCGGGTGGTTAGGCTCGCTGACTTCATTGACACATGTCATCGTATCCCAATTGCGTAGATCGATGCTCATGCTGTCCAGACTCGATTATGTACAGACCGCCGCCATATACATGTAGCTGGAATATTGATGAGTGCAGCATAAAACTAAACTCACACACTCACTTGTTTAACACAACATTTAATACATAAATCTTTCCAAGATAATACATTTCAGGGCGTGGTGTAGTGGTTAGAACGTCCGCCCGGAGAGCGGAAGGTCGCGGTTTCGATCCCAACCGCGTCATACAAAAGACATTAAAATATGGTACTTGTTGGTCCCTGCCTGGTGCTCGGAATTAATGGGTACAACAAGGACTGGTCGGCTCGGAGTCAGTATAATGTGTCTGAGTGGGGTATTCATGCTTCGCTGCGGCATGTTATCTCAGTGGGCTAGCACTATAAAACCAGCATTAGTCAGGGCTAGTACAAGCAGCCGCACATACACATACACACGCATGCAGGTCGTCATATGAGCGAAATATTCTCAAGCACGAGGTAAAACCCAATTTCACCTCACCTCACCTCACATTTCAGGAATGCAGTGGAGTGTTACATTTACTGTGGGAAACATAGCTCGATGCTAAACCGGAAAGAAATGATCACTTGCCAACGAAACCTAGACATCCAGAACCTGGTCTGTCCATAGTGTTGCTTGTTTATAAGTACCACCCAAACTGACTGTAGTGTTACAATGAACACAAAATGCTTTTTTCCAGCATTGCAATTGCAATTGCGGGCAACTGGTCATTTTCATGGAGTTGGGGGCATAAGGCCTGTGATGTTGGGCCTTCGGGAAAGTTGCTTCTTGTACTTAAAACTGAAACGATTTGCTCTGTGTTAAAACTGACCATATCCAGGGGTACAGTGTGTGACCATGGAATTCATTCTATGCATGCATTTTATTTTTGATTTCCTTCCCCTCACTACTGTCTTCAGCACTTGTATAGGTTGGTAGTAGACTAACAGCTAGTCTCTGAAACATATTGTACAGAAAAAAGTTTTTAAATTAAACTGAAATACAATAATACTGAGCCCAGAGACTTTCTTCGTTTTCAGCCTGAAACTGTGTACTCCAGGACAGTGATGGTGCCAGTGAGTAGTCTGGTCTGGGCTAGCAACAGGGCCCCGTTCCTCAAAGAGATCGTAGCGCTAAGTTGATCGTAACTCCCATACTTTAACATAGACTTACGACAGTCGTAGCGCTACGATCGCTTTGAGGAACGGGGCCCTGGCCTGTGCAACTACTATGTAGCGAACCTTAATGTTTTCACAGTAGACATTACTTAATCAAGAGTGAGTGAGTTTAGTTTGACGCTGCTTTTAGCAATAGTCCAGTAACATCACGACGGTGGACACCAGAAATGGGCTTCGCACAATGTGCCCATGTGGGGAATCGAACCCGGGTCTTCGGCGTGACGAGCGAACGCCTTAACCAGTAGGCTACCCCACCGCCCCTACCTCATCAACAGAGTAGACCTCCTCCACTCATTCTAGACTTGCATGGGCTACATTGGGTATATTTGTTTCAGGGTCTGTAGGACAGCCTACGTTGGTAGTTACAAGGTAATTAATGGCTTGGTGGTTTAAATGAACTGTAGACTGTTGCACTAGTTAATAATATCATGTCGCGAATAGAGGCTGATGGTGCCTATCTGACTCATTTGTCAACAGTTGGGGGTTTAGGCCTTTTACCAGTAACGAGTCAACATATCAACAATTATCACACTCCCTTTTACCCTATTATCGCTGTGGAGTAATTAAACTCTGCTAATAACAATATTGTTGTGTCGATCGTTTGGTAATAAACATTTCCGAAAACATTACGATGTAAGAATAATGGCTACACCTTTCGTTCCTTGACAAAATTCGAACACGACCGCCTGAATGTTGTAGTGTAGTTGGGTGATCGTTTGGTATAAGAGTGGGTCACGGGTTCGTTCCCGTGTTTACTTATAGACTTTAAAAGGTATTATATGTTGTTTCCTTGCCTTGCACCCGGCACTAAGGGCATAGTAGACCGGACACTGTGCCTGGGTATAGCTTAGTGGGCGAGCACTATAAACATTGCAATAATACAGGCGTCTTACATATGAGTTGTGCATGTATGCATGAATGCTAAAGACCTTGTTTAGGTAGTTCTTTTTTTTCTGTTTTCCATCTCCAGTCCGCCCTGAATTCATCACGACATGAAATGATAAAGGTTTGACGGGAAGCAACAAATACAGATGTATTACCGACGCATAATCCCTCGTCCGCCAGTCGTTACAATATTAAAATGCTATATGTATTACGTTAACACCTTACGCTTTAACCGTTTTACTACCATTCACACACAAACAAACAAAAAACTTACGAATTAGAACAGTTTATTGAATAACTAATTACAAGTTAGTGCAGTAAACAAGGCACGTCAGTATTAAGGCCCTGCATATCCTTGTTTCCAGGCAAATAGCAAGATAAGGAAACGAGTCTACCGGTGGTATTGTTACAGTATCAGTACTATATAAGACTCATCACTAGGGCTGGAACGGGTCCAAATGATCTACCCGGGTACCCCACCCCTATTACCCTACCCAGATACCCGTTATGTTAATTCCTGACATCATATTTGCAAGAAATGGCAATATATTCTTCAGCTCGGTGGCTAAATTTTCAAGCTTTTTAATATCTTTACCATGTATTATATTAAAAAAGTGACTGTAAATTATGTCTAAATCTTCCAAGACAATGCAACCTTTTAATCATGAAAGAATAACATATTACATTGTTTAATCTATTAATCACATGAGCATAACGGGTCCGGGTATGGAGACGGGTACCCGGGTCCAACTCATTACCCACCCGTCCCGTGTATCCGGGTTACCCGTCTCAGCCCTACTCATCACCCAACTATATACATAACTATGAAATGCATTCTATGCCAAAAGGTTCAATGAGACAGCAATATACAGCATACAAACGTTAAGATAATTAAAGGTTATTGGCAACAATAATATGTACAGGAGGACCACGTCATTCCTTTATTTGCTGACGTTGGGTGAGAATAAAATGGCGAAACAAGTAAATAACTATACACAGCATTTCGTGAACATGTCATACATTACACAGAATCATGCATCCAAAGGCAATGTTCATTGAGTGTATTCTTTTCGACCGTCTGCAGGACCAATGATGTGCCTGAAAGAAGCAAGCGGGTAGAATTTACGATCACATATACATTACATGCAGCATCAAGAGCTCACCCCGTGGTGTAAACAAAATGTTGCTAAAACCAGATTCAGTCGCACACGAAGCTGGCTCTAAGAAATACCACCGAAACCAATTCACTCACTCTTTTCTATGAAATACAGTAGATGAGCATACGTTGATGACATGACATATCTGTGTATTATTTGATTGCATTCCAAACATCGTGGACATGTGTTAGCTATTGTGACCGGTCACGACATTTGTGTCAATGTAGAATGTTTATTGGACTGTGGCTTCGGAGTAGCGGTCGTAGTGACTGCTGTTGCCGTTGGACTGTACTGCGACCAGGCAGTTGTTAACGTTGATGTGAAGCTGCCATGCAGTCTTCACGTCTGATTTCACCGCCAGTTATATGAACCAGCTCGTCGACATGCGTGTCATGTCATGCAGGTGGATATATATTGTGTGCATTTGTGATCAATAGTATAATGAGTAAATAGCACGTCGCATTGTTATTATGTGTTAGGTAACTCACTCACTCACTTCATGAAATGCTGTGATATTAGTTATTGCTGGTTCGGATGTAAACCAATATTCGCTCATTCGTTAAACGATGCACATGTGACCAGGTAGGATATGTATATACTCTGTGGTAACAGTAGAGGTGTGTATTTGTCGTGGTCACCAATATATAAGTCCCATCTTGGAAACCAACAAAAGAAGTACACATTGCAGGGAAGGAATGCACCATAGCACGCAGGCTACCTTTCAACGCAATGAAAAATAACATAGGTCCAAGACGTGGGATAAGCTACCGTTGTCCTGTACGTTAATACATAATTGAGTATATTGGTCTATATGTTACTTAATTTAGTGCATCGGTATACATCTTATTGCATAATTTAGTGCATATTAATCCATTATTTGGTGCATTTTAAAATGTGCTGCTATAGGAGTTTGTGCGCTGACAAGGTGATATTACAGCAAGCGGGTTAGGAACGTGCAATCATCTAGTGTTGTATCTATAATACATTCCATACAAGAAATAGCTGTAAGATGTGCAGATTCTTTGCAAAGCTGGAGCTGATAACTTGTGTGTCAAAACCACGTACTTGCTCGTTGGTAAATGTAAAACATGTGTGTTGCATTTTGAGCTTTTTTCCCAAACTAATCTAAACGCCGTTAAATATTGTTCAGATAGCGCTAAGCCCATGGCCATTTACGTACAAGTTTGCTTACCTAAGCGCTCTGCTGACTAGTTTTTTGCGTGGAATTGAAACTTTCTGAAGTTTTTTCCCGATTTCATATAAAAAAACCCGCTTAAAACACAATGACTGGAAGTACACACTGACTACATTTTAAAAAACCCCAAACTTTTAACAGTTTTGTTCCACATTCATTATTTTGGTTGTCATAAATTGTCTTCTAAGCACACATTATAATCATATGCATATTCATTTGAAAACTAAGAATATGAAGTGAGAGGTCGATTTGCCATTGTCATTTTCTGCAATGGTAATCAAATCAGGTATACTTCTATAACGTTACTGTTACAGACACTGTACATGGTAGAGGGAGATATATGACACTCTGCATATCGGAGTTATCTTGACCCATTAGCTATAGTAAGTAAGAGCATCTCAGTCGAGTGCAAGCATGCCGAGCGAAGGAATGTGGGCTCAAACCTGACTGCAGTAACAAAGGTTGTCGATCTGAAAACGTAATGTAAATGCCATATGTAATTATCAGCATTGTTTCTCCTTACCTCATCTGGCAACACTGTAAATTATGATTGACATTTACTTAACATACAGCGCCTGATTGGTGACCAGAATCCGGCAGCCGAGCCAGGGAGAAAATCAGCTGGCATTTCTGTCTGATGATACGATCAACCATCGTCAGTCGAACATGAGTTTTTTTCACAGGCATGTTTTCGAGGGCTGTTTCAAGGCACACACTTTTTCTTTGGGGAGCCGAATTAATATATTATTTAACACAAACATTTTTACGACATGTCAAGCGTGTCAAGAGAACAATAATTGCTTCTGACAGAAAATCATGGTCACATGTTGTCAGGATATTTTATGTATTTTTTTTCTAATTTTGTACCAGTCCCTCCAGCCTTCCTACGACATTACCCTGCCTTAGAGGCAGATCCGATCTCCGGTTCTCCAACACTATGCCGAGGATAAACACATGTCTAAAACCCTTCAGTCGTGAATCAAACAAAAGTCTCGTAATTACAAGCATAGGTCTGTAGGTCAATAGTCTCTTGGCGATTCACCTTCTCAGATTCTAGGTTAGAAAACTCCAGCATGTTATGGTCGCAAGGAGTGTCAATGGACCTGGCTCAGTGGCATGGGTTGATGCTCATGATATCGATCACTGGCTTGATTGTGTATACAATAAATACAATATAAACAAGTGCACGTACCTTTCTTCACTGTCTGGTTCTTTCTTGTCTGATACAGAAGGCGAGATGTTATCGCTAGGTGTGCAAGCCTTGATACAACACACTATGAAGATGATGAAACCCACGCAGGCAAACACGACGCCGAGGGTGGCCCATAGTTGAGCTCCTCTGTAAAACACCTTAATTTGTTAATTCAAATAGATAGATAGATAGATAGATAGATAAATAGATAGATAGATATATAGATAGATAGATAGATAGGAGGAGGAGGACACTTGGATAAAGGGGGGTGGGTGTGTGGGTGGTTGGTAACTCGTGGTAACAAACCAGCTGGGCCCCGTTCCTCAAAGCGATCGTAGCGCTATGACAGTCGTAAGTCTATGTTAAAGTATGGGAGTTACGATCATCTTAGCGCTACGATTGCTTTGAGGAACGGGGCCCTGGATATCTGAATTCTGGTCACAGAACGACCATAGATTTCTGGCTCGTCTAAGGGACACGACTCTGCTTTGCCGATTGCAGCGTCTTTGTCTAATCAACCGGTACACCCTCAGTGAAAAAATGATTGGTTGGCATGCTATCCCGGTATCGGTTTCTGAACAATACAGATTAGTGATATCAAAACATGTGACTGGATATAAGGATACATTCAAGATGTCAGTAATATTTCTTGACAACATCTTTAATCTAATTGGTGATAACAATTATTCATATATTCACTTATCAATTTTGTGTTAAGATTGTGGGACCTATGCACTGGCAGACCTCATATGCCTCCAAACATTGCGTAGGATGAGTTTAATATACAGTCGAGCACCGCTGTCTCGATATTCATGGGACCAAGAAAAAATATCGAGTTATCCGAACTTCGAGACATCCGACCAGGGCACATCATCACATATCACTATGAAAGAAAACAAAACGCTTCTCAGAGTGATTTGATTCGAAACTGTAATCCGTTATCAGTAGTGTTTATTCGTAACAGTAGTGAGTACTCCCTAATTAATTCCTTCTTAATCAATCCTAATTAAATAACAAACAAGTGACACCTTCAACTCAATTAGCCCTCATTAATTTACACTACCGCATCCCTTTGATTCATGCCACACCGTGTGGAAACAACCTCAGTTCAGAGGGATACTTGCCCATGATAGTAAGTGAATATCGAATTTGTTTGCAAATATCAAGTTAAAAGGGTAATTTTGCTTGTTGGGACCATCAAATTATATCGAGACATCTGTATCGAGTTAAACGAGCTTGAATAATGATAAAGTAGTATAGGGAATGGGGGTTTTGGACCAGTTCCAACAAAAGCCTCTGCAAAGCCTTATTTCACAGATAAGGCTTTAGTCGGACCCTTAGCTCTTGCTACCATTACCCCTACTGCTTTCCCAACCTATAAAAATTTCAAGCGAAAAAGTAGTAAAATGTCCCCGGCAGCCACAATTCCCAAAGGGAGAAATAGAAATGTATTGCGCTTCCTCCCTTGGGAATTGTGCCGGCTGCCTTTCTCTCACATCACACAAAGTTGCAGAGACAACGGCGGGATACGAACCCACATGTACGCGCCGGAGACATGGCTATGCCGTGTTGACAGGAGGTAACACTGTGCCGTACGGTACGATCAATAATTCTTCTCTTACAAACCCCCTACCTGGCCCATCCCTCAAGTAGTACAAGTTAGGCTCGTCTACTTTCATGTCCACTTTATCTATGTTGTAAGTTTTGATTGACCATATAGGATCGGTGGCTCGCTTACGGCTATCACCCTCGTGTTCCCCCGGCTGGTATAGATACCTCACTAGGGCCCTATCTGGTATCTGCTTCTCCTTCCCACGCAATGGAGCGGCCGACTCTGACACTATCGATTTTAGTTTGATAGCATCTGCCGGTTTCTTGCCGGTGAGACGGGTGACTTCATGGTTGATTGCCGACACCACCTTAGGTAACCTCGTGACCCATTCAGTCGATCTTTTCCCCGGGGTGGCCATCTCCCTAGCATACTGATGTCCGAATAAGCGCTCAGCCAAAGTCCTATTGAATCTCTCAACTATGGCTTGGCTGCGATGGGCTCCAGCCGTGCCACGCCTGACCTTTGTATCGTGTTTGGCTAGCAGTTGTGACACGGCGCCCATGAACTCCCGCCCGGGGTCAACTTGCAGCTCTGTTGGCCATGTCAGCGGACTGCGTTTGTATATGCGCTCGAATCCTCTGGCTACCTGGGTAGAATCTTTCGTGGTCAAGGGCTCGGCTTCCTTGTAGCGACTGGCTACGTCCACTACGGTTAAGGCATACTTGTACCTCTTGTCGTGGGGTAGGAACAGTAGGTCTGCCTGGTGAACGCTATTAGGTATGTTAATACCGAACCTCCTTCTAGGCACGTAGCGTGGTGGCGGTAAATAGATCTGCCACAGGGCTTGTTTTTCAAGCCACGCTTTGGCTTCCTCCGGGGGTACTCGTGCCATTTTAGCCAGCTTATCTACAGCGCTAGCTCCTTTCCAGTACCCACGCGGGCTATAGTAAATAGCCTCAAACTTTTCTGGTTCCGTGACATGTCGCCTACATACACCTATGTTCTTGGTTCAATTTTCTCATGCCCGTACGCGTACGTGTTTATCCCATCAATAGCTATCCAACGTTTAGTATCCATAGGCGACAGGGACGTCTTGTTTATTGTCAGTCCGTATATCTTATGGCCATCACTTCTAAGTGTGTTCATTTTATGCCTAAAGGTACGGGTCTTGAACAGGGCTTCCTTGAATCTGGCGTGTTTGATGTGTTGTTTCACCACGTACTTCTTAACACCCTTAGCCTTCCGGATCTCACTATTGTCGGCCTTCAGGATGGAGTACATCTTAGGTCTCAACCCTATGTACTCGGCTATGGGCGTGCCAGCACACTCGTCCTTCATCTTACCTAGGACCTTTTTATTTACCGTGCTGTGTATGGCATGGTCCTTGGGGTAGTCGCTGGTGTCGCATACAAATCGAGGTGTTTTTTTCATGTCCTCGTTACACGTCCTCGGTTCGAATCTCCATCAGCAGGGAATCCGTGTCAGTGTACAGCACTTCGCACCTGTCGTCGTACTGTTTCTTAAGCTCGTTGTAGTAAAAGTCGTACATCAGGTGTTTGGATAAATCGAGGATGCTCATCCCCACGTAAACAGGCCGGTTGAATTTTATGTGGCTTTTCTTCATGTGTAGGGCAACTAGGTCATCGGTGAATATCTTGCTACGGTTGAATGCCGGACTGGCTATCAGTCTCCTGAGCTTGTCTTCCTCATTCGACCGAACCAGCTTCACGGTCACGCGTTTCCTCAGGTTCTCCATAGTCTTACCGAACACCGAGTTGTTCATGAGCTTGTAGAGATTTTTCTCAAAGTCACTGGTGGCAAGCTTTCGGAGGTCTGTGTTCATTCTGATGTAGGGCTCCATCCAGGGGCTTTGGTCGAACTTGAGCAACCTATGTATTTTGGTCAGTCTCATACCCAACGACAGGTACAGCTGTAGGTTGCGATAGTGAACTATGTACTTGGTCTTATTCATTAAGTTAGGCACGAGTTTTTCAACGTCTGTCACCCGCCCACCTAACAAGTTATGTTGGTACTCAGACATCCAGTCTGGGTTAACCCTCATACGTTCGGGGTCCAGGGGGTAGCTGTTGTGTGATGTGTGTAATGCCTTGGGGTACTCCAAGTCAACCTCGAGGATATAACCTTTGTTAGAATCTGACGCGATGCTCATAACATCAATATGTGACGCCCATTCGAATCCCCCTGTGGGTAGATACTGGCTCATGGCCCAGCCGTACAGGTTGTTGGCGTCGAGGTAGAGAATGTGATTGGTTGGCTTGCTAGGGTCGTAGCCCTTCACGTATTGATTATTTGCTTTCGCGTATCGTTTGGTTGCCATGCAGATCCCGCCTCGCAAGCCTTTCTCAATGAATAGGTGCATGTCGTAATCTGTAAGCAATTCCAACTTAACTCCGGTCTTTTTAAGCAAGGCATCCCACGACAGACCTGGGCTGGTGTAATACCATGCGGGGTCGAGTTTATACTGCTTGAAACATGTCTGCCTAAACGTCTCAAACACGTCGGCTAACAGCAGTACATCTGTCCTCAAGTACAGATCGTGATAGTCACCCAGGTTCTTACAACCCAGTTTATTCCATACGTTAATAGCGTGCGAGTAATCGTCTTGGGATATTGCCGAGTCTGTCAGATTGCTGTAAAATTCTTTGATGGGGGGTAGTCTGGTCTCGGTGAACTTGGCCCAACTATCCATGTACTCATAGGGATACACACCCTTCCTCATAAGCAGGGGTCTAGTCTCGGGGTCTGTGTATAGATCGGTAATAGGGAAGGTATCGTTGGCCTTGACCAGACTGTCTAGTGACGACTGGAGAAATTGAAACGAGTCTATGAACCTAAGGCCGTTTAAGCTGAAGGAGATGTATCTCTCCATGTTGTTGGGGATGCACGTTATATTACCATCGATTTTCGCGATGGCCTGCATGATCAAGTGTGAGTCGTACCCTCTCAAGTTGTGAAAGACCACGGGGATGTTTATTATCTTGGGGATGATTCTAAGCTTGAGGTTACACGCGCGCTGTGAGCGGCGCCTCTATACTTACCAGTTATGTGGCAGTGATCTCTCACCGAATCACCGTTAAGTGGTGAGTCACACACGTGACAGTTAGTGCTGCAGGTGTGAGCTAGCCTGTCGTCTTGGGTCATACGCATGGGAGCGACTCTATACAGTGCGTTCCTAATAATTTTTTCTTCCTCCTGCAAACACTTAAGAAATCTTTCAACAGCGCCGGGACCCCTGTACACTACCGGATCTTTCGTTTCCCCCGTCACAACGGACGACAATGTATCCAAACCCACAGGCTTCATGCTCTTGTGTTTTGAGTGTGGTTGGGGTACCCCCAACAACCCCGCCGGCGGCAGCCTCAACAGGTTTGACCAAGGCTTCAAAGTCGGCGTATATGATATAAGGCACAGGCATTTGGTTCTTGTGGTTACCGAATTTTAGGATATTGTCACCTTCCTTAGGCATGTCGACCCGTATAGCCGTCTGCCCCACACCTTGGCAATCCTCCCGGTGGGATTCTAATAAATCAGCTTGTGTGAAGCCATGTAGGCACCGTTCGCAGAAGTGGGTCTT